TTTATATGAAAATTGAATTTTATTTGAACCCTTTTCTTTTTTACTAATTTCTCTTCTGATATCAGTACTATTTTTACACTTTTCAGGTTCCTTGATGTTGTCCACAATGAGAATATCCTCTGTTATTTCCTTGAATGAATTTTTTTTAGGTTTACATGTAATATTAATTGATTGCTGTGATGTTTGATTGACAGTATTTACTGTGGCTTGTGATGTTGGATATATTATGTTTGTATTTTTCAGTTGATTATTAACTTGTTTAGTGATGTTTGTTGCTCTTATATATAAATTTATTTTCTTATTATGCAGAATGCACAGGAATACTTTATATGGTATGTAGTATATTTAATAGAGTCTCTGTTGTTGATACCTGCACAGGAACAGTACGACCAGCATCTACAAGTATTGCATTCAATCCAATCAGTTTCAAAGTTTGTTTTGTCCTTGCCACATCCAATGCATATTTCGTAGTCTTTTAGTGTATTTGGTTTGTTATTTTCAGAGACGTTTACGCTTATATTGTTTGTTGTGTCACTATCACTATCTGGACATATCTGAGTTCTATGTTGTTTTATACGACCGCAAAAAAATTTTTGTGGTCGTATATTGGTATGTCGTTGTCGTCGTCGTCGTTGTCGTCGTCGTCGTTGTCGTCGTCCGAAGACACATAAGTTTTCGCACTCTAACTTTAGTTTAAGTGAATGGATCTCAATGAATAAGGTTCAATATCACAAAAGGAAGGTGGGGATTGATTTTAGGGGTTCTGGTACCAACAGTTAAGGAATTAGGGGCCAAAAATAAGCATTTTTGTAACTTCCAGACATAACTTGTGTGTAAGTGTATGGGTCTCTCTGACATTGTACCACAAGGTTCCATATCACAAAGGGAATGCTGGGACTGATTTTGGGGGTAATTGCCTCCAAATTTTAGGAATTAGGGGCCAAAAAGGGGCAAAAAACAAGCATTTTTCTAGTTTCATGACAATAACTTGTGTGTAAGTCTATGGATCTCTCTGACATTGTATCACAAGGTTCCATATCACAAAGGGAATGCTGGGATTGATTTTGGGGGTAATTGCCTCAAAATTTTAGGAATTAGGGGCCAAAAAGGGGAAAAAAACAAGCATTTTTCTAGTTTCATGACAATAACTTGTGTGTAAGTGTATGGATATTTCTGAAATTGTACTACAAGGTTTCATATCACAAAGGGAAAGCTGGAATTGAGTTTGGGGGTATTTGCCCAAAAAGTTTAGGAATAAGGGGCCAAAAAGGGGTTAAAAATAAGCATTTTTCTAGTTTCCAGACAATAACTTGTGTTCAAGTTTATGGATATCTCTGAAATTGTACTGCAAGGTACCATACCACAAAAGGAAGGCTGGGATTGATTTTGGGGGTAATTCCCTCAAAATTTTAGTAATTAGGGGCCATAAATGGGCAAAAAAACAAGCATTTTTCTAGTTTCAGGACAATAACATGTGTGTAAGTGTATGGATCTTTATGAAATTGTACTGCAAGGTTCCATATCACAAAGGGAAAGCTGGGTTTGAGTTTGGGGGTAATTGCCCTAAACGTTTAGGAATTTGGGGCCAAAAAACAAGCATTTTTCTAGTTACCAGACAATAACTTGTGTTCAAGTGTATGGATCTCTCTGAAATTGTACTGCAAGGTACCATACCACAAAGGGAAGCCTGGGATTGAGTTTGGGGGTGATGAATCATAAGGGGGTTCAAAAAATTGGGGGGGGGGGATTTTTTTTTCCTTTTTTATCTTTAAAATTTTTCATTCTAAATTGGTTATTTCTGATTTATATATAAAAGCCAATAATAATGATATGGTTTGAATATGTAAATTAAAAATTTTTAAGTTCTTAGACCACTTTCATTCTGTGTCAGAAACCTATGCTGTGTCAAATATTTAATTACAATCCAAATTCAGTGCTGTATCAAGCTTGACTGTTGTGTCCATACTTGCCCCAACTGTTCAGGGTTCGACATCTGCGGTCGTATCAAGCTGCGCCCCAGCAGAGCATTTTATTGGAGATTTGTTTTTGAAGGGGTGAAATGGTTTTTGTCTTTTTTCGTTCTTTGACTTCTTCTTAACATGACCAGATATGTTATGAGTACATTTTTGTACACAAATATTTTGTAAATTAAAAATATTACCTTGACTGGTATTCTTTTGTAATTTCAATCTTTCTGATTATTTTTTAAAACCGGAAGTGTAGAATGTGCACACAAAATGATGATGTCACAATGAATGTGTATCAACAACGGAGTGGATAATTTCTCATTGAATGAAAAATAAATAAATTAATAAAATATTAAGAAAATTTTGCCTTACCGGAGTAAAGAATTTAAAAATAATTGTCCTACACTTCCAAACTGAATAAATCACACCTTAATAAGAACAGAAATAAATGTTTCTTTCTGAACGAATGTTACTATGGATGCATCCCATACAAGTTCACAAGATATGTCTTTTTCTTTGCAAAAGTCACAGAAAGTCTTTCTATAAACAATCACACAATCCTCCAAAAGCTTAAAGTTGATAAATAATCCTAACTTTTAAGGTTTAAAATTACTAAAAAACGATTTAAGTATTGAAAAATATACGGAGCTCGATTCAGAACAGCTGGTCGTAAGCAGCGCCACCTATCTTCCAGTATTTATAGATATTAAAAAAGTTTTGTTCCCACATATTTTCATTTTAATATTGTATAACAGGGTGCTCAGTACACGTATATGTTCCTGATTCTTAATAGGCCACTTCACGGTTATTGCAGCCATATTGAATAGGGGGCAGATTCCATGCAACTGTTCTGTTTCAATGATGTTTCCCATTATTTTTCAAAGCATTTTCACCTCCATTGTGAAAATCTGCCCCTATTCGATATGGTTGCAATAACACTGAAGGGGCTTATTGCAAATTATTTTTTTATAAATTCTTTCTTTTATACTTGTAACTTTTAACATGTTTAAAAACCTGTATATTTCGAAGAAACACAACTAATATAAATTTGCTCTTGATTTTACAAAATAACTGCAAACCTTTAACTAATTACAAAATCACAGTCTCATATCAATCAGATATATACAATACATTTTGTACTTGTTCATTATACCACATAACTTTTCTTTAAACAATCTCATTTTACTTATATCAATGTATATCTGATGTTCCAGTAATTTTTACTAAACATTTGCTAAAGCATTGTCATGAAAAATAAACATCAACAATGATCAATGAGACAGCAACCTAATGATACAAAAAAGAAGTCTAGAGATCAACATATTATTTTGACAGTATACAATATTTCTGTACAATTTTTTCAAACACAGCCTTTAACTCTCATATATGCTTGTACCATTCAACAGTAAAATTCTTAAAAGACTGAATGTCTGCTGTATTCTTTTCCTTATTCAAGTCAGTAACAACAGTCTTATTCGTCGTTCCTGTTTCTTCCTGTATAAAAATATAGAGATGTGGTACGATTGCCAATGAGACAACTATCAAATGAATTGGATGCAAGCAGTTATAGGCAACCATATGGCCTTCAACAATGAGAAAAAACCCATATCGTATAGCTGTCAAAGATTCTTGTGTCTGAATTATTTCCAACACATTTTCTTAAATTATTTTTATACTTGTGTTCTTGATTCTACCAATAAAAATAGTGTCACAAACTGTATATTTTGAACTTGATATTGATTACATCCTGTAACTTTTATTGTCTTATACATTTGTACAGTATGACAGTAGTATTTTGTTTCGATAAATTAAAAACTTTCTTTTTTCGAAACATCATTCTGTAAAAAGAATTTAAAATGACAGGCTTGAAAAAATATGTGACATTTCACTCTGTTTCAGGTAAAATCAAGATATGCCTAGCTAATGACCATATCATTGTTTACTGTAATTCCATTATGACATAAACACTTAATCTGCTTCTTAAAAGTTTGACCTTTTTAGAAAATAGTATTTTCTAAAGATCCCTCAATGACTTGGGTACCTACATGTATGTGAAATTCTACCTTGTTTTGGATGAAATCAGGATACACCAAATTGATTACCATAACAAATTTTATGTTATACCATGATGGCTTAGAAATCAGTCTTATCATGGAAGGGGAGGGGTTATAGAACAAATTTAATTTACACAAAATAATGTAAAGGAGAATAGGAGGGGCATACTGGAAAAGTGATTGTAGCAGGAAAGATATCCTGATCATCTAGGTACACTGGTAATCAGAAGTGCATAAATGAGGGTAGGAATGCCCTTTAACATCAGGCGTTAGACGGTCATTTTTGGCTACCGTTAGCTTCAAATTGGTTATAATTTTATCGTGATTCATCAAAATATCCTTATCATGATTCATCAGAGGTCTCAAATAACCGTTTAACGTCAAATTGGTTAAAATTTTATCATGATTCATCAAAATATCCTTATCGTGATTCGTCAGAGGTCTCAAATAATTATCCATTATTGTTATTTTTAGAAATTCTTTAACATGATTCGTCAAAATCAGTTAATATTTTTATCCTCATAAAGTAAATGTACATCTTATCATCATGCACCAAAATTTACCGTTAACATCATTTGGCAAGATTTTTTACCGTTATTCGTCATGAATGACCCCCATTATGACCCTCATAAATAACATGTTCTTCTGAAGTACATGCAAGGGAACAAACTACATGTACCTGTTCTTTTGAGGCAAGGGAACATAAAACGTTACTATTGGTTCCCGGAAATGGTAAGGAAACATGAAAAATGATCCTGTTTGTACCTGGAAATATGACTTTTTCTTGGCCTAATATTGTTAATTTACAACAAAAATGTCCAGTGTTATGACCTATTTGCATTCAATGCCAATATACATAATAATACAGTATGAACAAAACTTGTCATCTGTCATAAATCCCTCATGTTCAAAAGAATATTTTGTCATGATGCATATTATCCTTCTATCTTATATATTTCTTATATTTCCATCAATTTAGATAAATAAAAATGGGATCAGAAAAGTTGGTATCAGAAATGACAAGGTCAGAGTTAGAGCAGTACAAACACAGTCCAGAAACAGAGTTAACTGCCTTGGTTTGTCAGGCCTGTGAAAGTGGAGATTTCAGTTTGCTCACAGATTATCTCAGGGTATTGTATTCTTGATATACATGTATCTCCATAAAATAATAGAATAGAAAAGAAAAAAATGAATGTTACCTGTATCTGAGGATTGAAAAATGAATTTGACTACATGATTTCCAAATTTAAGCTGGTTGAATATTCAAAAAGAAGATGACATTTAAACATAATTTAGAGTTTATAAAGTTTGTAGAGTGTAGATGATCTTTTTATTATAAGAAGAAGGTAATGTATGTTAAGGTTGTTTTTTGATCTTTTGAAACTGCAATTAAAAAAGTAGTTAATAATCTTTTTATGGTAAAATTTTTAGTTGATAAAAAGTGAATAATATAAAATAAAAAATGATAACACTATTTTTCAGATATTATGGGATACAGACCCACAAAGAGTTAATGCCACAGATAAAGCTGGAATGACTGCTTTACATTTTGCTGTTTCTTGTCAGAACGTACGTTTTTTATATAAAGTTTATTTTCTGATGATGTTTATTCGTATAGCATGCACATTCTGTAAAAATGTTGATCTACTTAAGGATGTACTTAGGTGAAATTAAAAAAATATAGAATTTAAAATTGATACTTTACATTTAAATCAGAAGAGCATTAGTTAATGAACAAAATAAGCTAAAAATATTGAATGGTTATGAAGCTCCTTTTCAAATAATTTAATTTTTGAAAAATTGGCGGTAAAAAGCTCATTCAGACTTTTTACCTTGTATTTGCATTGGTATTATTTGGGTCTCAAATGGAAAGAAAAGAAATCTAGAATTTGCTTAAATTTTGGTAAATGACCTTTTATGAACCATTGAAGTCTTATATGAAAAGAAAAATGGATGTTATGGGGCAAAATATTTTACTCTGTATCGTAGGGAAAAAATCAAGGAGTCTGGTAAACCAAAAACATCTGACAAAAAATTCCTAAATGTGACCTGAGTACATCCTTAAAGCATTACCTTGCTTCTGTCATTCATTTATTTCACACTTAGTAAATTCTTTTTAAAAAGGGTTAAACCATTCATAAATCCTCCTATGCTATTAATAGTTCAATACTTCCAATGATGCTTATTTTAAAAGTAAAATTATGTAAAAAACTATCTACTCACAATATTATATGGTGTAACAAATTTTACTGTAATGGAAAATTTCTATAATTTTGTTATTGGAAAATGCATTGTGTATGATGTAAAAGGGCTAATTGTGTAAAGCAAGTATATTGTATAGCTGAATCTGTTTAAAGCATGTGTTCTAGTTTTGTTTAATCAAATTATATTTACATAGCAATGGCAGGGTGTCATTGAATTACAAAAATGTACTTTAACATTTTAGTGAGTGTGTCATTTATATTGCCATAGTTTAGATGAATGCACATTTTTAAAGTCTAGTTAAAGATAATACATGAAAATCTTTTTCATGACTCTAAAACCTTCTATTTAAATAACTTGTGTTTTTTTTGTTATTGTAAAGTTTTTGTAACTTCCAATAGGGAACACTTTACATTAGAACATTTAGAAACTCTTCTATTTAAAGAAATTTTTGTTATTTTTTTTTTTTAAGTTTTCATAATTTCAGTCAACTGCTTGTTCATTCATCTTGTACAGATTTAATATAAGTGAAAGCAGCTTTCAAACAAGACATTATCTGGGATATATTAAGTTCTACATGTTTATGTATACATCTACTTTATATCCCTCATTATCTGACAACAGATTGCTGCAGTTAAGATACTGATGACGTACGGTGGGTTGGCATCAGTTCACATTCAAGATGCTTTAGGTTTTACACCACTATTTTTGGCCACAGGTCGGTAAAAGTTCAAAAGTTCCAGTTGTTGCACAGTTGGTTAACATTGTTTCAATTTATTTACAGTTTTAAAATGTATAAATATTCATTTTCTTTGAAAACGTTATTTACTGCTTTTCATCCAACACTTTGTATGGGTCTTAGGCATGCAGATTTTTATTCTTTTCTTCATTCCATTTATGTCCATTGGGGTATATAGGGTATACATGTATTTCAGGTTCATTATTCATAAGTCTTTTAAAATATATATGTCAATGACAGTTCTGATTTTATAACTGCAGATGTCTAGATTACAAAAACACATCATAATTTTAGTCTCTGCGACCTACATTTCATGCATGAGTGACTTTTGTTAAGTAACATGCTAATATCTCAGAAATGACGTGTATGGTACAATGGTATTCAGTAACATTTGGCTCACTGTAGTATACATTACATACTTGAATGACTCTCATTAATTTTGATTTTACACTTATTTTTCAAAAAGTTAGAGTGTGATACAATGTATATCAAATATATTTTACCACTAAATTTCTCCAATATACCTTTACTGTATTACTGCTAAGAAAAAACATTGATTTTGACTACCTTTTTTTCATAACTTTTAATAAACTCGTCATAGAAACCAGGATTAAAATTTAAACGAGGGGAAACTTTGATTACAGATTGTCATTTAATTTGGGGGAAAATGAAAGTATGAAGTCTGTTAAGAAAATGAATATTTATAAATTTTCAGATATCTAACAGTTGGCTAATTCAGAAATCGCACCAAATTATTGTTCAAAATCAGATTATGATTAATTTTATACATGTTTTATGTTTGAAAGGAAACTTTTAATCAACAAATAGCATTTGAATATCAACATTTGTATTCTGAATTATTCCAGTCAATTTAAGTTACAGTTATTTGTTTTTATCTCATTAAATTGATAAAACTTTTATAGTTCTTCCAGGGAAAACATGAGTAGATATGGTAAGAGCAATAATCTGACCTCTGAAATTAGAAAAAGATTTAAATTCTGTAATAATTAAAAACAAGGTTATTTTTATTGATATCAAAGTTGACTATTGGCCTGACATATCAATTTTACCATTAGTTTGGGTTAAATCATTCATGAGGATGAGCTATAGCCTTACCAAGATAAGATATTTGACTCTTATCATCTCATTTTTAAAAGTCTTATAGCAAAATATCTATCTGGGTAGGCTTTGCTCATTTTCACTATTAAAGACAGGCTCTCAAAAGGTCCTCAAATTCAAGAAGTTTGAGGATTTTTGAGAGTACTATGATTGATGTAAAATACATTTCCGATGTCAAGAGCCAAAAAGTGCCCTTATCATACCTTCTTCTTTACAAAGACATACAATTAATCTTAGTCCATATATGTTGTTCAGTAGACTTTCAGGATAAAACAAACAGGTTTTCTATGTCGCCATGTCCATTTTAACTTTATTTGAGTTTTCTTCATTGAATTTGGTTGATTGGAAATTTAAGTGCATGTTCCAGAGTTAAATAGATAGTAGTTAGTTTACAACACGTTACTTTTGTTATCGGATGGCATCATATGGTATCATAATGGTTTAAGGGGCCTCGGTGGCCGAGTGGTCTAAGTAGTTACTACTGTAATCACTAGCCAGTCAACACTGAGGTTGTGAATCTTAATTGACTAGGATTTTCAGTTTTCCTATCGAAGGTTGATGGTTTTCTCCGGGCACTACGGCTTCCTCCACCAATAAAAACTGGCCGCCACGAAAAAGCCCAAAAGCGGTGCTTAAAAGTGGCATTAAAACACCAAAAATCAAATTAAATCAAATCATAATGGTTTGAAGTTGGTTCTTTGAGAAGAAAAGCCTAACTTTTCAGTACTTATCTGATATATCAAAAGAGAAGAAAGTTGAAAAATTTCTTAAAGATCTGAATACTCATTCAGACATTTTGTTTGTAAAATTGTTACTAACACATGTATTAAATATAAAAACTGGTAATAAACAGTTTTCCTATAATTCACATTGTTCTAAAAAAAATTGTTTTCACTTTGAAAGAGAAATTTCTATACAATAAACATTTTAAACCTTTAAATCCCATTGAAAAATGGTGAAGCTTCCAACAAAAAATCATTATAATATTATAAGCATTTGTTGCAATCAATTGTTGATCTTTTTAATGTTAACTTTAAATTCACACTGAAATTACACATCTGGAGTTTCTTACAGCTTACACATTTTGACTGCAATGGATATGTATTTATAATACAAAACAAATCAAGATTTAAGTTAATTCTAAGGGTGATAACTTTAAACAGCTTTTAAACGTGTGGGTATTTTAACAGAGACTCAATAGTCAGACTTTTCTTGTTCTACGATAAATGCAGTCTGGACATTAATTAATAGCTGCTTTGACCGTGACATTGTTTCCTTATCATCAATTGTGTCCCTTTCATCTGCTGAGACATCATCAAACCAAGTTTTGGTAAAAATTATACTTAGGGTTCCAAAGATATTGGCAGACACCAAAAATGTACCCAAGCTTCAGTATATCAATAGCTGTTGTGACCTTAACCTTTGAAGTAATGACCTCAAAATCAATAGGGGTCCCCTTCATCCCTTTACGGCATGATCATATTAAGTTTGATAAAAGTATTTGTTTATGGTTAACAAAAATTTGTCATGAAACCAAAATATCTAAATACCACATGTCACATGAAGTGTAAAACTGCCAAATCTAAAGATTTCCAAATTTTTATTTTTTTGACAGAATTGTACAATAAAGATAGATTGCAGTGTAGTTTTTTTCAGCAGGTTATCAGGAAGTTTATTGTTTTACAATAGTATCGTCAAATTTGACTTACTAATCCAAGATGCCATGTGTTTACAAATGGTTTACATATATTGTTATCAAATTTCAAAATTTTAACCAAATTGACATGAAATAAATGTGCATTAGTTTTTAGTGTATCAATTTATCATGCATTTGCTCTATCATTCATTGTAAAAAAGATATCATGCATTCTTCTGTCAGAAATTATATATGAATTTATCAAGCATTGACCTGCATATATCATAGATTATTAAAATTTTGTCATGTATTGCTCTAGCATACATTTAATACAAATTTATCATACATATTTCATAGCTTTATTATAAATGATAATTTACATTTAATGCTTTCTGTCTGTACATCTGTCTTATTGCATTTGATCTGTCATGTACATGTATTGTTGTATGGATATATGTGGTTTTTTTGTCGAGCCTGCGACTTTTGTCGCAGAAAGCTCGACATAGGGATAGTGATCCGGCGGCGGCGGCGGCGGCGGCGGCGGCGGCGGCGTTAGCTAACTTCTTAAAAGCTTTATATTTTAGAAGATGGAAGACCTGGATGCTTCATACTTTGTATATGGATACCTCATGTTACGAAGTTTCCGTCAGTCACATGTCCAATGTCCTTGACCTCATTTTCATGGTTCAGTGACTACTTGAAAAAAAAGTTCAGATTTTTTGTAATGTTAAATTCTCTCTTATTATAAGTAATAGGATAACTATATTTGGTATGTGCGTACCTTGCAAGATCCTCATGCCCGTCAGACAGTTTTCACTTGACCTCGACCTCATTTCATGGATCAGTGAACAAGGTTAAGTTTTCGTGGTCAAGTCCATATCTCAGATACTATAAGCAATAGGTCTAGTATATTCGGTGTATGGAAGGACTGTAAGGTGTACATGTCCAACTGGCAGGTGTCATCTGACCTTGACCTCATTTTCATGGTTCAGTGGTTATAGTTAAGTTTTTGTGTTTTGGTCTGTTTTTCTTATACTGTATGCAATAGGTCTACTATATTTGGTGTATGGAATGATTGTAAGGTGTACATGTCTAGCTGGCAGGTGTCATCTGACCTTGACCTCATTTTCATGGTTCAGTGGTTATAGTTAAGTTTTTGTGTTTTGGTCTGTTTTTTTTATTCTGTATGCAATAGGTCTACTATATTTGGTGTATGGAATGATTGTAAGGTGTACATGTCTAGCTGGCAGGTGTCATCTGACTTTGACCTCATTTTCATGGTTCAGTGGTCAAAGTTAAGTTTTTGAGTTTTGGTCTTTTTTTCTAATACTATATGCAATAGTTCAACTATATTTGGTGTATGGAAATATTTTATGATCTATATGTCAGTCACTCAGGTTTTATTTGACCTTGACCTCATTTTCAAGGTTCATTGCTCAGTGTTAAGTTTTTGTGTTTTCGTCTGTTTTTCTTAAACTATAAGCAATAGGTCAACTATATTTGTTGTATGGAAGGATTGTTAGCTGTACATGCCTGCCTAGCATGGTTCATCTGACCTTGACCTCATTTTCATGGTTCATTGGTCAATGTTTAGTTTACTTGGTTAATGTTAAGTTTATGTGACAGTTGTAATAAAGCTTTATATTTAGGACTATCAACATAATATCAATGATTAGTAAAGAAGGCGAGACATTTCAGCGTGTGCACTCTTGTTTATTCATTTGTCAACATAGCACCTCGGTATCTTTTTTGTTTCATTTCCAGTGGAGCAAAAGACATTGCAGTACTGGAAAGAACTTGACATAACATTTTCCTCTCCCAGCTTTTTTAATATGTATTAACTAATGCTTCTTTATCTCTTTAAATGTCAGGTCGCTATCCTAGTGTAGAAATTTCCAAATACTTAATCGAACAAGGTAAAGCTGATATAAACCTGAAGACATTAACAGGAGCCACACCTTTACATGGAGCAGCCTTACAAGGAAATATAGGTATGTTATTAACAGAATTAATCTGATGGAAAGTGACCTTTATGGACATGTATTATACTATGGTACATTCTTTAAAAGAAAAAGATAATCTGAATAAGTAAGGCCTTTAATGCATTCATCATGTTCATAGGGTATTAGATTAGTAATCATTCTCCTTTTCTTGATAGAACTGTTACTGCATTACACCACGTTTTAAATGTTTTGATATAAGTGAAATTTTTAGAGATTCTGAGTATAACTAATGATATAGGGCAATACAAAAAAAAATTGAGACTAACCCGAACTGGCTGGTTTTGCCTCCCCAGCAACTGTGGTAGTACTTCATTTGCCACAGAGGCTTAACCTGGGTTAGCCCGGTTGGTGCTTGCGGTATAGGCACAGTCGCATCATTTGCTTAAAAATCAGCAGCAGGCGCATATAGGCATACGCCTCCCTCGCCGGTCTTAACACACCGGCAAGCAATCAGCCAGTCAAAAAAGTATGGCGGAAAGCGCAATGTAAGGTAAAATGTCAGCATTGAAAGGTGATTGTAACATTTTTCAATCAGACTATATTGTAATGTGATACTGCAATGGTCCACTATGACGATTAATAAATTAATACGCCATATTTTATTTTTAAATTTATAAAATAGTCTCAGAGAATTTTTTTTATAATGAATAAGGCCTCTGAAAAATAGATTGTATATAAAAAATTATATTTATTTTTAACAGGTTCATTTTTTTCATATTTCCCAGCTTAGAAAGCAAAAAGTTTGAATTTGTACTTCGGTCGCCATCTTACAATCAGCCGGTTCCACTCGTTTTACTTTTCAACAACTATTAATCCAGTCATGTGATAGGGCTTACCGGGCATAGCCCGAACTCGAATGAATGAAGCAGCCCCAAAGAGACATAGGGATGATTATCTTGCAGTTACTGGTTAGGTGGGTTAGGTGAGGCTTTTCTTTGAGATAACGTCAATTATTAACTTTCAGATTGCATAAGATTACTTCTTCTTAAACATGCTGACCCTAGGGTGGAAGATGAAGATGGGACAATACCCATGGAATTGGCAAAAGATGATGCATCTAGAACTTTACTTCATGATGCTGTCATTGATGCAGATTCAAAAAGAGATGCTGTTGGTAGGTTTTATCACACTAACAAGGGGCCTCGGTGGCCGAGTGGTCTAAGTAGTTATTACTCTAATCACTAGCCAGTCAACACTGAGGTTGTGATTTCGAACCCCACTTGTACTGGTGCACTCGACTCCATTCTTAATTGACTAGGATTGTCAGTTTTCCTATCGAAGGTCGTGGTTTTCTCCGGGCACTCCGGCTTCCTCCACCAATAAAAACTGCCCGCCACCAAAAAGCCCAAAAGCGGTGCTTAAAAGTGGCTAAAAACATAGAAAATCAAATCAATCACACTAACAACACATGTTTCTTTTAAAACATATTAAAATAAGGCCAAACTGGTGTTTATAAAAAAGAAGATGTGGTATGATTGCCAATGATACAACTCTCCACAAGAGACCAAATGCCACAGAAATTAACAACTATAGGTCACCGTACGGCCTTCAACAATGAGCAATGGTCCTTCATACTGAAATATATTTTAGTTCATTAGATCTTTTTTTTTTCGTATTTTTGCAGAGATATTGCAGGTTTTAAAGGTGCTCAGCAAAAATATTGCCATGTAACCACAGAACTACAATTGTTTTTTTTTGCTTCCTAATTGTATAAAGATATGTATGAGTAAAAATGTTTTTCAATAGAAATTATTGATACAAACTACTTCATTGTTGACTTTGTTTCAAAGTCAACTCCTTATATGAAATAAGACATATATTGAGGGAAATAGTCTTGATATCTAACATTGGATTTTACATGGGCTAAAGAGATTTTCATAAAAATGAAAAGTATGTTTCTGTTTTCTTCATCTAAATGAGATCAGAGTGAGATTTAAAAATCATGTTCTTATATGGTGTTTACAAATGTTTATAACACAGATGCAGTTTGTGCTCAGTGTAAGCAGATACCAAAAGATGGTCTAAAGAGGTGTGGCCAATGTCATGTGACCTTATACTGCAGTAGAGATTGTCAGTTGAAACACTGGAAGTTTGGTGGACATAGGAGCAATTGCACAGGTATGATAGCACAAATGTTTTTATTTTATAATATGAATAAAGGATAAATGGGATAAACACATATTATGCCATAACTATCACCAAAAATTGATGGCATCCATTAAACTTTTGAATAGATGATCTTCAAAAGAGTAAAGCTTATGGAAATGTGCACAAGCTTCAGTTTCTGAGAAAATCCCTTTAGTAACATATTGTGGTTTTTTTTTTTGTATACATGTAAAATCTTTTAAATTCAGTTATAAGCTAAATGTATTAAACATATACATTATTTAAATTTTGTACATACAATTGAAATACTTTAATACTTTAAACTTAATTATTAGAACGCCTTCGGGTGTGGGATTTTCTCGCTGTGTTGAAGACCCATAGGTGGCCTTCGGCTGTATTCTGCTCTTTGGTCGGGTTGTTGTCTCTTTGACACATTCCCCATTTCCATTCTCAATTTTATATCCCGGATGTTCACTAGGAATTATCTTATAATGTTACTTTTTTTTACAGGGTATGTAATGGCCAGACCATTCCATTATGGAGAAAAGGCTGGTGAAGGATTTCATACATCCTTCTACAGAGTGATGGGATCAACTAAATCTGATGTTAAAGTCTATGTCAGAAATGCAAATGAAGCTGCACAGAAAATGGCATTTCTCACAAACAAAAGATTTGTTGTTAAAGTTCAGGTTCCAATAGGTTAGTCTTGCTGTTGTCTTTCATTTATAACTGCTCCAAGGGTTTTGAAAACAATTTTCTAATTATACCCCCGCTTTAAAAAAGTGGGGGTATACTGTTTTACCTCTGTCTGTCCATCCATCCGTCAGTCCATCAGTCTGTCCTTCCGTCCCATGAATATTTTTCATTGCATTTTTCTCAGGAACTACATTACAAGGATTTCTGAAATTTGGTTTCAGGGTTTATATGAGTCAGCTATACCGTGTGAAGCGTTTATAGATTGATCACTCAACAATTTCCTGTTTACCGAACACTTACACCATTTTACACAACACATCCAAGTTGAATATTTTCGTCACATTTTTCTCAGGAACTACATTACGAGGATTTCTGAAATTTGGTTTCAGTGTTTATATAAGTCAGCTATACCGTGTGATGCGTTTTCAGATTCATCACTCAACAACTTCCTGTTTACCGTCAAATATTTGGGCTTGGGGCATCATCAGTGAGAGGTAGCTCGCAGTTTCACTTGTTTTTACTTGATGAACAACTGCTAATATTTAAATACTGATGAAATACAAATTGAAAGATTTTTTTTAAACACGTTTAGATACTGGTTGAAAAGTACAATTCATTTTATAGAATCCCCATTGTAATTATAAACCTTTTACAGTCTTAATAGAGTGAAAAATCTTCATGAAGCAATAAAAGGAATATACATATATAATATTGAATACATTTGCTTATCTTGGGCCCCGCTGTGAATAATGTGTGGTAAAAAAATTGTATCTTTATCATTGGACATGGGGTTGTCAACTGAAACCAAAGTTTTTGACCTTGACCTTTGACCTAGGAAGTTGTACATAAATTATGACACACCCTCTGGTGTTGGTTTATATACATGTCAAGTATAAATTTTGAAATCATTACGGTTCTCAAGATATAGAGCAGACACGATCTTTACCATAGGACATGGGGTTGTCAACTAAAACCAAAGTTTTTGACCTTGACCTTAGACCTAGGAAGTTGTACATACATTATGACACACCCTTTGGTGTTGGTTAATATACATGTCAAGTATAAACTTTGAAATCATAACGGTTCTCTAGATATAGAGCGGACACAATTTGTTACGGACGGACGGGCGGACAGACTGATCACTGTAGGGCATCCACCATTCAGCAGGGCCCTTATTACTGTAAACAGATAAGGCTTTGTGAGCAATGTATTTTCGTGAATTGCTCACAAGTGAAAAATGACGTTAATGTTAATCATCACAATATGTCAAATTTGGAAATTACTTTACACAAATGTTGAAAATTGTATATTGTACATACAGTGTTTGAGGACCATGCAGTTATCATCAGAGACCAGTTACCCTAACCTGGCATTTTCTGCTAAAACAAGTGTTTTGTAAATATTGTATACTGCTGTTAAATTGGGATAATTATGATTCTTTCATTTATAAAAGTTTAATATTGTTTACCTCAATTTAGGAAGGGAAATGGCAAGTGTCCTGTTTTTATACGACCGCAAAAAAATTTTGCGGTTGTATATTGATATGATGTTGGCGTCATCGTCGTCGTCGTCCGAAGACACATTAGTTTTTACGCACTCTAACTTTAGTTTAAGTGAATGGATCTCTATGAAATTTTACCATAAGGTTCAATACCACAGAAGGAAGGTTGGGATTGATTTTGGGGGTTTGGGGGGTTATGGTACCAACAGTTAAGGAATAAGGGGCCAAAAAAATGCACCTTATTAATTTAAAAAAGTTTATGAATACACCATAATGAAACTTGCAATCATACATGCATGATGATTATATGAATGAAAAGTGATGTGGGAAAGTAGTCAATAAGACAGCAACATATATTATGAAAATAAATCATCATTTATCACAAACACCACATTGCAGCTGTACTATTAAAAGACACTTAGTATTCACGGAAAGCACATTGAAAATAAAGTAGCCATCCATAGAAGGTGATTTAAATTTCTGTATTTGTATATATATAATATTTTACACCCATCCTAAGTGGTAAATTCAATTTGCATTCCTTGGGTCCCAAGTATATTTTTATGGAACTGCCCTTTGACACTATTAGTTAAATAGGTAATACAATGCAAATGAACTGAATTAAGATGTGGTAAGATTGCTAATTAGACAACTCTCCACCAGACAACAGATGTCGTATAATTTAACAACTATAGGTCATCCTTCAACAATGAGCAAAACCCATAGCACATAGTAAACTTGATTAATTCCAGGAAAAGGGTATATGCTTGCTTGCTGTTTAATCTGTAATTAAACAAAAGTAAGGAGTGTACCTCATGGTCAGGCTAAACTAGAGCAAAAAATTTGGTGCTACTGTATTAAGTATCATGGTTTAGGAAAAGCGCTTAAGGTAACGGACTCAATATATGACTTATGGATGGGTCACATATCTTCCAGAATATTTTTATGATCAACTGGAATAAAATCTTCAGATATCTATTTAGAGTGATCACATCAGGATACCTCCATAACACATTTTTCTTTCCTCATCTAGAATTTGCAGTTGAAAACCTAACAGCATATGTTAACATTTAAATGAAAAAGATGACAATCAAAATGAACAGTAATAGAATGCATGGATATTCAATTTTTATCTTAAAGGATAACCTTATTGGCTTGTTTAGTGTTACCATTCCCGAATGGTCAATGTGCTGTTACCATTCCAGAATGGTCAATGTACTGTTACCATTCCAGAATGGTCAATGTGCGGTTACCATTCCAGAATTGTCAATGTACTGTTACCATTCCAGAATGGTCAATGTGCTGTTACCATTCCAGAATGGTCAATGTATTGTTACCATTCCAGAATGGTCAATGTACTGTTACCATTCCAGAATGGTCGATGTGCTGTTTCCATTCCAGAATGGTCGATGTGCTGTTACCATTCCAGAATGGTCAATGTGCAGTTACCATTCCAGAATGGTCAATGTACTGTTACATTTTAGAATGGTCGAAGTACTGTTGCCAATACAGAATGGTAGATGTACTAGTTCTGTTACCATTCCAGAATGGTCAATGTGCTGTTACTTTTCCATCTAAGGATTCAATTGAAAAAAGACCAATTTAATGTAAGACATTCCAGAATGGTAAATCTGCTTTTCTTATTCCAAACTAGCCAATGTAATATGGTAACTGTTCCAGAATGGTCAAATGTCAGGTTGAAGAAGCATGTATCAATTGAACTTGTGTGAAAAGCACAAATTAGAATAATGTTTGCTGAAAGTACCTTGACCTTGGACAATACACACAATTTGTGTTTGTTTACATAACAAAATCCCTGTGGAAATTTTAATTTAAAATCTATCTTCATTCTAGAATTTTTGATAAACTCTTATTTTTGATAATTCTCTGTTTTTATTACAATAAAAATGTGTGACAGATTTATATCTAAATAGTTTTCTTGTAATATGAAATTACATTTTAAATTTTTTTATGTAGGTGCATCTTCAGGAGAGATGATGGTCTACAATGCAGATCGAAGTGTAGAGGGCTATGTTTATCACACAGAAAGAGGTAGTAAATCTAAACCAGTAATGCTGTATATTACACTAACCTTTTAAGTAGCTATATTTCTACATCAACTTTAAGTAATAATGTGTTTTCATCATATTATCACCCAAATTGAGTAAATAGAAGAAAATCAGATTAGTACACAGGACCAGAGATAAAAATCGCCTATATTTATTGGTTTCTTTTGGTTTTTTAGAGGTTTTCGCTTGATTGCCTTATGATAATACACATAATTGGGTGGAAAATCAGACTCAGATATGGATCTGAGCAACTACAATCATTGGTTACTGATCTGTTGACAGTTCATGCATCAAAATTAGTTACTTAGATCGTGGCTTTGTTTACATTACTGATATATGTTCTCTTACTGTTGCCAAAAAAAAAAAGGATAAAACATGTTTACTTTAAACTATGCAACCGACTTTTTAAAAGATTAAGATTAAACAGAAACAAAAATCAATAAATGCCATCAGAATAGATGTCGTTTATGACCATTCCATTTCATTATTTCATTTACATATTAGTTTGTTGGTGTATGAGGGTAGGAATAAGGTACCCCACATGACGAATGATGGTAAAATAATAGTTGAAATAACGGTAACAATAAACATTTGACTCCTTTTGACACAAACGGTAGCTTCAAAATGAGATTTGACGAATGTCTATAAAAAATGAAGGCTCATTTGATGCTAACGGTAGCAAAAAACAGATGTTTGACGCTTGACGATAAAGGGCATTCCTACCCTCATATATGTATAAGAATCATAGAGTTATTGTTAAAATAGAATATGAATGTGTTGATGTTATCTAGAATGTTAATTTTTAATAAATTTTACTTTACAGGATATGAAAATTTGACAAAAAGAATACAAACAGAAGGATTTATGGGTGTAAAAGCCTTCTTCTGGGCAGAAATCATGACTGGTATTGATGAAGGCTGCTTTAAAATTTTTCATGGAAAATGTGCGCCCTATCAGCAATGGTGAAATTAATGAATGAGCTGCATTTTGTATTATTCTAAAAACTGGCAACATTGATGCTTTATTTTCTTTGTTATGGGAGAATTCAGAGAATACAGAAAACTGACATAGAAAAAAGTGCAGTTTCTAGTGCTTTCAATGAAAATTGAAATTTGTTTTTTTTATATTTACAATATATACTGCTTGAAATAATGTATATTCTTGCATATAAATTTTGAAATCTGTGGGAAAAACTATTAACACTAGTCTTAATAGGCTTAAATTCAGTATTGGTGATTGTGCCTTGTTAAGCTATAAAGTAGAACTTTGCTTGTCTTTAATTTACTGTTATTTGGCCATCTTATTTACCATTGTGCAAATTATGTTTGTTTATTTAAATGCAAAAGGTTTGACTTTTTGCAAATATTTATAGAAATATGGTACCTTAATTGAAATAATGTGTTTGAAAGCTAAACAAAATCTATTTGAAAGGGCTATAATACTTTTTACAAATACTTCAAAATTTGTTAGGCCAATAATTCCTTTCCGCTGTTACAGAGATATGTGCATAGAATTAAAATTCACTTACTCTTAATTTCCCATAGAAAGCTAGTTTGTTACTAATTCAAAGCTTAGGTTAGCACAACACAAAAAAAACTTCACTTTTGTTAATGAGGTTCTGATTAAACTGATAAAAAAATACATTTTCAAGTGATTCCTTTACTGAAAAGGGGACATTCTCATATTGTTTATATGTATGTTATATATTTGTTTTCTGTTATTTTTTATAAAAAGTATACAATACTCACATTGTTGACCTCTAGATGTCTTGTTGTTTTTGTGTGTTGGGTTGCTGTCTCACGAATGTATATCCCATTCATATATAATTGTTGAATTTGCATTTTAGAAATATATACTTCATTTATCAAGAGTTATCACTTCATAAAAATATTTTTATTTTAATTTTTTTTTTTTTTTCTGGAGAAGCATAACTTGTCAACAACTGATTCTAAGATTATTAAAAAAAAATATAGAAATAAATAACTGCAGTTCAAAACACTTATCTAAATTTATTCATTTGAATATCAAATTGTTTATAATGGTTTTCTTTTTCCCCTATTTATCTTAAAAACATTGATATTGAAGTTAATGTATGTGTAATATTTTACATGAATATCAGTCTACATTTATCTTTTCAATATATATGACTTCCAACAAGATTCCATCTATAGATATGTAATCCATTGTTGATGAGAAGGTTAAAAAAGATAATTCACACAACTCTTAACAAATCTGTCTTTTCGAGAGTGAAGAACTATACACATTAAAAGTGAGGAATGGAAAGACAAGCACAGAAATTATCATAGTTTAAATATTTTTTCTTTAAATTTTTATGATTTGAGCTCTGTATATAATAGTCCTAAGATGTTATCAGCCATTCAGTTGATAAGTTTGGCTTGTTGACATGTGTTAATCATTCCAAAAGGAGAAAACACTCCAATTATTTTGTATTCTGTTTTGTACAAATATTGTTTTTGCTATTAAAGAAAAAACATTTAATACAGTCTTGACTTGTAGTTTTTTGTCGAGCCTGCGACTTTTGTCGCAGAAAGCTCGACATAGGGATAGTGATCCGGCGGCGGCATTAGCTAACTTTTTAAAAGCTTTATATTTTAGAAGGTGGAGGACCTGGATGCTTCATACTTTGTATATAGATGCCTCATGTTACGAAGTTTCCGTCAGTCACATGTCCAATATCCTTGAACTCATTTTCATGGTTCAGTGACTACTTGAAAAAAAAGTTGAGATTTTTTGTAATGTTAAATTCTCTCTTATTATAAGTAATAGGATAACTATATTTGGTATGTGCGTACCTTACAAGGTCCTCATGCCTGTCAGACAGTTTTCACTTGACCTCGACCTCATTTCATGGATCAGTGAACAAGGTTAAGTTTTGGTGGTCAAGTCCATATCTCAGATACTATAAGCAATAGGTCTAGTATATTCGGTGTATGGAAGGACTGTAAGGTGTACATGTCCAACTGGCAGGTGTCATCTGACCTTGACCTCATTTTCATGGTTCAGTGGTTATAGTTAAGTTTTTGTGTTTTGGTCTATTTTTCTTATACTGTATGCAATAGGTCTACTATATTTGGTGTATGGAATGATTGTAAGGTGTACGTGTCTAGCTGGCAGGTTTCATCTGACCTTGACCTCATTTTCATGGTTCAGTGGTCAAAGTTAAATTTTTGAGTTTTGGTCTTTTTTTCTAATACTATATGCAATAAGTCAACTATATTTGGTATATGGAAATATTTTATGATCTATATGTTGGTCGCACAGGTTTTATTTGACCTTGACCTCATTTTCACAGTTCATTGCTCAGTGTTAAGGTTTTTGTGTTATGGTCTGTTTTTCTTAAACTATAAGCAATAGGTCAACTATATTTGTTGTAGGGAAGAATTGTTAGCTGTACATGTCTGCCTGGCATGGTTCATCTGACCTTGACCTCATTTTCATGGTTCATTGGTCAATGTTTAGTTTTTTGTCGAGCCTGCGACTTTTGTCGCAGAAAGCTCGACATAGGGATAGTGATCCGGCGGCGGCGGCGGCGGCGGCGGCGTTAGCTAACTTCTTAAAAGCTTTATATTTTAGAAGGTGGAAGGTCTGGATGCTTCATACTTTGTATATGGATGCCTCATGTTACGAAGTTTCCGTCAGTCACATGTCCAATGTCCTTGACCTCATTTTCATGGTTCAGTGACTACTTGAAAAAAAAGTTCAGATTTTTTGTAATGTTAGATTCTCTCTTATTATAAGTAATAGGATAACTATATTTGGTATGTGCGTACCTTGCAAGGTCCTCATGCCCGTCAGACAGTTTTCACTTGACCTCGACCTCATTTCATGGATCAGTGAACAAGGTTAAGTTTTGGTGGTCAAGTCCATATCTCAGATACTATAAGCAATAGGTCTAGTATATTCGGTGTATGGAAGGACTGTAAGGTGTACATGTCCAACTGGCAGGTGTCATCTGACCTTGACCTCATTTTCATGGTTCAGTGGTTATAGTTAAATTTTTGTGTTTTGGTCTGTTTTTCTTATACTGTATGCCATAGGTCTACTATATTTGGTGTATGGAATGATTGTAAGGTGTACATGTCTAGCGGGCAGGTGTCATCTGACCTTGACCTCATTTTCATGGTTCAGTGGTCAAAGTTAAGTTTTTGAGTTTTGGTCTTTTTTTCTAATACTATGTGCAATAGTTCAACTATATTTGGTATGTGCGTACCTTGCAAGGTCCTCATGCCCGTCAGACAGTTTTCACTTGACCTCGACCTCATTTCATGGATCAGTGAACAAGGTTAAGTTTTGGTGGTCAAGTCCATATCTCAGATACTATAAGCAATAGGTCTAGTATATTCGGTGTATGGAAGGACTGTAAGGTGTACATGTCCAACTGGCAGGTGTCATCTGACCTTGACCTCATTTTCATGGTTCAGTGGTTATAGTTAAATTTTTGTGTTTTGGTCTGTTTTTCTTATACTGTATGCCATAGGTCTACTATATTTGGTGTATGGAATGATTGTAAGGTGTACATGTCTAGCGGGCAGGTGTCATCTGACCTTGACCTCATTTTCATGGTTCAGTGGTCAAAGTTAAGTTTTTGAGTTTTGGTCTTTTTTTCTAATACTATGTGCAATAGTTCAACTATATTTGGTATGTGCGTACCTTGCAAGGTCCTCATGCCCGTCAGACAGTTTTCACTTGACCTCGACCTCATTTCATGGATCAGTGAACAAGGTTAAGTTTTGGTGGTCAAGTCCATATCTCAGATACTATAAGCAATAGGTCTAGTATATTCGGTGTAAGGAAGGACTGTAAGGTGTACATGTCCAACTGGCAGGTGTCATCTGACCTTGACCTCATTTTCATGGTTCAGTGGTTATAGTTAAGTTTTTGTGTTTTGGTCTGTTTTTCTTATACTATATGCAATAGTTCAACTATATTTGGTGTATGGAAATATTTTATGATCTATTTGGCAGTCACGCAGGTTTTATTTGACCTTGACCTCATTTTCAAGGTTCATTGCTCAGTGTTAAGTTTTTGTGTTTTGGTCTGTTTTTCTTAAACTATAAGCAATAGGTCAACTCTATTTGTTGTATGGAAGAATTGTTAGCTGTACATGCCTGCCTAGCATGGTTCATCTGACCTTGACCTCATTTTCATGGTTCATTGGTCAATGTTTAGTTTACTTGGTTAATGTTAAGTTTATGTGACAGTTGTAATAAAGCTTTATATTTAGGACTATCAACATAATATCAATGATTAGTAAAGAAGGCGAGACATTTCAGCGTGTGCACTCTTGTTGGTTAATGTTAAGTTTATGTGACAGTTGTAATAAAGCTTTATATTTAGGACTATCAACATAATATCAATGATTAATAAAGAAGACGAGACATTTCAGCGTGTGCACTCATGTTTTTATACATACTGTAAATTTCAAATATAATGTAAAAGAATACTATTTACTGTGGATTCATTATTTTTCGTTGGATACCAATTTTCGTGGATTTCGTGGGTACTGGTGAACCAGGGAATTAAATGTTCAACGAATAACAAATTTTCTATAGGCTTGTATGCAGACTTCGCCAAAACCACGAAATTAAATATTCACGAACATGTAAGTTTTCCTTAATCCACGAAAATTGGTACCCACGAAAATAAATGAATCCACAGTATCAGGAAATTGGTGTTGTATGTCTTAATTTTCACAAATGTCAAGGGAGCCTATTAATGCAAAATTTATCCTATGCAAACATTTCACTGTCCATTTAAATGCATTGTTCTAGCATGTGAAACATAAACAATGAACACAGCAAGTATTCAATTTCAAACACTAATGCCAAAGCACTAAAAATAACTTGTATCATATTACGGGAAAATCACAAAAATTTGAATATAATAAAATGCTCCGCTGGGCGCAGCTTGATACAACCGCAGAGGTCGAACCCTGAACAGTTGGGGGCTAGTATGGACACAACATTCAAGCTTGATACAGCACTGAATTTGAATTGTGATTAAATATTTGACACAGCATAGGTTTCTGACACAGAATAAATGTGGTCTAAGAACTTTAATTTTTTTAATTTACCTATTCAAACCATATCATTATTATTTGCTTTTATATATAAATCAGAAATAAACAATTTAAAATGGAAAATTTTAAAGAATAAAAAAGGAAACCCCCCCCCCCTAATTTTTTGAACCCCCTTATGTTTCATCACCCCCAAACTCAATCCCAGCCTTCCCTTTGTGGTATGGTACCTTGCAGTACAATTTCATAGAGATCCATACACTTGAACACAAGTTATTGTCTGGAAACTAGAAAAATACTTGTTTTTTGGCCCCTTTTTGGCCCCATATTCCTAATCATTTAGGGCAATTACCCCCAAACTCAAACCCAGCTTTTCCTTTGTGGTATGGAACCTTGTAGTACAATTTCATAAAGATCCATACACTTACACACAAGTTATTGTCTTGAAACAAGAAAAATGCTTGTTTTTTGCCCCTTTTTGGCCCCTAATTTCTAAAATTTTGAGGCAATTACCCCCAAAATCAATCCAAACATTCCCTTTGTGATATGGAACCTTGCAGTACAATTTCAGAGAGATCCATACACTTGAACACAAGTTATTGTCATGAAACTAGAAAAATGCTTATTTTTGGCCCCTTATTCCTAAATGTTTTGGGCAATTACCCCCAAACTCAATTCCAGCTTTCCCTTTGTGATATGGAACCTTGTAGTACAATGTCAGAGAGATCCATACACTAACACACAAGTTATGTCTGGAAGTTACAAAAATGCTTATTTTTGGCCCCTTTTTGGCCCCTAATTCCTTAACTGTTGTTACCATAACCCCCAAAATCAATTCCAACCTTCATTTTGTGGTATTGAACCTTATGGTAAAATTTCTCAGGCTCAACAAAAATGGGGAAAAAATTATTAAAAATTTTCCTCTAGATACTATCTTTTAATTGTTAGAAGTTCTGTTCAAGTTTGGTAAAAATCCAAGAAGGTTTATGAATCTAATAAATGTTTTAAAAACTTTTAACTGCAGACTGTACGTAATGTTAACTGGAATAAAACTAAGTCCATTTATAAGTAATATACGAAAAAACAGGAAATAAATTTTTACAAATTTCCTTCTGGATACTATCTAATTATTATAAACAAGCTTCTGTCCAAGTTTGGTACAAATCTAGGATAGTTTAAGAAAGTTATCAAAATTTGAAAAACTTTAACCACAGAGTGAATGTAATGTTAACTAAGTCTGGCAGAAAAACTAAGTCCATTCATAAGTAAAATACGGATAAACAGGATTTTTTTTTTACAAAATTTACTTCTGGATACTTTCTTATGATCATAAACAAGCTTCTGTCCAAGTTTGGATGAAATGCAGAATAGTTAAAAAAGTTATTAAAATTTGAAAAACTTTAACCACAGAGTGAATATTTGTGGACGCCGCTGACGACGCAGACGTCAACGAAATGTAGGATTGCTATGTCTCGCTTTTGCGACAAAAGTCGCAGGCTCGACAAAAATGATATTTTTAAGCAATATTTATTGTTGAAGGTCCACAACTTCTGCAAAAATAGCTCAACTGAAATGAAACTGAAATTTTATCTGTAACTTCTAATGATGTGACTGAAATATATTATCTGTAACTTCTAATGATGTGACTGAAATATAGACAACTATTCAATAGATTCAGGCATTACAGGAAAAAATAAATAGGGAATGTGTCCATGGGACACAGATGATGTCCCCCCTTGCATATATTGTTACAAAGGGATATAATTCAAGAACTTTAAAAGTGACACTACCCAAATTTGTACTTGATCTGAGTTTTGTGGTAATACACATTGTGCATAAGTTTCATAACATTTGGTTGAGGCAAACTAAAGCTAGAGAACAGAAACAAATATTTCAGGAATTTTTCCATTTGTAAAGGGGCATAACTCTTAGAATGGTAAAAGTGACAACACCAAAATTCATACTTGATCTGTGTTTTGTGGTAATAAGCATTGTGTAAAAGTTTCATAACATTTGGTTGAGGCAAACTAAAGTAAAAGAACGAACACGAAAAATTCAGCAATTTTATATTTGTAAAGGGGCATAACTGTAGAATGGTAAAAGTGACGCCACCAAAATTCATACTTGATCTGTGTTTTGTGGTAATAAGCATTGTGTATAAGTTTCATAACATTTGGTTGAGGCAAGCTAAAGTTAGAGAACGGAAACCAATTTTGGGACATCTGGACAAGGGTAAAACTTAATGCCCCCTCTGCTACGGCGGGGACATAAAAATGCAGCAAATATTTTTAAGAGACACATCTTCAGCAAAAATTTGCTCAACTCAGACAAAACTCAAACTCACTTCTTATGGTATGACTATAAATCAAATATCAATAAATTGAAGCATTAAAGAATAAAATGCTTCGCTGAGCGCAGCTGGATATGAACGCAGAGGTCCAACCCTGAACAGTTGGGGCGAAAATGGACACAATATTCACGCTTGATACAGGTCTGAATTTGGATTGTAATTAAATATTTGACACATAATAGGTTTCTGACACAAAATAACTGTAGTCAAAGAACTTAGAATTGGTTATATGATTTGAATTTATATTCATCTTTTTGCTTTTGTGTAATACACTATGCTGTTGCGAATTGACCCCCCCCCTCTATCTTACTATCCAATGGGACATTTTTCTCATGTAAAAAAAATATTTGAAGAAATTTTCTTTTTAATTTCTGAAATCTGAAATGAAAAAAAAAATTGCCCCCCACAATTTCTTTTTACCCACCTCCTCCCCATCCCTTTTCCAAAAAAAAAAAATTCTTTCCCTTAAGATATGGTCATAATCTCAATTCAAATTTCCAATGGAGTTTGCAACCATAATTACCAATTTAAATACATCATAAAAATCTTAAATAGATAATTTAAAAGCAGTGTAAGGGAGGTGATCCAACATTGTACAATTTTGTTTTTGGATTACCTCCCTTACACTGCTTTTAAATTGTCCATTAACCAGGAAACCCTTGTTTTTTCCCCCTTTTTGCCCCTAATTCCTAAATGGTTTGAGCCATAACCCCCCAAAGCCAATCCTATCCATCCCTTTGTGGTATAATGTCAGAGAGATCCATACACTCAAACACAAGTTATTGTCAGGAAGTTACAAAAATGCCTATTTTTGGCCCCTAATTCCTTAACTGTTGGTACCATAACCCCCAAAATCAATCCCAATCTTCCTTTTGTGGTATTGAACCTTATGGTAAAATTTCATAGAGATCCATTAACTTAAACTCAAGTAATTGTCCGGAAACTAAATGCGTCTTCAGACGAACCAGACGACATGATAGCATTATACGACGCAAAAAAATTTTTGCGGTCGTTTAAAAAGGTATGGAAATCTTATCTGACAGAATGACTGAGTGCAAATCTATAGTCCCCTTCAGCTTTCCAATTTGGGAAATAAATTTTGAATATTGCATTGTAACATTATACACAGGAAAAAGTTACTGACATTTGACTGTTGTGGCAGCACTTGTCATGTGATCAAAACAACCATAAAGATAACTGAAATTTGCCTCTGTTATTCAGAAAAAGAACAAGAATGCCTGGATTGTTATACTAAGCAACTTGTAATGCAAAGTATTGGAAAACAGGAAATAGGTGCCTGACAGACCCAAAAAGGCCACATACATTATAACTCATCATTGTTGAGCTGCTTTATCAAATATTGAGTCATTCTGTTCAGTTTCTGAGAGTAGTGTGACATAATTATATGTTGGACAAATGGGCAGACAAATTGATTTCAATACTGTAAATTCAGAAATTATTGCGTCCATTTATTATTGCGATTTTGTCACTTTAGACTAAAATGCGATTTCAATTTTTGTAATATTGAGAAAAATCCTGTTTAATTCATATAAAAAATTTCAAAATGCGAGTTTAAATTATTGCGATTATAACTCTGTCGCATTTTTCGCAATAATAAAAACAACGCAATAATTTCTGAATTTACAGTATAGCCCCCACTCTAGGAGTGGGGGTATATATAATTACAAACTATTTACAGATGACAACTAACACAATTGGAAGCAAATACATGTAATCAAGCGAGAAAAAATAAACTCTGTGTCTTTTGTTTTTCACATTTATTTATAATCAACAAATGAAATCATGATCAGTGTTTATATAAAATTTAATATGTATATATGTATATATATATTAATCTGACAACATAAACCACCAACACCAAACACTACAGTAACATTTTCGGACACTGTTATGAAAAATGTTCAAACAAACAATATGACATACACATTTTTTATATTCATACAAGTTTTGTTTCTGTACAAGTTCTTTTAAAGATATTGGTATTGTTACATCAACAAATTTTAATCATACAACTAATTGAAAGAAATTAAATATACATGTATAACATGAAAATTATCATTGCAAGTTAAATAACTTAACACCTACAACCTTAAGACAGGAATAAAGAAACAGCTATGGAGAGAATACTGTCTTTTTTTAAATTTATTGTGAAAGAAATACAAAATGTATAACCTTTCCACAGAAACAGTTCCTCTTTGTCAGGCTATTTTAATTTTTGCAAGTTGACCTGTCTCATTGTATAAATACAATAGCTATTGTTCTCTGTGGAGTTTATTCAATAGGACCTTTTAAAATTTTTCCTTGAATATGATAACAATAATTTGGTGCAAAGATATTATTGACACACTTTCAGAGGGAAATCTAGAAACACAAATGTGTAGTAACAAATGAGATGTGGATAAATGCAAATGTGAAAGAAACCAAACTTCACAAGGACTCTTGTTAAAAGTTATTTTAAGTCATATTTTTATCAAATTATGTGACAAGAAATATTACACATAAGTATATAAACATATTTAGGTGTAATAAATGAAAGAGGAGAATAAAAAATGTGATTTTGGAAAAAATGGGAAAATGAGATTACTTAAAATTATAAAAACTGTAATTAATATGCATGTTCCATCATAAGAGGAATAAATCTTTTTATTTTATCATAACATTAATTTGATTTAGTCAGGTCTACTTGATATTTGGAAAACTTTACTACACATAAGGCCAAGTATTTCACAAAAAGATATGTCCATGTAAGTAGCTTTTTATGAATTATCAACAAAGTTTTCAAAATATTTAAAACAGTTGTAACATGGAGAATAATTGTTGAAAAAAATGCAGAATTACATGAGAAAGATTGTCAATGCACAAGTAAGCATATGATACATGTAAGGCAGTTATAGTGATAATTCTCATCATATAAGGCCATATACCAGAGAATACTTCTCATTCTCTTTCCATATTAAGATAAAATGCTTCGCTGGGGCGCAGCTTGATACGACCGCAGAGGTCGAACCCTGAACAGTTGGGGCAAGTATGGACACAACATTCAAGCTTGATACAGCTCTGAATTTGGATTGTTATTAAATATTTGACACAGCATAGGTTTCTGACACAGAAAGAATGTGGTCTAAGAACTTGAATTTTTTTAATTTACCTATTATGGTCCAATGTCCAAAATCAAAATACATGGTTAGATTCAGCATATCAAAGAACCCCATATATTCAATTTTTGTTAAAATCAAACAAAGTTTAATTTTGGACCCCAACTTGGACAAACTTGAAAACTGGGCCCATAATCAAAAATCTAAACACATGTTTAGATTCAGCATATCAAAGAACCCCAAGAATTCAATTTTTGCTAAAATCAAACTAAGTTTAATTTTAGACCCTTTGGACCTTAATGTAGACCAATTTAAAAAACGGGACTTAAAATTAAAAATCTAAATACACGGTTAGATTGGGAATATCAAAGAACCCCAATAATTCAGTTTTTGATGAAATCAAACAAAGTTTAATTTTGGACCCTTTTGACCTCAATATGAACCAATTTGATAGCGGGGCCCACAAATAAAAATTCTAAATTCATGGTTAGATTCAGCATATCAAAGAACCCCATATATTCAATTTTTGTTGAAATCAAAAAAAGTTTAATTTTGGACCCCAACTTGGACCAACTTGAAAACTGGGCCAATAATCAAAAATCTAAACACATGTTTAGATTCAGCATATCAAAGAACCCCAAGAATTCAATTTTTGTTAAAATCAAACTAAGTTTAATTTTGGACCCTTTGGACCTCAATGAAGACCAATTTAAAAAACGGGACCCAAATTAAAAATCTAAAAACACGGTTAGATTTGGCATATCAAAGAACCCCAATAATTCAATTTTCGATGAAATCAAACAAAGTTTAATTTTGGACCCTTTTGACCTCAATATGAACCAATTTGATAGCGGGACCTACAAATAAAAAATCTAAATACATGGTTAGATTCAGCATATCAAAGAACCTCATATATTCAATTTTTGTTGAAATCAAACAAAGTTTAATTTTGGACCCCAATTTGGACCAACTTGAAAACTGGGCCCATAATCAAAAATCTAAATACATGTTTAGATTCAGCATATCAAAGAACCCCATATATTCAATTTTTGTTGAAATCAAAAAAAGTTTAAATACTGGACCCTATCTTGGACCAACTTGAAAACAGGGCCCATAATCAAAAATCTAAACACATGTTTAGATTCAGCAAATCAAAGAACCCCAAGAATTCAATTTTTGTTAAAATCAAACTAAGTTTAATTTTGGACCCTTTGGACCTCAATGTAGACCAATTTAAAAAACAGGACCCAAAATTAAAAACCTAAATACACGGTTAGATTTGGAATATCAAAGAACCCCAATAATTCAATTTTAGATGAAATCAAACAAAGTTTTTTTTTGGACCCTTTTGACCTCAATATGAACCAATTAGATAACGGGGTCCACAAATAAAAAATCAAAATACATGGTTAGATTCAGCATATCAAAGAACCCCATATATTCAATTTTTGTTGAAATCAAACAAAGTTTAATTTTGGACCCCAATTTGGACCAACTTGAAAACTGGGCCAAAAATCAAAAATCTAAATACATGTTTAGATTCAGCATATCAAAGAACCTCATATATTCAATTTTTGCTAAAATCAAACAAAGTTTAATTTTGGACCCTTTGGACATTAATGTAGACCAATTTGAAAACTGGACCCAAAATTAAAAATCTAAATACACTGTTAGATTCGGCATAACAAATAAATAAATGTGATCAAAGATTTTACAAATCTAATGCGCCATACTGTGCAATTAAAGATTACTTCTTGAAATTTTTTAATATTTGAAATTTGAAAAAAAAATAATATTTGAAGAATAATTCTTTTTAATTTCTGAAATCTGAAATGAGAAAAAATTGGCCCCCCACAATTTTTTTTTATCCACACCCCCCCCCCCCCCCCCCCCCCTTTTCCCCCAAAAAAATTCTTTCCCTCAAGATATGGTCATAATCTCAATTCAAATTTCCAATGGAGATGGCAACCATAATTACCCATTTAAATTTACCATAGTGCTAACTTAATCATGTTAATCTATTTTATAATAGAATTAATAAAAATATAGTGTCAAATCTTTCATATGGATTTTTTTGTAAAAAAAAAAGATGAAAACATTTGCAGATATTTTTACTGGTCTTCCTTTATAAATATGCATTTCTTTAAACATAATTTAAAAGCAGTGTAAGGGAAGTAACCAAAACGTTGTATTTGGATTACCTCCCTTACACTGTTTTAGATTATCTTTATTGTTCATTAACCATTACTTTATACATAATTTAAAAGCAGTGTAAGGGAGATAATTTCAATGATGTATTTGATTTATCTCCCTTACACTGCTTTAAATTATGTTTTGTACTAAAGTATTTGTCCATTAACCAGGACAACCTTGTTTTTCCCCCTTTTTTGCCCCTAATTCCTAAACGGTTTGAGCCATAACCCCCCAAAGCAAATCCTAACCATCCCTTTGTGGTATGGAAACTTGTAGTATAATTTCAGAGAGATCCATACACCGTTCCACAGTTATTGTCTGGAAACTAGAAAATGCTCATTTTTGGCCCCTTTTTGGCCCCTTATTCCTTAACTGTTGGTACCATAACCCCCAAAATCAATCCCAACCTTCCTTTTGTGGTATTTAACCTTATGGTCAAATTTCAAAAAGATCCATTCACTTAAACTAAAGTTAGAGTGCGAAAACCAATATGTATTTGGACGACGACGCCGGACTACGACGACGACGACGCCAACGTCATACCAATATACGACCACAAAATTTTTTTGCGGTCGTATAAAAACATGTAGGACTGTTCCAGCAATAAATGTATATGGTTGCAGAAGACACTTTTAGTCCAAAATCGGGCAATGCAAAGTTGTCAAATTTGACATTTTCTGAAGCATTCAATGAATATCAAATTTTAACCCTCTTACATACACATCATTTTCAACTGAATATGCAATATGTTATTAGGCAAATTTTCAAAAACCTTCCCCATCAATCTTTATTATTGACTAGAGTGCCCTTTGACCTTGTCATACTTTCATTTATGGTACAAACCTGATTATTATTTTAAACAATCATAATATTTCTTTTCAATTGTTTTATTCTACTAGCTTAAAGTATGTCAATATAAATCAAAACACTTAATATTCCACAAGTAAGCTAGAACCTATCATAATGTCTGCATCTTTCTTTGGCTCTTTATAAAATGGGATGATTAAATGCACTTTTATAGCTCTTATAAATAAATATTTAAAATGAAATGACAAAACACACACATGTTAATCAATTGAACATATAACATTTTTAAAGCTATGCAGTAATTTACTGCTTAACCGAAAATGTTCCCTTTTGGACAAATCATCCTTAAAATTTAATGTCCAAGCAGAGTATACCCATTTGTATTAACATTATATATGCATGTATATTACTTATATCCCCTAATTTCAAATCTTGAAAAAAAAACTTCAGTAATCAGCATTGGTCCCATTTTAATTGTGACAAGATTACCAAAGAGACAAAAACAGAAATCTTCAATACTTAATAATATAGAAAAACAGTGAAATAAAACTGTAGGTTAAAAGTAAAAAGTAACTCATAACAACATAAAACTTTTAAAACATGTTATTTGGCACATGCAAACTTTATAAATCATATAGCCTTCCAAATGAAAAACATTCAAAAGCTTTCATAACAAAATCTCAAACAACAGAAAATAAAATAAAAGGCAACACAATCGCTTTCAACACAATCCCTTTCAACACAATCGCTTTAAACACAATCCCTTTGTCCTATTTATTCTCTCGTAGTACTTCTAAATGTAAAAAAACAAAAATAATATAACCTCTTGACATCAACTTCACTGCCTGTACCCTCAAATTGTGCCATTTTATAACATTTTCTCAAGAATTTAGGTGTACAGATTTTTTCTAATGAATAGTTTGTCATAATTAACCTGCTTTAACATAATAAGCTAGACTATGTATAAATGTTTGTAAGAAAATAAAGTTCAATGTCACAACTTAAATTTTGCAATTTAAATTTTATAAAACCGTTAAAAAAAAATACTAATGTAGTACTAACATTGCTCAGATGGAACTCATGTTTATCTAATCTAAACCTGTCCTAAGTCAGGAATCTGATTACAGTAGTTGTCGTCTGTTTATGTAGTTCATACGTGTTTCTCGTTTCTCGTTTTTATATAGATTAGATCGTTGGTTTTTCAGTTTGAATGGTTTTACACTAGTAATTTTTTGGGGCCCTTTATAGCTTGCTGTTCGGTGTGAGCCAATGCTCCGTGTTGAAGGCCGTACCTTGACCTATAATGGTTTACTTTTATAAATTGTAACTTGGATGGAGAGTTGTCTCATTGGCATTCATACCACATCTTCCTATATCTATATAAAGTTACCTTATGCAAGCTGATTTATGTGAGTAATATTGAGATCAATTTCTAATATAACTTTAAATAGCTGTAGATAATTTGGTGTTGCTTATTCAGTGCATATGATACCTGTTACTGTCATGATTATGCTTTGTGATTTATGAATGTCATTTATAATATTCTTTGTTTATTCATTACAAAACAAGATTGATTATATAATTGATAGTCAGATGATTTGGCTGAAATGATTTTTACTAATAATTTTTTTATAAGATCTGATTGATAGTTCATATAAAATAAACAATTACTGGTGTGCAAATATAAATTCTTCATGTTTGTACACTGTGTAAATAAGGGCTGTTCCAAAATTGATAGTAGTGAAGGGATGAGAGGTACTCAAATTAAAAATTATGGGTGGTTGCATTTTCCTTCAAATTTGGAAAAAATTGTAAAAAAAAATGCAAATTTTATATACCGTAATGCGTGGTTGGGGTCTAAAAAAAGTGCCTCCCATGCATTTAATTCAAAAAAGAATGAACTAAACAAGTAAATCCTAAAGAAAAATACTGGATTTAGGTACTGGTACATTGTGTGCAATTCTATAAATTATTAATAAGCCCTGGAGTTTAAGCTAAAACGATTTGGTCCCTGTTCCTAAATAAAAATCAAAATGTTTCATCTAAAGTTGTTATGATGGACTTAAAATTAACTGACATTGACAAAAGATAACACATGCCTGAACAACGCATGCATGCATGAAAAATATAAATATAATGCATAAATTGTGATTTTAACAAAAAATTATATACTTTCACACATGTATTAAATTATATCAAGCTGTAATAACAATATGCAAATAATATGAAATAACAAAGAGCAAAACAAAACATTTTCCTAAATCACCAGCAATTACCCTGGTTTACTCGACAAGGTCAAGATGACTTTCAAATAAATTGTTTGTATTGCAGCAGACATAATTCAATAATGTACTATCTAAATCTTCTGTACATAAGAGTAAAGACATGCATGCTTATATTTGACAAATATGAACATTTCACTCAGTACCCAAACACTTTTACACAGTACAGTACATATAACATTGGCAAATATCAAATTTATTTGTTATCCAACAAATTAAGACAGAATCATATTTCAACAGAAGCCAACATTTTGTCTACTAAAAGTGATCACAAAAACTAAATTTTAAATGTGAATATATGCTATAAATTGTATATTTAAATAATATAACCTTGAAATTAAAATCATTATGCTATCACATTAAGATTGACAAAGCACATTAAAGCTTGAAGGACTAGATTGTTTCTGTGGCTGAGACTCATACTCAGCCAACGATAAATAGTCTTTCAATGTCTTTGGGACTGCAAGATATTTAATTTTTACATTAGGATGTTCTTTCATTCTTTGTCTAATATTTACTCGACACAACTGTTGCAAAGAAGGTGGATTTTTGGAAAGGCTTGACAAATAATTGCAAAATTCTTTATGACTGTTCAACTGCCTTGGAATCTCCCCAGTTTTCTGAAATATACAATAATTATAAAGAAATATGCTCTTCTGCCTTCTAAAGTAACAAAATGATTGACATGAAAAATAACTTTTATAAATATCACCTGTGACAATGAGATTCAAAGAACTTATTCAAGAAAAAGATAATTAAGAGCTGCTCTTTTTGTTAAATATCTAAATGATTTAAGGATATTACAGTAGAGGTAGAGAAAACAAATTCACTTATTATAGGGAATAGCACTATCACATTCGGAGTCACAGATTTTACTCCAAAATTCTTCCTAAAGATCTTGAACATAATTACTGTGTGGCTGTTTAAGGAGGTAGACCTAGGTTAAGGGAAATAACTCTTAAGATTATCAGTACGTTTGTGTCAGCCATTTTCATAAATATGTTCTAAGCTTCTAGGATACATAGATTATTTCCAATCTGTTTCAGGTAAATGCTTAAAATTCATTGACGAAACTTGACTTTTACAAACGCATAACTGATTTAAAGAGTTATCTCCCTGAACCAAGGTCTACCCCCTTAAAAAGAGTATGGTGTTGATGGTACATTTTTAGTACATTCCAATGAATTTATCTTTTCTGGTTTTATTGTACTCTGGTGTTGCTCTCTCATTGACATATATCTCATATTATTCATAGTTTGTTTGTTTGTTAAAAGACATTTTCAGTGCACTGGCTAAATCATGGCAGCCATTTGTAATTGGTGGAGAAAAGCCGTAATAAATATAAAGAACCACTGAACTACCATTCATAGTTACCCTTTCATGAATGGATAGATTTTAGCACTATAAGAAGATTTTACTGTTCTAGACAAAGTTGTTATAAGAGTCATTCCCTTATTGGGTAGTTATTTCTATGTAGCTTGAAAACACATTTTCATACTTTATTCTTTCACATATATTTCTTTAAGGTCAACAAACCGATCACACTCAGGATTAATTGAGAATTGAAATATATCAATACCCATTTCTACTATCTTTCAATCATACATAAAGTATATTGCATAAAGAATGAAAAATAAACACATTTCCAAAGAGATTGTAGAGAAAATACCTGCTATAATGATAGAAAACTTTTAAAGGGAAGATAATCTGTAGAGAACTAAAACAGAGAATAACATGAACAAAAATAATAAGACTATACCTTATTCCTGACCTCAGGTGATGCACCTGAGGCCAACAGATATTTCATCACTTCAATTTGTCCACTGGTGGCAGCTAAGTACATTGGTGTCACACCCCAGTTATCTGCTAAATTTACATCTGCACCATGCTATTTAAAGAATACAAAACTACTAGTACTATTCATAATTATTTTCTTGAAGAGTCATAATTTTCTTTTATAGTGATGCTTATTTTCGGTTTTTAATAGGAAATGATTGGAAAATCCCAGAGTGTTTTTATAAAAGGAAGTACTGGCAATCTGTAAAATATTTACGTAAGAACAAAGGTGCATTGTGTTTACCGTAAAAGTATTATTTTGTGAAGTACAAATTTATATATTGTAGTGAGGATCCAATTTTCCTTTAATTCCAGTTAATTCTTTATCTTCTTCCTGTTAGTGTTCTCCCTAGGCCCTTAAAAGGCTGCCTCCCGTGATGTTTAATTTTTTAGCATGGTGCTATCGGTCTAACCGTGATGAATAATTTTTGTACGTGGTGCTAAAATTTTCAGTAAAAAAATCATAAATCAATAAAGTTTTAAACGACTTGTTAAATCTTTTCTGTGTGGTATATTAAAGATTCCGGGTGAAATTTGACCAGTTCAAACCAGTTCAACCAAGATTGTTTACACCACATGATCGATTTACCTTATGAGGTTAACCTTGTTGATTGGATTTAATCTATGCAATTAATACAAGTTACATGATTCTTTTGTTCTCTTCATATCACATAACCCAGTTAGTTCACGTAGAATATTCAAGTTTATTTACAATTAATTGCAATCTATTTTATAAATAAAATGCATGACTGTACCTTCAAACTGGAAATCTATATCCATAATTAATGAATAACAGAAGTAATCTTGCAAATTCTATCCATAAGCACATGTTAAATCTATTTATATCTACTTCCTGTCATTTAGGCGGGAAAATAGAGAGACTTTGTTGATGACATTGAATATGGTTACTTACAAGATAAATTTATATAATAGATTTAGGAATTCTTTTTAAATGGATCATGACAAATAAAGATTTAAATTTCAGTACAGTATTAAGTCTGTATCTATGTTTGATTATCACCAAAGACAAGAAAGGTTAATATTTACATGAATCTTTATTGGCAAAATGTTTTAAAATTTATGAAAAATTTCTTATTAAAAGTTAAGATTGAAATTGGTTCAAATAATATTATTCTTGCTAATTTTATATCTCCTTATGGCAGGAATCCTTTCACATACACTTTTTTTCTAGAAACTAGAAAGTTTTTAAGAAAGTTTTTTAAATTGAACATTTTTGTTCTCTTTTGAATGATATTTTATTTTTATTGATCATGGATTTTATAAAAGATTTGATTACTTTAAATTTAGATGAATATTTTGTAATGAATCATGTTTTATTTATTTTTAAAATATATTAAAGTATACAAACTGTTTATTGATTTACTTCTTTTTTACCAATAATTTTCTGACTCAATGTCTACATAACACAGTACCACAGTACTATTAAAACAAAAAAAGACATAAAAACTACAGTAACTAGAAATATAGCTAAGCAACGGGACACGACACAACTGATTGTATGAATCATTTCACCAAGCTGTCCACACGTGTTACCCTGGTGCTATCCAAAAATCCCGAGGAAAACACTGTGTTAATACAACGAATTCGATCAAGTCCAAGGAGAAAAAGTCTAGAATTGGTTTCAAAAACTGCTTCCAATTACTTCTGTTGGACAGGAAGGAAAATCACTGATATCTTGTCATTAATAGAGTTGGACTGACACAAGGTATCCAACTTTTTACCGATTTGTGAGTCTTTGGTTTTAAATTTTAATAGTTCTCCTGTGCAGCTCGCAAAGAGAGGCACCATTTCAGATAACTGTTGTATCATATTTTAACAGTCTTATTAGTTGTGTAAAGATATGTTGAGGCAGGTTGAGGTGAAGAAACCTTTAAAATTGTGTGATTTTCCAATTTTTGGATGAATCTCAGATCTATACTGGTAAAATCTGTCATAGTCATTATGTATTTTTGATCCAGAAAGCCATTTATTAACACTTCTTTGCTATTCCTTGTTTAACCTTTTATAAAATTTACTTGACATGCCTTTACACAGTCAAAGCAGTTAACAAAATCTTTAATAAGTAAAAAAAAAACATACAAAAATCAAATATGAACTTACCTTAATAAGTAGTAAGGCACATTCTGGATATAAACTGACTACTGCATGAAGTGGAGATCCACCATGGCGACATTTTGTGTTAACTGAGGCACCAAACTTTAATAATTCCTCTACACAACCTTTATGACCTTTGTATGCAGCCCAATATAAAGGTGTCTTTCCATAATAGTCTTTTTTATTCAAGTTAATAGTACCTAATATAAATATAAAAAAATGTCACAACTAAAATTTTAATCTAGAAAATCAGTAAAAAAGCACTTTTTTAATTCATGTTCCATATTTATAATCTGAATAAACAAGCATTCTGAGAGTATTGCCGGGTAAAAATTCATTATACTGGAACAAAATGCTAACTTGTTCTATAACTTGTCATGGTGTAAACAAAATGAAAATATCAAGTCAATATCTTCAAGAATGACTACAAAACAGTGTGCAAAACTGAATATATGATTGAATTTTTTCAAGTCCAAGGACCATAACTCTGCACCAAATTATCAGACCGAAACAAAAATTTGAACTTGATCTGTAACTTGTCATGATAAAACTATATACATGTACCAATTGTCAATCAATATCTTCAAGCATAATGAAAATAAGTGTGGAAAACCTATAACACTCTAACATTAGATATGATTAATAGTTCTCTAAAATAAGATATGATTAATAGTTCTCTAAAATAAGATATGATTAATAGTTCTCTAAAATAAGATATGATTAATAGTTCTCTAAAATTAGATATGATGTAATACAATGTATATCTATTTTCAAATTACAATCAAATATAATTAATAGTTCCAAATATTTTTTCTTTCATTTGTCACAAACTAATATAGATTTGTAACTTATCAATAAAATGTCAACAACTTTTATCTACACAATGTAATGTAATGAAATATATACCTTAATAAAAATAGATTATTATCTAATTAAAGGATTTCACTTAATAAAAAAAAATATATATATATACATGTATACGTAGCATTCAGAAAATTAGTTTATACAAAATAACATATAAACCTGTCACAAAATTCCTCAATCTACCAAAGACTGTCTTTTAAAAAATGAGTTATCTCCCTTTGTACAGATATATGGTTTAACATAGTACTCTAACATTAGTTATGGAGTTTTTTTATGGACCATAACTCTGGACTAAATCATCAGACCGAAACAAAATTCAAACTTGATCTATAACTTGTCATGATAAAACTATATACCAAATATCAAATCAATATCTTCAAGAACGAAGAAAACAAATTGCTTCGCTGAGCGCAGCTGTATATGACCGCAGATGTCCAACCCTGAAAAGTTGGGGCCAAAATGGACACAATATTCATGCTTGATACAGGTCTGAATTTGGATTGTAATTAAATTTTTGACACATAATAGGTTTCTTACACAGAATAACAGTAGTCAAAGAACTTCAAATTGGTTATATGATTTGAATTTATATTCAATTTTATGCTTTTGTGCAATACACTATGCGAATTGACCCCCCCCCCCCAAAAAAAAAAAATTTTACCCCGTTTTTTTGCGTTTGTGCAATACACTATGCTGTTGAATATTAACCCCCCCCCCCCCAAAAAAAAAATATTTGAAATTTCTTTTAATTTCTGAAATTTGAAATGAGAAAGATTGTCCCCCTCCAATTTTTTTCACCTCCCCCTTTCCCTTATTCCAAAAAATAATTCTTTCCCTCAAGTTATGGTCAGTATCTCAGACAATCATCATTTCTTAATGCATAATTTACAAGCAGTGTAAGGGAGGTAATCAAACATTGATATTTAAATTGATTTGGATTTTGATTTGGATTACCTCCCTTACACTGCTTTTAAATTGTCTTAATTGTCCTTTAACCAGAAAAACCCTTGTTTTTCCCCTTTTTTTGCCCCTAATTCCTAAATGGTTTGAGCCATAACCCCCCAAAGTCAATCCTAACCATCTCTTTGTAGTATGGGAACTTGTGGTATAATTTCAGAGAGATTCATACACTTTAACACAAGTTATTGTCTGGAAACTACAAAAATGCTTATTTGGGCCCCTTTTTTGGCCCCTAATTCCTAAACAGTTGGGACCATAACCCCCAAAATCAATCCCAACCTTCCTTTAATGGTTATAAACCTTGTATTAAAATTTTATTGATTTCTATTTATTATACTAAAGTTATTATCCGGAAACCATCTGTCTTCGGACGACGCTGACGACAACAACGTGATACCAATATACGACCAAAATTTTTTTAATTTTTGCGGTCTTATAAAAAGTGTGGAAAATTGAGTTGCCGGACTGACGGATAGACAGACGGACAGAGTGCAAACCTAAAGTCCCCTTCGACTTCGTCGGTAGGGGACTAAAAAAATGTGATGTAGACACCAATAATTTTTTTTTTTCATACCATACCAGGTTAATTTTGTACATTCCACAACAGTTTAAATTTTGTAGATTCCATACCAATTTCAACAAAAAATTAAGTCAGACAACAGATATGGTGACATAAAATTGTTGAAAATGCTATGCTTGTATTTTCACATTACCAGATTTGTGTATAATTTCTTGAATTCTTCGGACATTTCCATGACTTGCTGCATAGTGAAGATCAGTCCAGTTGTAGTTATAGCTAGGGGGAGGTAATTTGTAGCAATACAAATAGCTTGATGGCTTGCTCTGTGTTGAGAAAGTTGGTGGGTTGTATTCGCACCATATCAAACTACTGGCCTTGCCCCCCATCACAGCTTGCCAGGCATCAGGGCTTGAGGTGCATTTAGTAAGGCACCTGAAAAAGAAATATTTCATTTTATTTCTTTTCTTTATTATTTTGAGAAAAGTAGATAAAATTGGATACAGTATTTCTCCAATAAAGTTCAATACTACATGTATAACTTACAAGGCTTTTGCAATGTTCAAGTAATGATTTCAAAAGGATAAGATCTCAAAAAATGTTTATACAAGTATGTACAAAATGGAACAAAACTGACATATATCTTAAATTTATAGTCTTTATCATCAATAAAAGCAGTATTAAAGTGTTATTAAATGGGTGTTTTCTTATTAATCCTGTATTATGTTCAAGTTTAGTCGTATTGGGTCGAGGATAGCTATATTGACACTGATCAAGACCCAATACGACTGTACGAGGACATAAAATACAGGATAAATTATGAAAACACCAATTTTATGACACCTTTATTAACCAATGACTTAAAAAATAACCAACCAAAAGCAGACGGAGGATAAACATGACTCATACAGGATCAATATGAAATATTTGGGTTAATTATCATTTTAATGCAAGGAATGATGAATAACCTGAAAAAATAACAATGTGTGATGAATTACCTTTTATTCACCGGTAAAAAAAACTTTGAGCCTCTCGATTTTTATCTCGAGTTATCTCCCATCAAAATGACGTCACTGACGTATGTAAACAAAACAGCAACGTCCAGGTTAAAACTGCTCCATGGATTGAAGTGACTAAGAAACAAGTATTTGAAATCCATCTCATGGCGAGGATAGCTTTCACAAATGAAACTTTTCAAGGCCACCCATACTTTACAGAAAAAGTCTTCATTTGATGTACATATGAAATACATGTATTTTCTTTAAGTCACAAAATAATTCTCTAACGTAAGTGTTTTGACTTGTAAATTATTTGTTGCTACAGTAAGACATGTATAAGAGCTTCTTTAACATGTATTTTCAATGGTTCGAAGGGCCCTTTGGAATAATTGAACAAATGTGACCCATTCAAAGTGGTGCATATCCAAGATTGTCAACCGTAAAAATTTCTCTCACTTCGGACTGTGCCCTAAGAGAAATATAATCCTTTATTGTTGACAAGTCTGGATAATCACACTTTATACAGTCCATAATTGTATTTATCCTGCAATCAGCTAACTATTGTACAAATAACAGGTACACAAATAAATTTTTGCTTTATTTGTACTTGTACAAATAAAGTCTCCTGTTACCCCCCGCTTCCATGTTGAGCAAGCGGTAATGTGGATATTTCTTTTTGCGTATCAGTTCATTTTGGGGTCCTCCTTGCGGTCCGCGTTTAAACCTTGTCGATTTCTTTGAAAAATTAGAGACAATGATTTAGATTTTAACAACTAAAGTTTCAAGTGTTGGGTGTAAATTTCAGGATAAAAACAATATATGTACAATGTCGGAAAATATAAAATTTATTTGTACTCGCTACGAAACAGGAGAAAAGCTCGGCGAGCCTCGGTTTTCGTCCTGTTTCTAAAGCTCATACAAATAAATTTTATATTTCCCGACAATGTACATATATTGTATATATACTCGAAGAAAAAATAGTATAACATTTGAAAAATAACAACAACATTAACATCAAACATGTTGAAATGTAATATTTCGCATACACAAATCCATTTTCTGACACATTTCTGAATAAAAAAATAATTTAAATCCTGTATTAAGTAAAAATTCTGTATTATCCAGCTTTTCTGTATTAGACCTGTATTAATGACCAGCTCTCAGACACAAGTAATCATATCAAATGAACAAATTATGATGTATTTTAAGTCATTGGTTAATAATACACCATACATAATAAGAGTTTTAGGGTAATATCTATCGGTTCTCTAATTCATAATGAGTTTTTGGAAGTTCTCTGAAATTTGATATACCAGAAAAGTAACCCTCCTTTTAGGGATAGTTACTCGTTTGGGTAACTATTCCCCATTTAACTGGTTGTCCCCTGTCTGTTAAGGTTCATGTGGACCCTTTGGCTAAAATGGCTGCATTTTCACCTCAAAATTTACTCTGAGTACAGATAAACCTGTGTATCTGTAAAAGTTTTAAGGCATAGCCAGTGTTCTAGAATTCCCATTTCCCGTCACCCATGGCAAGTTGATTTAGGGGACGGGAAAGTGGAAATTCAAACCTTTGTTGTCCGTGGGCAAGTAAAATTAAATTACAGAAACTTCCTATTTATACAGATCAAAAGATTGATGTGGAACTGTTTGTATTCTTTTATTTCAATCAATGTTTCAAATCGAGATTGTTGTTGTTGGTGTAAATCATGCAGGGGTTCTAAAGTCTAGGGGAGAAAAACGTGTGCATGTGTTTTGCAATCACCGTCATAAATACGCTTGACAGCTAAGCAAGGAAAATCCGCGATGTCAAGTATCCATCCGATCTAGACGCAAAAATGGAACGCAAACGGTAAAAGATTTAATATCCTGATCTCAAATTCGTGATTTTTTGCGTATAATATTTGACAATATTATCCCTTTTTTGTGCCAATACATTTGAATTACTGATGTAATGTCACATTTATAAGAACTATCACTGTGTCAAACTAAAACTAATATATTTCAAAATAAAATAAATATATTCCATCAAATGTTTTGTATATCTAGATGAACATGACATTGAATTATCAACACAATCACAAGCTAGTTGGACAAACTAATTAATTTCAAAGGAAATAACAGAGTTCATAATCTCAAATCAAACTACATGTATAAACATGCAATAAAAGGAATAACAAAATTATGAAAACATTTTTAAAATAGTATAAAATTCAGGCAAAGTTCATTAAACATGTGGGAAAGTGAATTTTTGGTACCAACTTTCCAAGGGAAAGTTGCATATGTACAAAAATCCTAGAACACTGATAGCATGCCCTAGATAAATAAAATTCAAATATATTTCATGTTTTAGAAAATTAAAAACTTAACAGGATTTTGCAGTGCACTTTTTTTCATTCTTCCAGAAGGTGTCAAAATAAACTAAGTTGGGAAAGAGGTTTGAGAACTTCCCCACAGGTAATAATTGAAGTGAACTGTATTGATTGACCTGGACAATAGATACCTGACAATAATCAGTGATTTAAACTGTGTACCTGAGTGGACCATATCAAGTGAAACTGAACTGTTTGTTAATTTTATAATCTTATGCAGGGATGAAAAAAAGTGCACTGCAAAATCCAGTTAAGTTTTAAATTTTCTAAAACATACAATGCATTTGAATTTCATTTATCTAGGGCATGCTATGCCTTAAAACTTTTCCAGATGTACAGGTTTATCTGTACTCAGAGTAAATTTCGAGGTGAAAACGCAGCCATTTTAGCCAAAATGTCCACATGAACACCTAAAGCATCATTTTTACTTTTTATCTGATTGCTAAAAGGTATAACAAAAATAATACAGAATCGTTCTCATTCACAGGTAACACCTGCCTCATATTACATAACCTGTGCAGTGTATTTACCGGAGAAAATTGTACTGAAAAGTAAAAGAAGTATTTTTTTTATATAAACCCGACTATACAGCAACGGGAAGATATAAATTTTTGCCAAGGTGCCTGGTGGCAGTTCATCTGGTATGTTTAAGCATTGCGTGAAGAAAGAAAAGAGAATAGATATAATCATATATTACACTAATACACAATGAATCAGTAATTACTTGGTATATGGGACCAGACAAAAATTCTTTTCTGTATTTTTTTTACGAATGTTGTGGTTTTCTTCTTTCACTTCCGGTATACGTGTTTCGGCAAGCAGTAAAACAAATATCCCTTTTTTATCATCGGAAGTTTATTTCAAGATAAAATTACGATAACCTCATTTAATATGAAATGAATGAATCTGTTTATCAACATAGGTAATTGAATATTACCTAATTTCCAAAATTTACACGTGAAGATTTTACGACTAATTACCGAAGGTGAGAAGGCATCAAAGTTTTGAGACGCACCTGTTACTAAGTAATTATATGTAAATCTCATTCACTAAAACTCTCGAGCTTTCACTTTTATTTCCTTTTTGCTTTGAAATCATAATAAATGTTGAAAAATGAAGTTTGCATGATTTGTTAAAAGGGGGGAAATACAAAATACTTTTATTTTCCTAATCAGAAAAATTTAGTGATGTTGTAAACTTCATTTGATTAAAATAAAAAGAGCCCTTAACCAAGGATTTGTATATTGTCACTATACAAATCCTTGCCTTAACGCACCTCCTCCTAATCACCAGCTATTTTTTTATTATACGAATACGAAAATTTTTATTTTGATTCGGTTCACATATAACAATACAAACATAAGCTCTTGAGAACTTTTTACAGAAAATCGATAATGTATATATAACATTAAAACACAGCACATGTAGATAAGATATATAAGGACAGGGCTCACGCTAGCAGGCGACTGGGGCGATAAAGTCGCTTTCCCGTCCGTCACTTCACTTTGCCCGACCGTCAAAAGCAATATCTAGTCGTCCTGTTATTCACGATACACGCTTTTAGTCGCTTTTGTCATCGGTAATTTTCAATTTTGACCAAGTCTGTGAAAGAGCAATTTTTCATTTATAAGTAAAGAAATTCGAAGACAAAAACAATTTATTTCTTTAGAAAAGAGGTGATAGCGTCGACTTTACAGTTGGTTGTATTTTATTTCATAAAGACAATTTTGTATCACTTCCAGTACTTGTTACTCGAGAGCGTTCATCAATTCATTCTAATTTTCGGTAAAATAAGTTTATTGCTTCATTAGAAGGTGATGAACATTGCCTGTAGTTAATGTTTAATCCACTTATTGCATTTAAAATGTCATATTCCTTTCCAAATATCATTAGAAGGTGATGAACATTGCCTGTAGTTAATGTTTAATCCACTTATTGCATTTAAAATGTCATATTCCTTTCCAAATAGCTAGTCAAACATCGCTTATTTTTGTAAATTTTCTTCGTCCGCCATTGAAATATTTGTACGAACCACGGATCGGAGGCGGGATTCATCAGAAACAGAACCAGCAATGAACAAAAACCGTATTCTTACGATAATAACTACGGACGCATGAATTGCTGACTGAAGAATATTGACCCCAAAAGGAAAAATTACACATTCCACACGCATTAGCAGACTTTTGCTTAGATCTACTTGCTTAATGTATTTATTTCCATGTATATGCATTGTTTTAATTTATTGATTAAAGTTGCTTAACTTTGAGTTTATATATATTAATGAGAAACACTGAATTTCATAAACATGATAAACAAAATAGTTTTTTAATTGAATTTTAATTGATATATTATACTTTCTTTTCCATTTTAATGCAAAAAAGTTCTTTTTAGTGCAAGATATTTAGTTGGTATTTTTTGACAAGAAGACTAGTATAATAGACGTATTTACACTTGTATGCAAATTTGTCCGCCATTACGTAAAATCACACAGGTTCCCGTAAACTTTGACATCATAATTCAAAACATTTGACATCACAATTAAAAAGTGATTGTTGCCTGACGTCAAAAGGTGATAATGATTCGGAGTAGATCTAAGGTCATTCGGAGGCAAAATATAGCTAAATACCAAAAGTGTAAATACGTTTATTGTGCAACTAGAAATGATAAACTTAAACAACTTTGAATTTGAATTTGAACTGTTACTTTGATTGTATACTCCGGTATGAATTGAACAATATAATAAAAAATACATATGGCCCTTTATATTATAGTGAAAACCAAACATTTTAGCGCCACAAGCGATCAAGCACTTCTCTTTCAAATCTCGCTACTTCTCCCTATCAGTTTCAAAAAGAGAAGTCACTTCTCCCTATGATTCTGAAGTAGTGCCAGCCCTGTAAGCAGCCATTATTATTTTAAATGCATATAGAAACAGCACAGACATATTGAAAAACATGCAAAGCATTACTAAACTACACATCTAAACATGCCAAAACTGAAGCATAAGCTAAAAATTGAAGCACAACTAAAATTTAAGCACAAATAAAAAATATAGCACACATGCAAAATTTAAGGCATAATGCAAACATTTAGAGGCTGAGCAATTACTAAAAATATCTGAAAAAATCTTATCCACATGTAGAACAACAGCATTTAGATGCATTCCAGGACTGTGTAAGGCTCTTAAATTGAGAAAAACTATTTTCAGTCCTAAAATTGTCAGGTAGGCTGTTCCACAGAGTAGCAGCTGCAAATTTAAAACTTTTCTTACCAAACTGTGTTGTTTTTACATGTGGAATATCCAGTATATTACTATACATGCTATATCTGAAAGAATATTTACAATCTTTTACATTTAAAAGATCATGTAAACAGACAGGTGCTAATTTATTAACTATATTAAAAGTTTCAATTACCATTGATCTTTGTCTTTTAATATGCAGTTTTTGCAATTTCATAGGCAAGGTCATGGCTGTTATCATACATGTACCTCTTCTCTTCATGGAGCAATTTTTCAAAGCAATTTTTGCCCATTTGTTATGATGAACATAGGTCTGAAACAGGTTGTGGAAGATCCTTCAAAATTGGTATCCATTTACGGTATTCATGATTTTAATTCTGGATTTAAGAATTTTGGCTGTTTTGGTGCACATAATTTAAAAAGCAACCTTTTCCCCAAGTCATTATGAAAAATATAGTATGGCCTTCAAAAAATAAACATTTAGAGGCCATTAAATTTATTTAGTTTTCAAATGAACTGTGAATTTCAAGCAAAAAATATTTCAATTTATATTAATATGTGCACCATAACATCCATTTTCATGAAATGAAAAATTCTATTAATCTTATATTTATCACTGTAAATCAATCCAAGATTGGGGGTAGTAGCCCCTTTAATGAGTATAATATCCAATTATGGAGATTCACTGATGTGAAAACGGATTTGTCATCACACTTACTTTTACTTATATAAGTATTTTAAGTAAACATCTTTCTGGGTTTTTTTCAGCAAAATGTTAGAAACTGCCTTAAAGAAAAGACAGTTACTCATTTTTGTGCTGGGATGGATAGCATATGCATCTACATATTTACTCAGAAAACCATTAGGTGTTGTAAGTATACATCTCTGACTGTCTACATGTATATCTTGATGACTATTTATTGCTTTGTAAAGTAGAAATTAAAGAATACTGTCTTAAAGAGGTCTCTAAAACACCATAGCTCCTATGGAGCTTTCGTTAACAGTTAATTGAAGCCATATTAGTTATGTAAATCAGTGGAAATAAATATTGCTTAGTATATGTTGTTGATGTGGCTATATAGGATATGAATAAAATGGAGAATACTGAGAAGGGGGTTATATGACATTTAGCCATTAACACATTTTGTCATTATTAAATTAAATTGTTTATAATTGATATACTGTGAATTCATTACTGTAAATTCAGAAATTATTGCGAGGTATTTATTAATGCGAATAATGGGAGTGGATGAAGACGGCAATAATAAGAACTCGCATTCTGATATCTGATACTTATATCTGTATGCAGATTTTCCTGAAATCGCAATAATTAATCTCACATTTTAGTCCATTCTTCAAAAATCGCAATAATAAATGCACGCAATAATTTCTGAATTTACAGTATTATAAGTGCCATGAAGAAGCAAGGGTATATAAGTTTTGGTCTGTTGGTCAATCGGTCAGTCTGTCATTTTCATTTCCAGATTCTGACTCAAATGCTTGCGTAAATGGTCACATATAATGAGTGCAAGTTCTCTATTAATTTTAAGATAACCATGTCAAAGGTCATAGTTTTAAAATAGTCAAAGAATGGGCTTCAACATGGAGCCTTGGCTCACACCAAACAGCAAGCTATAAAGGGCCCCAAAAATGACGTGTAAAACTAACGGTCTCATCTATATAAAAATGAGAAACGAGAAACACTTATGAACCACATCAACAAAAGACAACCGCTGAACATCAGGTTCCTGAACATTTATACCCAGTATACCAATTTACAATGCCTAATTCATACATGGATATATATATATATATATATATATAGAATGATTATTTAAATTAAAAAGTCATGGCTTCATTTAGAAATAAAATATTGTAACTTTCATACTGAAAGATAAAGATTTTGAAGTTTATATGATATTTGTTAACGTTAAGCAACCAACAATCAATATTTCGGTTAAAATGACATGAGACTTATAAAAGAGGGAGTTGGATTAAAAGGGAGGGTAATTTTGTTTTCAGGAAAATGGGATTTTGTAAATAAATGTTGATAGTTTAAAAATGCCTTAATGTCAGTAATTTTGTGTTTAATAGTTTCATTTAAGAAGTAAATTCTTTTTCTTTTGGAGTGATGGAGGTTGTGGGTTCGATTCGAGGCTGGCGGGTCAAATCAATAACTTCAAAATTGGTATTTGCTGCTTCTCCATGTAGCGCACAGCATTAAGGTGTAAGAACAAAGACGAGTCGCCCAAAGTCAGAATAATGTGTCCGGGTAGGGTGATACATGTATGTCTTCCTGCTGACTGTTACCTTGTGAAAGAGCAGCTTAAAAATCTGTCTCAGCATGTTGGTCTAGTATAGTACAATGCAGGGTTTATATTCAAATCACATTAACATGTTCTCGTCCTGAACATGCATTTACCCGGGTAATTTGCCACTGGATGTTAAACAGCCATCCATTATCATCTTTTTTTCGATGAAACTTTGAATTTAAATGTCAGATGTTTAAGGTTTTGATGTTTTATATTTCTACAATTTCTTTGATCAATTGCTTTCTTATACAGATAAAATCTGATCTTGAAACAGATTTGCACTTTTCAAAGACTGAACTAGGATGGTTAGATACAGCTTTATTGTTTCCATATGCTGTCATGCAGGTAAGCAACAGAAATAAGATTTCTTATAAACTTTTTGGATCATTTAAATAAACAAAAATTCCACTAAATACATGTAAAATATTTTCTTTTCATTGATCTGTTTCATGCAGATTTAAACAAAAAACACTCAGATTCTTAAATGTTTTCCCTGGTTCACACTTTGATAGACTATATTGCTGAAACTGCTTTGGTGCTCTATAGATGTATGTAAACACATATGTTAGTTTCACTGTGATATATTCATGCACGATACACATGAATGGAATCCAAGGGTTTCGTGGAAGTTGAAATTGAAAGAAAACTGTTTTGATTAAACCCTATAATCAACTTTTTATCATTAGCAAACATCAAGTTGATTCTTCCTGCTACTGAAGATACAATTTTGGAATAAATCGTCCGGAACAGTTCAACAGACAAAAAAAAAAAAACGAAAATGGAATAAAGATCAATGACAATTTATTCATGTTCAAATCTAACATTGTAATGAAAAATGTTTTGATTGATAGTGGTATTTTTTACATAAAAATAAAGAAGAGTAAAATGAAATATTGAATTATGTATAATTTGTATTTATTAGATGTTATTAGGACCACTTGGTGACAAATTTGGAGCTAGGAGAACATTCAGCTGCTGTCTTGTTTTGTCTGGATTGTCTATGGTAAGTTATACATCAAATATATATTTCTATATGAATAATAGGAAAAAGCAAATGAACTAAACTCATAGGTGAATGAATAAATCAGTATACATAATTTCTAGCCACATTTTCGAAAGAAAAAAACAATTGCCATTAGAAGATTGGGTGGCTGTCATAGTGCTGACTTTATTAAGACACTTTGAAAAGAAAAGCTTATTCAGAGTTTACCGGTATGGCATGCCAAATTAATTAAAAAGTACCCTAACAAAATGTATGATTTTTATCTAACTTTTCCTGAAAATTGGGATGGAAAGGTGAATTTGGAAATAAATTTTGCCTTCATCTCTAAAGATAAAATGAATTTTTTAATTCAAATTTGAACAGAGTTTCTTTGACATGACATTATTGGTTTGTATGACTTAAGAAAGGAATGTTGTAAAATCTTTAATCAGGTATCTAGAACATAATTCACAACATGACTCAAAGTGAAAATAAGAACACTTCAGTATTTTCCACACTTTTGTATGTAGAATGAAAATATTGAAAATGAGTAAATGTACATGGCGAAAGTTTTGCCACTTTTACTGATACAATGAAAACAAGTACACTGCAAATTGTTTTATGTTTTTGCAGGTACAAAGATAATAATGAAAATTAGTGAACTGCAAACATTTCTACTTTCTAAGTATACATATTGTTTGAACAAATAAACTTGTGTTCCTGAGAAGGAAAAACTGTAAAAACATGTCTTAAGCCTCTGAATAAATTTAGTAAGTTTTCAGATGTTTGACTTTAACATGTACTTATTTTTAAGAAATACTGTCATAATTTTCCTACAATATTTTTGAAAAATATAGAAACAATATGTGCTTTCATTCATTTTTGGAGACCATGTTTTTTTATTATACTTGTTTGTTTATTTTCCCAATTTTTTAGGATTGTTTTTTCACATACATTTTCTTTACCTTTCCATTTATATTTACATTCCTGAAATGATAAAACGGTTTCGCATTAAACTGAATGTATAATAGTAATTGGATATAACAGCTTTGTCTTAAAAAACAAAGTCCCAGAGGAGAGACTTGGGTGTGCTCTTTCTGGTAATCATCAACTGTTTTAAAAGTTTCTGGTTTATATGATAGGTCACTTTCAGGGAAATGATATCTAGTAGCTCAATGATATTTGGTCAGCAATTAGTGTTGGCACATCTCATTTCCATGGAGATTATTTGGCCCCACCCCTCAGTCATGCTCCATTGACCTTGAAACTTTTTGCATAATTTACATGTGAAAGTTTGTGATTAGGTTTCTTAAATTTAGGTAAACCACTAATGACAGGTCAATGATATTTCATAGGCAGTACATCTCATATCCAGGGAGATTATTTGGCCCCTCCCCCTCAGTCATGCTTCATTGACTTTTAAACTTTTGCATAGTTAAAATATTTTAAATGTGTTGCCAATTATACTAAAACATCTGCATACAGGCGAGACATATCTCTGTGTCAACAGTTCATGAACTTATTTCTTTGTAAAACTATCTTTCAGATTTTGTTTGGATGGACAGATGGATTTTATGGAATGTTTGTTCTCCTTTTCCTCAACGGAACAGCACAGGTTTGTTACTTTAAATAGCTTATGCTCAAGTCAATATCAAATGTATAAATAGCTATTTGACATCTCTAAAGTAAAAAATAAATTTAGATTTAGATTAGAATTCTGCAAAATGTGCAATATTTATTTTAAAAGAAGTTATTAAGAAGAAGTTGTGTTTAATAGAATCTGACTCATGGCTAAAAAACAATATCATTTGTAGTTCTAAATATTAATTACCAGATTACAAAACATGATACACACTTTGTAATTAAAAGTTTTAGTTTTATCCTGAAATAAAAAATAAAATAAATTGTTATATTATTTTCTGTAGGCTCAATGTTGGCCAAACTGTATGAAGTCACTCGGAGCCTGGTATCCAGATAGTGTCAGAAATACAGTATTTGGTATGTTTGGAACTTGTGCTTTTGCTGGTGGTATTGGAGGAACAGCTCTGGCAGTAAGTGTGCAGTTAACATAGATTTTTATTATTGAACATTAATTCTATAATATTTCATGATTAAAAACTTGAGTATTATCAAAGCTACTGTATTACAAGGAAAATCTATTAAACTGTTGATCATTCATATGTAAATGATGTAAAATTGAAACAAAATTATATGACTAACAAGATAGAAACAAAATCCATTGTGTAAAAAAATATTGAAAAGAAAATCTGTTGGACATTACAACAATGTACAGTATTGAAACAAAATCCAATTGACAATACAAAATTAAAATCAAATCCAGAGCACATTCAGTATTGAATTTGCCAGTTTATTTTAACCATTAAATTGGTTTATGCAGCAGGCATTGGGAACACACTTTCCTGTCTGACATTTCAATTTTTGCCTAAGTCAAAACTCTTATGACTATAAATTAATTGGTACTCCTGAGTTTTTCTGGTACCATAATATTGAGCCCTTTGGTAAAAATTATTGATTAATTCTTACAACACTGTTCTTGTCTGATAAGCATCACTCGCTTGGTACAGAACTTAAAAATCTTCATGTAGTTTAAAGTTTGAATAGTTGTTTTTTTATACGACCGCAAAAAATTTTGCAGTCGTATATTGGTATTGAGTCGTCGTCGTTCGAAGACATTTGGTTTCCGGACAATAACTTTAGTATTAGTAAATAGAAATCTATGAAATTTAAACATAAGGTTTATAACCACAAAAGGAAGGTTGGGATTGATTTTAAGGGGTTATGGTCCCAACAGTTTAGGAATTAGGGGCCAAAAAGGGGCCCAAACAAGCATTTTTCTAGTTTCATGACAATAACTTGTGGAACAGTGTATGGATCTCTCTGAAATTATACCACAAGTTTCCATACCACAAAGGGATGGTTAGGATTGGCTTTGGGGGGTTATGGCTCAAACCTTTTAGGAATTAGGGAAAAAGTGAGAAAAAACAAGGGTTTCCTGGTTAATTGACAATTACTTAAGTACAAATTACAGTGTAATGGAGGTAATTCAAACACAACTTTGAATTATCTCCCTTACACTGCTTTTAAATTATGTGTAACGAATTTTTGTATTGTCTTGAGGTGATTAGCTGTCAATTCATTTTTTAGAAGTTACAATTTTAATAATTTTAAAAATGCTGATTAAGTTTAATTAATTTTAGCTATGATTATGTATGTCATTTTTATGACTTTTATGATGTATTTAAATAGTTGCAAACTCCATTGGAAATTTGAATTGAAATTATGACCATGACTGAGGGAAAGGAATTTTTTTTGGAAAAAAAGGGGGGGGGGGACAATTTTTTCTCAAGATTTCAGAAATCAAAAAGAAAATCCTTCAAATTTTGTTTTTTTTGAAAAAAGGGGGGGGAGGTCAATTTGCAACAGCATAGTATATTGCACAAAAGCAAAAAATTTAATATAAATTCAAATCATATAACTAATTCTAAGTTCTTTGACTATTCTGTATCAGAAACCTATTATGTGTCAAATATTGAATTACAATCCAAATTCAGACCTGTATCAAGCGCGAATAAAGTGTCCATTTTTGCCCCAACTGTTCAGGGTTGGACCTCTGCGGTCGTATCCAGTTGCGCTCTGCGAAGCAATTTATTCTCTCTAGAATTCCAAGATACTAATCATATTGAAATATTGCATGCTTATTATTTTTTAGGTTTACCTGCAGAAAGTCGATGGCTGGAAAAGTGTATACTTTACACCATCAGTAATAATTGTATGTATTATCTCAGTTGTAAACATACTGTGGATTTATTTATGTTCGTTGGAACCAATTTTGGTGGATTAAGGAAATGTTGTATTTTCTTGGATATTTGATTTTGTGGTTTTGCCAAAGTCTGCATATAAGCCTATTGAAAATTTGTACTGCGTTGAACATTGAAATTTGTGGTTCACCTTTACCCACTGAATCCATGAAAATTGGTATCCCACGAATAATAATGAATTCACAGTGTCTAATTATTGATCAGTAAATGCCTTATGGGTTTTTCCAATGCTTGCAGAGTGTAGGGATATGCTAGATATGTTTAATTGCTTTAAAATTAGAAATATATAGATGTATTCAAATTGACAAAATCAATATTAAATAAATTTTTACATTTGCAAATACAATGTATCAGAAATGTTGTTAAAAACAGTGACAAATAGTCATCAAGTCTTCAGTAATGATAGTTATTTTGAAATTGTAGGGATTTTTGCCATCTATATGGTTTACAAATCAACCCCTTTTTCTGATGTGATAAATTTATTAATCGTTCTTGTATCATTTCAGATTGGTGTTGGCATATTTGTTTGGGCTCTGTATCAACAACCAGATGAAGTAGGAATTGATGTCCCAGGCAAAGGTAATTTCCACCATTCCATATTTAGAGCACTATGGTTAATTTTATTGTTTGTTTAGGATGTTGTTTACATATACAATTGGTTATTCATGTCAGATAAATCTAATTTCCTTATGCTAGTTTTGAGTTCTTTAGACGAGGCAGGGTTTCAGATTTTTTTCTCATCAAAATTATAGCAGTGATACTCATATTGAAGAGACTTCAACCTTTGGGGATTTTTCTTTTTTTGAAATAAAATTGTTTCAAAACTCAGGTTGTATGATGAGGAAGATGTTTAAGAATCTGAGCAATTATTTTTGTGTGTCTTACTTTCGTCAGTGTGAAAGCATCTGTATTTTATTTCTCCTTTCAGAAAGGAATGCAACTTCTTCAAAAACAGCTGGAAAATTGACATGGTTACAGATGTTGAAGATACCGTAAGGAGTTTCTTTTTCATTTTAGAAAGGGAAATATGTACTTAGAGTTCATTATTATGGGATACTTTTTCATGGATGATGTTGGGATAAGTGACCCCTGAATTTTGTAACAGTTTCGCAAAGACATATGTCTTGTGTGATTCTACACAGAGTTTGTCAAAACCAAGAAACTTAAGTCTTAAACCTTAAAAAAATTGATATCATGCAGTTCACAAAAAATGACAGTGAATGTTGTTATACTTTTAATATTGATTCACTCCTAGGGTCTTTGCTTCGGAAATAAACACATTTATTCTAAAACCAGTTGTTGGCATGATGCAGGTTACCGTATAGTGGGTTATTTTCGCGGGTGAAAAATTTCGCAATTTAGGGGCAACAAAGTATACGAAAAATTTTGGCGGATTCTTTAATCCCAATTAAATATTTTGGCGGATACTGAAGTGGTTCCTGTTAAAAAGTTGTAAAAATTGACAAACAAGGGTCTATTGTTATGGTTAAATGATTTTTTTTCCTGCATGAATTTATTTATTGATTATTTTTATACAGTTAATGAAAAGAATACCGGTACATAGTTATTTTTCACAGGTGTACAAACTTCTTGTAAATGTTACAGTTGATCAGTTACGAAATTTACCGGACCTTTGATGTACTAATAAGATTATAAAATTATCATGAGTGACTTGCAACTCTTATATAATTTGACACTAATTAATAAGGATAAAATACCTGACAGCGTACCTTACACTCTTATATTATTATTTATTTTATCATGTAACCAATAAATTAATTAACACCTGATAGCCAGTGAACAATGGCCTTTGGCATTTATGTTGTTTAAATTAACAAAAACCCTGATTGATCCGTCGAAAGGGGAAAAATAGATAGTTTACAAAACACTTTAACTGAGAAAGTATCGAACGTATGCATAAATTTTCGCGGAATTTATTTTCGTGATTTCTCCTTGCCCGCCAAAATAAGCGAAAATAAACACATTGCGAAAATAACCCGCTATACAGTATGTTCTTCTCATATATTTTATGATGGTATGATACTAAACCCCTAACGGGAGGGATTGTACTTGATTTTCATATGATGAAGACATAATCTTTCAATTAGTTTAATTGAGGTCTGGAGCTGGCATGTCAGTAACTGTTAGTAGTCCTTTGTTAATTTATGTATCATTGTCATTTTGCTTAGTTTCTTTTTACTTATTCTGACATAGGACTCAGACTTCTTTTAAATTGAGTTTTACTGTGCGTATAGCTGTGTTTTTGTTTATTCTACATTGGCTAGAGGTATAGGGGGAGGGTTGAGATCTCACAAAACATGTTTAATCCCCCTGCATTTTTGAGCATGTCCCAAGTCAGGAGCCTCTGGCCTTTGTTAGTCTTGTATGTTTTTTAATTTTAGTTTATTTATATGTTTTCGGAGTTTAGTGTGATTTTCATTGAACTAGTACACATTTTTGTTTAGGGGCCAGCTGAAGCCCGCCTCCGGGTGCAGGATTTTCTTGCTGTGTTGAAGACCCATTGGTGGCCTTCGGCTGTTTTTTGCTATTTGGTCGGGTTGTTGTATCTTTGACACATTCCCCATTTCCATTCCCAATTTTATTTCATGAAATTAAAAATGTTTTATTGCCACTCTTTATAAGAATCAGACATTGCTATAATCAGATAAAAAAATCAATTGAGATTCATGTTCTAGATTTGATTTGGGTACTGGAGATAATGATTGAATAGGGTGCACTGTAAATCATTACATAGGGGAAACAACTCAGTGCATATGTATCAGGCAATTTACTGACATTTTGTAGAACAAAATCTAGAGTTAACAAGGCTGCAGAAATAAAACATTCTGTTACTACTAAGGACTACCACAGGCTTGATTCACATGATTTTCCTCAATGTTTTATTTATTTAATTATCTTAATTTTACAAAGTAGTTCAGTTGTACTTTCGTTTTCTATGTAAAATTTAATACTGTGAATACTAAACTCTTACTCTACAAACTTATCTTATATAAATAATAATGTACCTATATTTCAGTATGTTACCAGAGATAGCTGTTTCAATGTTTTGTCTTAAAGTAGTCAGATACTGTATGTACATGTGGTTACCTATGTATTTACTTCAAAGGGTAAGACTCAGTTTTAAATGCCCAATTGTACAATGTATTGATGGTTCATGTATGTCATTGGCTACCTTGAAAAAAAAAAATTATCAGAGATAATCCACTGGATTTCATTTTAACAGTTGTTAAAAAGGTTTACTGCAAAACAAAGATGTTCTCTAGAGTTGACAAGTTTTGCCTTTTTATACTGTAAACCAACTAATTTTTTGTGAGATCTTTATTAAAGTGACTTCCAAGAATAAATATATAACAAATTATAAATAATTGCAAATATATATGAATCTTAACTTATCAGAGTACATCATCAAAGTTAAAAAATCCTGAAAAATGAATTGCTTCCAAGTCAGAAAAAGCTTAACACGACAAAATATATCTATTGAAATAAGATGGTTTACAGAATTCTGGGAAAATTATACAAATTATAGAAGGTAGTATTGAGTAAATGTTATTAAGACAGCAGTGCTTCGGAAAACTGAATATTATCATGTTTATCTGCAAACTTTTAATCAGTAAATAAAAACTTCTCATAAACTTGGATATTAATCCAACAAATTTTCTTTATGTTGTACTAAGGTAGCTTGAATCAGTTTTACATTTTCGAAGGTCTAGTAGCTTTTTTTAAGACTGTTTACCTAGACAAGAGTTCTGAAACAACTTAATTAAAAAACATTGACACCAATATTTGAAAAACACAAACATGAACCAGTATTCTTACATTTCCATTCTCTATTCTATAACAGACTGTTTTATCTATTTGCAGTTGAAATATACTCCAGCAGTATCTGGAATGTTATCAACAGTATTTGAAGTAGGCGGTGTATTAGGTAGTGCTGTTATTGGTTTTCTTATTGACAAGTAAGTAAAATTATATCAAAAACATTTGGAATAGGTTATGTATTAGATGGTGATGTTATTGGTTTTCTTATTGACAAGTAAGTAAAATTATATCAAAAACATTTGGAATAGGTTATGTATTAGATGGTTATGTTGATGGCTTTCTTATTGACAAGTAAGTAAAATTATATCAAAAACATTTGGAATAGGTTATGTATTAGATGGTTATGTTGATGGCTTTCTTATTGACAAGTAAGTAAAATTATATCAAAAACATTTGGAATAGGTTATGTATTAGATAGTGATGTTGTTGTCTTTCTTATTGACAAGTAAGTAAAAGTATATCAAAAACCATTTGGAATAGGTGATGTATTAGATAGTGATGTTGATGGCTTTCTTATTGACAAGTAAATGAAATTTCAACCACAAAATTTGATAAAGATGATGAATATGTATTAGGTAGCACTGATATTTGTTTGTAAAATGTAAACAACAACTGTTATGTAGGTTGTGTATTTAGTAGAGTTGTTATTGGTTTTCTTATGGATAAATAACTGAAACATTTGCAATATGTGTGTATTAGTTAGGTTTTCATGTAGACAAGTAAGTCCTTTAATGTAACACATATATGTGAGATTTAGTTTCAAGTTGTCTGCAAAACTTTCTTTACATGTTTGTCTGTTTCAGTTGCTTAGGAAACTGGAGTGCCGAGAGTTAACTCTGACCTTTAGTGAATAACTGAAAGGAGATGTGGGTATGAGTTTATGAAACATCAACCGTAATGACACAAAAAGACTCTTAATAAAATTGAGAATGGAAATGGGGAATGTGTCAAAGAGACAACAACCCGACCACAGAACAGCATCTTAAGACAGCATTTTTCTCACAGAATGAGCTTTACACCCCTTTTAAAAAGATTTCTGTTCTTGAATGATTACTGCATATATGTTTTAGGAGCTAAATGGATTTGAATCTTATAACATACTTATTTATTTTTCAGATTTTTCAAAGGTAGAACAATATTTGGTACAGGAGTATCTGTATTATTATCAGCTGTTTCTCTTACTTTGTTTTTACTGACCTGTGATTGGGGCTGGATGTTTAATGTATCCTTTATGTTCCTGGCTGGTGCATTCAACTGTGGACCTGATAGTTTATTGGGTAAATTTTGTAAACAATTTTGTAAACATTTTAAGTTATTTTATGTAGCTATGTTTATAAAAAATCTTATGCAATATAAGTAATTATCATACTGGAAGTATTAGACAACATTCTTTTCAAATTTATAATCGGTAATTAGCGAACCTAAGTCACAAGTTGTCTTTTCCCTTATTATTTTTATTTGGTCAAATTTTAGTTAAGAATTAGTTTCAATTTCAGCAAATAAAGATTTTTTTAAAGCTTTTGTAATGATAATTAACAAGGGCTATTCAAGAAAAAAATATATTGGGGGAAGGAATTGGATGGCACTTGAATTATTTTTGTATGAGTGGCGTAGATCACCAAGTTCAAATTGTTTTGTAATGTATGCAAAGTAAAATGCAATTGTAAGGGTGATGGCCATAAAAAAGTGCCTTCCAACACCCCAACCCCCATATTTTTTTTCAAGAATAGCCCTAATGATAATTAAGTCTGCCAAACGAAGTTTGGGAAGACTTATTGTTTTTGCTCAGTTCTTATTATTATTATTCTTCTTCTTCTTCCGCCGCTTTTAAATTTGAACTTGTCCGCACCCGTTCTCCAAAACCGCTTGTCAGATTAACTTAGGGTTTCACAATATGTTAGACTAACATGTCTAGTGGTGCAATCAGGGTTTTTTTTGTGCAATGGGGTTTATAAAGGGGTACTTTGAGGGGCAAAAAGAAAAGAGGGTTTTACTATAGAACCCTATGGGATTTTATTTTTAAAAATTTTCAAGTGATTATAAATTGAAAACCGTTTGTGATAAACACAATCTTTTTAATTGAAAATGTTCTAAATGATAAAGCACATTAAATGAAATACAGGGTTAGTCCCCAGGGGTCACCCCCATCCCCTGCCATTTAAGAAAGTTCTAATATCTTCTAAGTGGTCAAAATCCCCACCCCTAAACCATATATATTCTGGTTTGTCATGCTAAGATGGTTTGAATGATATACAGGGTTAGTCCCCAGGGGTCATCCCGACCCCCTGCCATTTGAGAAAGTTCTAATATCTTGTAAATGGTCGAGATCCCCACCCCTAAACCATATATATTCTGGTTTGTCATGATAAAGCACATCAAATGAAATACAGGGTTAGTTCCCAGGGGTCACCCCCACCCCATGCCATTTAAAAAGTTCTAATATCTTGTAAGTGGTCAAGATCCCCACCCCTAAACCATATATATTCTGGTTTGACATGCTAAGATGGTTTGAATGATATACAGGGTTAGTCCCCAGGGGTCATCCCGACCCCCTGCCATTTGAGAAAGTTCTAATATCTTGTAAATGGTCAAGATCCCCATCCCTAAACCATATATATTCTGGTTTGTCATGATAAGGCACATCAAATGAAATACAGGGTTAGTCCTCAGGGGTCACCCCCACCCCCTGCCATTTGAGAAAGTTCTAATATCTTGTAAGTGGTCAAGATCCCCACCCCTAAACCATATATATTCTGGTTTGTCATGCTAAGATGGTTTGAATGATATACAGGGTTAGTCCCTAGGGGTCATCCGGACCCCCTGCCATTTGAGAAAGTTCTAATATCTTGTAAATGGTTGAGATCCCCACCCCTAAACCATATATATTCCTATTTGTCATGTCTCGAACATTTGAATGACGTATAGGGTCAGTCCCCAGGGGTTCCCCCCACCCCCAATGTTCTAGTATCTTGTAAATGGTCGAGATCCCCACCCCTAAACCATATATATTCTGGTTTGTCATGCCAAGATGATTTGAATGATATACAGGGTTAGTCCCCAGGCATCACTGATGCATATAACTTTACTGGACCAAACCAATTTTCACTGGATGTTGCCCAATGTCAGGTGACCCTGGGAATTACGAATTATGGGAGCTTCGTTTGGGAGACTTCGTAACAGCATCCTGTTACAATCATTTCTTGTTTCTATAGAATTGACCATTTGTAAGGAGATTTCTTATGGTTAACATACATAACTGTATGGTTTAAGTTTTGGTTAACATTTAACAACTTTATTTTGTTAATAAACAAAGCTGTGAATGTCTTTCTATTTTCAGGTTCTTTTGTTTATTAAGTTAGTTGTCTTAAATTGAATATAGAATAAGGAATTTGAGAAATCTTTTATATTATACATGATATTATACATTATAGGTGGTGCAGTTCCAGCAGAACTAGGAGAACAAGATGGTAAAAATGCAGCAGCATCAACAGTTGGTTTAGTTAATGGTTTGTATTTTTGATAATTAATATTTTTGTATTTGTTAGAATATGAAGATGGATTCAGAGTAGGAAATTGTTTTAAAAGTTTCTTCACATGATATAATTTTACATCAGGTTATCTTAAGGGTCATGTGAGATATTGCAATTACTTGGCCTCCATCGTTGTAAAATTTTTCAAAATCATCTCCAATGAAATCACTGGACTTATTTCAACAAAATTTGGGATGAATGATCCTAAGGGTTTCAAGTAAAATATTTTTGTTACTACCAAACAATCAACATGGAGCCATGGCTAAAATTGGAACATTGTAGTAAAATGTCAATAATTGTTGAATATCTTAAAAACCATAATAGGCCGGGAAAATCCGACAGAGCAAAAATCCTCAGTTTGGATCAAAATATGTTCTTACTGACATTACATTTGATAACATCATCTACATAATCAAGTAAATCCATCACTTCTTGGATTTATACTTACCAGAAAATATTTGTTTTTCTTTTATGCAGCTTTTTTTTAATTTGAAAAATATTAGATATTGTTGAATGATAAGCCATTTTTAGCTCACCTGGCCCAAAGGGCCAAGTGAGCTTTTCTCATCACATGGCGTTCGTCGTCCGTCGTCTGTTAACTTTTACAAAAATCTTCCCCTCTGAAACTACTTGGCCAAATTTAACCAAACTTGGCCACAATCATCATTGGGGTATCTAGTTTAAAAAATGTGTCCGGTGACCCGGCCAACCAACCAAGATGGCCGCCATGGCTAAAAATAGAACATAGGGGTAAAATGTAGATTTTGGCTTATATCTCTGAAACCAAAGCATTTAGAGCAAATCTGACGGGGTAAAATTGTTTATCAGGTCAAGATCTATCTGCCCTGAAATTTTCAGATGAATCTGACAACCCATTGTTGGGTTGCTGCCCCTGAATTGGTAATTTTAAGGAAATTTTGCCGTTTTTGGTTATTATCTTGAATATTATTATAGATAGAGATAAACTGTAAACAGCAATAATGTTCAGCAAAGTAAGATCTACAAATAAGTCAACTTGACCAAAATGGTCAGTTGACCCCTTAAGGAGTTATTGCCTTTTATAGTCAATTTTTAACCATTTTTCGTAAATTTTTGTAATCTTTTACAAAAATCTTCTCCTCTGAAACTACTAGGACAAATTTAACCAAACTTGTCCACAATCATCATTAGGGTATCTAGTTTAAAAAATATGTCCGATGACCCCGCCTACGAAACAAGATGGCCAACATGGCTAAAAAATAGTACATAGGGAAAAAGGCAGTTTTTGGCTCATATCTCTGAAACCAAAGCCTTTAGAGCAAATCTAACAGGATAAAATTGTTCATTAGGTCAAGATCTATCTGCCCTGAAATTTTCAGACCAATCAGGCAACACGTTGTTGGGTTGCTGCCTCTGAATTGGTAATTTTAAGAAAATTTTGCAGCTTTTGGTTATTATCTTGAATATTATTATAGATAGAGATAAACTGTAAACAGCAATAATGTACAGCAAAGTAAGATCTACAAATAAGTCCACATGACCAAAATTATCAATTGACCCCTTAAGGAGTTATTGCCCTTTATAGTCAATATTTTACAATTTTCATAAATTTTGTAAATTTTTGTAAATTTTTACAAAATATTTTCCACTGTAACTACTGGGCCAAGTTCATTATAGATAGAGATAATTGTTAGCAGCAAGAATGTTCAGTAAAGTAAGATCTACAAACACATCACCATCACCAAAACACAATTTTGTCATGAATCCATCTGTGTCCTTTGTTTAATATGCACATAGACCAAGGTGAGCGACACAGGCTCTTTAGAGCCTCTAGTTGGTTATTATCTTGAATATTATTATAGATAGAGATAAACTGTATACAGCAATAATGTCCAGCAAAGTAAGATCTACAAATAAGTCAACTTGACCAAAATGGTCAGTTGACCCCTTAAGGAGTTATTGCCCTTTATAGTCAATTTTTAACCATTTTCGTAAATTTTTGTAATCTTTTACAAAAATCTTCTCCTCTGAAACTACTAAGACAAATTTAACCAAACTTGTCCACAATCATTATTAGGGTATCTAGTTTAAAAAATGTGTCCGATGACCCCGCCTGCGAACCAAGATGGCCAACATGGCTAAAACATAGTACATAGGGTAAAATGCAGTTTTTGGCTCAGATCTCTGAAACCAAAGCATTTAGAGCAAATCTGACGGGATAAAATTGTTCATTAGGTCAAGATCTATCTGCCCTGAAATTTTCAGACCAATCAGGCAACACGTTGTTGGGTTGCTGCCTCTGAATTGGTAATTTTAAGAAAATTTTGCAGCTTTTGGTTATTATCTTGAATATTATTATAGATAGAGATAAACTGTAAACAGCAATAATTTACAGCAAAGTAAGATCTACAAATAAGTCAACATGAACACAATTTTCAATAGACCTCTTAAGGAGTTATTGCCCTTTATAGTCAATTTTTTACAATTTTCATAAATTTTGTAATTTTTTGTAAATTTTTACAAAATATTTTCCACTGTAACTACTGGGCCAAGTTCATTATAGATAGAGATAATTGTAAACAGCAAGAATGTTCAGTAAAGTAAGATCTACAAACACATCACCATCACCAAAACACAATTTTGTCATGGATCCATCTGTGTCCTTTGTTTAATATGCACATAGACCAAGGTGAGTGACACAGGCTCTTTAGAGCCTCTAGTTTTTAGAAAATGACGCAGTCAATTTTCTTTTACCATTGAACAGACTTCCAACCCGCATTCCGAACTCGATTCCGTATTTTACATACTTATTACTTAATGTACTATACAGAATTTCATTCTTTAATTTCTTAACCTGTCATACCTGCCAACTTTCACATTCAGGCATGAAATATTGACCCCTTATCAAGATTGCACGATTGTGATTGTGTAAAAACCTATAAAACACGATTTTGTTAAATTCTACACAAAAATAATGATTGTTCCCGAATTGTACTTTCCTCAAATTTTTCCCAAGGGAGACAACCGTGATCAGCCAATCAAAATCGTTGTTTCTCCTGATCTTTGGGTATTGTAAACTGCAAATGTGCTAAATTTTGAACTTGTTTGGAACTTAGAATTGTAGAAATCGTGATCATGGCAGACCAATTTTCAATTACAAGAAAGTTCTTACACAGCATAAGAAATAAATCATGACTGATTGACAAAGTTCAAAGATACAGTTCAACCATAAACATAATAAACAGTAGCTAATGGACACTATACACTTATGGTAACAGAGCATACATGTTGTCATTCTTGAAATTAAATTACCAAACCAATTAAAGGACAATGTTCTATCTTTTATTTTTCACAAGGAATCAGATATATTTCCTTCTTTGTGCATATTTTTATATTTGAAAAGTCAACAATCACTTTAATATTCCTGTGGCCAATAATCTGATAATCAACCTTTAATAAAAAAAAAAAAGACTTCTTAAAACAAAGATTTCTATCATATTCATCTTGGAAAATTATCAAATATGTTAACCTATTTTCAACATATCTTCAATAACATTTCAGTACTTATGGAAAGAGTTATTCCATTTCTTCCTTTGATATTAAAGGATATACCAATTTTAATTGCAAAATTGTAGTATGATGGATGTAAATAAAAGTTATAAATAAAATTCCAATTTTGTCATTGAAAACCTTCTTTAAATATGTGTCAATAATTATGAAGTTGTAAAGGATATATAACTATTTTATAAGTCAAAAACTAAAAGTGAGAAAAAAAATGTACCCACTGTGCTAGATTTTGGGACGGGTGGTAATGAAATCAAATTATTAACGTTATCTAAGCATTTAAAATTTTAAAGTTTGATAATAAAAATGTCACTTATTTGCATTTCTGTTAATGCACATGCAAATGTAAAAAAAAATGCAGGTCTTTGTCTATTTAATATAAAGTATAACAAACATAGTAGTTGTAAATAAATGTAACTGCATCAAATCGCAAACACAACACTTATGATGATATGGAATCAATCTAATATCGTGCGCTTACCACAGCGCTATAAAAAAATCCTGGGGAGAATACTGGATTGTATTGCTTTCAGAGTTATGTAATACACCTTGCCTAAGAAATAGATCCTAGCTAGGTTCTTATAAAAAATGAGGTGATAATGATGTAAAATTACCATATTTACATTAGAGAGCAACCATCTAACTTCCAGGGGGTTATGGTTTTTTTCTAAAAAAAAATATTCTGATCCCCAATTTGATGAAAAAAATATTTTCTGGTCAAGCAGATGACAAAAATAAATTATTCTGAATGCTGATTCCCTCTATACATTATAGTGTCAAATTTTGAAAAAAATAATATAATTTATCGTGTTGAAAAACTAAATAAATAATTTTCTGACTAAGAAAAAAAACCATAACCCCCCCCCCTTTTCCCCTTTTGAAGTCCGAAAGTGATAACTGCCAACAGCCACATTATTTGGACTCTGGTGGATAGTAATCAGACTGTTATCTCATTGGCAATCACACCCCATCTACTATTGTCTAAATCTACAGAAATTGATCATCTTTAGGTAACAGAAATAACAATGTGATTATGTCACTAGGTCACCTGTAACTTATCTCTTGAACAAGGACTATGTGGGGTATAAGAGCTTGCTTACTACAGGCTCTTCATAATCATTTTGTTAAATAATTCTACAAAGAAGGGAAACAAATTCACATATTACTTTGAATATTGTAGATTGTTCAGGTAGTCTTGATCTATTTCTTTGTACAGCAGAACAACTTGTAGTTATCTTCACTTCACACACACACATATCTATATCTATATATATATATATATACAAACAAGTCTAAATTGAAAACAACGTTCAAACCTATGATTGCGTTGGATAAAAACCGCAATTTTTATACGTGTGCATGCAAAACAAATTTCTTGGTAGAGGGGTCTAAATACAGCACAAACAACATTTTCCAAAAGACCAAAAAGTGAAAAAGTATATTTTAACAAAACGCATTTGACTAGCAGGTCGAACAACGAATGTTCTTAAACCCTGCTGATATATATATATATATATATCTTGACAAACAAATAAAAATGCTATAGATTTTGAAAACAATTCATATCTATTCTATCAGTCACCCTACATACCATGAACTGAAACGTCTCCTAAGATTCAGTAGGTAAATTATGTTAAAATCAAGATTTGCATCAAAAATATCCTAATATGAGAGACAATGGCGTCATTTTTCCTTAGAGCTTTCAGCTCTTTGATTATTCTTTTATATTTTCAGGTTTTGGCAGTTTTGGTACATGTTTGGAAGGTCCCATAATCGGTTTTATATCAGCTCAATATGGATGGTCTGGGATGTTTTATATGATGATTGGATTATCATTTGTAGGAACTGCATCAGTGTTTAAAGCAGCAGCAATTCATAAAAATAAAAGTGGCAGAATTCCAGAGGCTATACCTCTTAATATGGATGAAGTGTAATCAAAAATATATTATAGTTTGAATGTTAATTGTAAAATATTAGGTACAAATGTACTGGGAAATAATGTGATAGTGGTCTCATGTGGAATATTTCTTGTGGGTTTGTTATTATTTATCATCATTTCTACAAAAAATGTTATTTTTGTCCTGTTGACATTAATTTTATTTATGTGTGTCTTGAATACAGAATGGTATGTAATCAATGAATAAATTATGGACATGAAATGAAATTATCTTAGGCTGCATTTTATGTTTGGTGGGCGTAGAATATGTTTTGTGTCATGATTGAATTACAGCAAACTCAATTTTCTGGTCAATATTAACTCCTTAAAGATGTTTTCACCAAACTACAGTTTAACTTTTGGCTTTAGCTCAATTTCTTCCTCATACTTAAAATCATTTGATAATCCGTGTTCATAAAAGATAAGCTGTGTTTGCCTGTAACTTTTTAAAATATCCTTAATATTAGTTTTGGCCATACTTATAGTTGAGCATAATAATGTAAAACAAATAGATTTTATAGAAGGGTAACATTCATTTGTCAATCATCTGTGCTCATAGATAACAAACATGGAATGTTAGTGAAAATAGTAATTATAGGAGTTGGAAATATAAAATGATTTCCTTGTCTAGCATTTTGACAATCGTTGTTTTGTATTTTATGGTTAAGTTTGTCTTAGAATTCCTATTATCTTTGTACTTGCTCTTGTCATTATTTATGGTATGCCATCAGTTACTGTTTTTATCTCACCAAAATTGGGGGAGTTGATTTTCGTATTTTGTCTGTCAAATCTGCATTGACCAATGTTCAGTAAATTGCATTGACCAATGTTCAGTAAATTGCATTGACCAATGTTCAGTAAATATCTGTCTGATTTCAGTCATACGAATTCTACCTCATTTTCACTCTCTAATAATTTCAATTTATTTCACTATATATTCATTTAATGGTTTTTTTTTCAATTATGCTTGCACTCATCAACTATAAATATGATAGTGTGTTCATCTTAAGGTGATGATACGGTCTCATATATATTACTTGTAGATTTGAAGCAATTTAACACTAAATTCTAAGATTATTGTGTGCATTTATTATTACGATTTTTGAAGAATGGTAAGAAATGTGAGATTAATTGTTGTGATTTTAGGAAACGTTGCATACAGATAAATGCATCAAATATCAGAATGAAAGTTCTTATTATTGCGATACTCAACCAGTTGCATTATTTGCATCAATAAAAACTCACATTAACTTCCGTTGGCAGGTTAAAAGTTACTATGATTGCCAGGATAAAAATTTGTTATGTTAATTTTATTGTTATGAGTATATTAATTTGTATATTGATGTTCTGCATTGAAATTAAGAATATTGTTAAGTGTTTTTCAATAAATATATAATACAGTTTGGCCAACTTTTAATAATGTAAATGCGTGAGATTTGGCCAAAATCGTAAAGATCAAAGAGAAAAAACAATAGATCAAAGGAAAATGCCGCCAAATAAGCATGAAAATGCGTGAGACTTGGCAGCCCTGATGATACATCAGAATTAAAAAAAAAGTCAGATATTTCAAATTAATTCTTTAGCATAGAGAATTTTGGTTTTTTTTTAAGGAAAAGATGTCCTTTGTGAATTGTGTGTAAAGAAATTTGATGTTAAACTCTTTGGAAAATGAACTAGAAATCACTTTAACATGAATTTGAAAATCTTTTGCAAGATGTGTACTTGAGATGTATGTTTATAATCATCAATTTGCCAAAGAACGTGTTCCTGAGAAAATTTCATTTAAAAAGATCCTTAATAAAACCCAATATTTTTTTATGCCCCACCTAGGGGCATTATGTTTTTCGGTGTATGCGTCCGTTCGTCCGTCTGTCCCGCTTCAGGTTAAAGCTTTTGATCAAGGTAGTTTTTGATGAAGTTGAAGTCTAATCAACTTGAAACTTAGTACACATGTTCCCTATGATATAGTCTTTCTAATTTTAATGCCAAATTAGAGTTTTGACTCCAATTTCACGGTCCACTGAACATGGAAAATGATAATGTGTGTGGGGCATCCATGTACTATGGACACATTCTTGTTATGATTTGTTATAAACAGATTCATACAAGCTGTCTTTATGCAAAAGTATTTAATCGAATAAATAGAGTAAGGCAGTGAACTTTTATGGTATATGAGCATCTGTATTTATTTGTATTTTTTTCTTTTTAGTGAGCATTTATTTATTTGCATTAGAAATTAAAACTAGATGAAATTATAATTGGTTTGCTTCTGTGTAATTTGTGTATTCAGCCATTGCACACAATCTAAATAATATTTTACAGACATATGCTAGCAGGATAATTTTATTAGAACATATTCATTCTTGTATATAATGTGGAAATAATGCTTCTCTAATGTTAATGCTATTTTTACTTGTCTTGATCAGTGTGAGAAAAATATTTCTCATCTCTAGAGAAAACTTTGTTCTCTGCAAATGATTGGTCAAAATTTCAATTATGATGTCAAATTTTCTTGATTTCTTCTGAATTTCCTATTGTGACATCATGAAAAAAGTCAACCATCCTGGGCTCTCAGTCATAAAACTTTACTCAGGACTCGGAGTACAAACTTTGTGCTCGAAAGACCAAATCCTGTATTTTGATTGTTTGATTTCTGAGTCTGAGTACGATATTTGTGCTTGAAATTTTTATGACTGCAAGGCCTGATGGTCACATATAAAGAACTTTTTTAAATTTTTGCAAATTTTTGAAGAGGAAGGATAAACTTGTTTAGATATAGTCTTAAAATCATTAGAGAAACAGATTCCACCACTATATCTCGTGTATTGCAATATTTCTCCACTCTCAACAGTTAAATTTTAAATATTTAAAAGTTTGGCAAGCCTCGCATTTTAAATTTTTAGAATTTAACTGTCTCAATTGGGAGAAATATTGTAACACACTTGATGCAATGGTGGAATCTATATTTCAATATTTGTTTTTACTTTTTTAAGGGTAAACTTATTTCAGTTGTTACAAACGTTTTTAGTAGTGTCCTTAATATATTTTTATGCAAGTGTTTTTGTTTACAATTTTGTATTTATTTTTTTAATAACGAATTATTTATAAGTGACTGTTAAAATAGTTACTACTGTAATAGATGTGGGAGAAAAAAATGGCAGATGTAGAGTTATGAAATAAAAAGAAGTAATTATACGAGTTATTCTTGTGTCACTGTTACTTTGAAATTGATACTTGAGAATTTTTAATCAGGAAATATGGTAAATTCTTGGTAATCCTGCTGTTACAAGTGTTTCTAATTTTGTTTTGGCATCCTTTTGTGTTATTTTGATTTTATTGTCGAGCCTGCGACTTTTGTCGCAGAAAGCTCGACATAGGGATAGTGATCCAGCGGCGGCGGTGGCGGCGGCGTTAGCTTACTTCTTAGAAGCTTTATATTTTAGAAGGTGGAAGACCTGGATGCTTCATACTTTGTATATAGATGCCTCATGTTACGAAGTTTCCGTCAGTCACATGTCCAATGTCCTTGACCTCATTTTCATGGTTCAGTGACTACTTGAAAAAAAAGTTAAGATTTTTTGTAATGTTAAATTCTCTCTTATTATAAGTAATAGGATAACTATATTTGGTATGTGCGTACCTTGCAAGGTTCTCATGCCCGTCAGACAGTTTTCACTTGACCTCGACCTCATTTCATGGATCAGTGAACAAGGTTAAGTTTTGGTGGTCAAGTCCATATCTGAGATACTATAAGCAATATGTCTAGTATATTCGGTGTATGGAAGGACTGTAAGGTGTACATGTCCAACTGGCAGGTGTCATCTGACCTTGACCTCATTTTCATGGTTCAGTGGTTATAGTTAAGTTTTTGTGTTTTGGTCCGTTTTTCTTATACTGTATGCAATAGGTCTACTATATTTGGTGTATGGAATGATTGTAAGGTGTACATGTCCAACTGGCAGGTGTCATCTGACCTTGACCTCATTTTCATGGTTCAGTGGTTATAGTTAAGTTTTTGTGTTTTGGTCTGTTTTTCTTATACTGTATGCAATAGGTCTACTATATTTGGTGTATGGAATGATTTTAAGGTGTACATGTCTAGCTGGCAGGTGTTATCTGACCTTGACCTCATTTTCATGGTTCAGTGGTCAAAGTTAAGTTTTTGAGTTTTGGTCTTTTTTCTTATACTATATGCAATAAGTCAACTATGTTTGGTGTATGGAAATATTCTATGATGTACATGTCAGTCTCGCAGGTTTTATTTGACCTTGACCTCATTTTCACGGTTCATTGCTCAGTGTTAAGTTTATGTGTTTCAGTCTGTTTTTCTTAAACTATAAGCAATAGGTCAGCTATATTTGTTGTATGGAAGGATTGTAAGCTGTTCATGTCTGCCTGGCATGGTTCATCTGACCTTGACCTCATTTTCACGATTCATTGGTCAATGTTTAGTTTTCTTGGTTAAGTCTGTTTCTTAGAAACTATAAGCAATAGGTCAACTATATTTAGTGTATTGAATGATTGTAAGGTGTACATGTATTTCTCATTTGGTTTATATGACCTTGACTTCATTTTCTTGGATCATGTTAAGTTTATGTAATAGTTGTAGTAAAGCTTTCATTTAGGACTATCAACATAATATCAGTGGTTACTAAAGAAGGCGAGACATTTCAGCGTGTGCACTCTTGTTTCTGTTCAATGTTCAGAACATTCTGATTTTTCATATTTGGTTTTATGATGCTTAAATAGTGCATCTGATTATAGCCCACTCATGTTGCAACCACCTTGTTTGTGCTTTGGTCAAACAAGTATTTCCGTCAGACTTTTCTCATAAACTACTAAATAGCACACCTACTTATTTGGTCAGCAGCTCCACATTGACGAGTTGTAATATTTGACCACTTGTAGGATCGGTCAGATACCTATGATACTTCCTGTTTACCAATACTTTGAATTTTAAGCCAGACTTTTGTTGTTTGAATCAGTGTTTACATTGAACAGATTAATTAATATTATTGATGTTGAATAATAAAATGCTCCGCTGGGTGCAGCTTGATACGACCGCAGAGGTCGAACCCTAAACAGTTGGGGCAAGTATGGACACAACATTCAAGCTTGATACAGCTCTGAATTTGGATTGTGATTAAATATTTGACACAGCATAGGTTTCTGACACAGAATGAATGTGGTCTAAGAACTTAAAAAATTTTAATTTACCTATTCAAACCATATCATTATTATTTGCTTTTATATATAAATCAGAAATAACCAATTTAAAATGGAAAATTTTAAAGAAAAAAAAAGGAAAAAAAATCCCCCCCCCAAAATTTTTTAAACCCCCTAATGATTCATTACCCCCAAACTCAATCCCAGCCTTCCCTTTGTGGTATGGTACCTTGCAGTACAATTTCAGAGAGATCCATACACTTGAACACAAGTTATTGTCTGGAAACTAATAAAATGCTTGTTTTTTGGCCCCTTTTTGGCCCCAAATTCCTAAACGTTTAGGGCAATTACCCCCCAAAATCAATCCCAGCCTTCCCTTTGTGGTATGATACCTTGCAGTACAATTTCAGAGAGATCCATACACTTGAACACAAGTTATTGTCTGAAACTAGAAAAATGCTTATTTTTGGCCCCTTATTCCAAAACGTTTTGGGCAATTACTCCTAAACTCAATTCCAGCTTTCCCTTTGTGATATGGAACCTTGTAGTACAATTTCAGAAAGATCCATACATTTACACACAAGTTATTGTCATGAAATTAGAAAAATGCTTGTTTTTTGCCCCTTTTTTGGCCCCTTAATCCTAAAATTTTGAAGCAATTACCCCAAAATCAATCCCAGCATTCCCTTTGTGATATGGAACCTTGTGGTACAATGTCAGAGAGATCCATACACTAACACACAAGTTATGTCTGGAAGTTACAAAAATGCTTATTTTTGGCCGTTTTTTGGCCCCTAATTCCTTCACTGTTGGTACCATTACCCCCAAAATCAATCCCAACCTTCCTTTTGTGGTATTGAACCTTATGGTAAAATTTCATAGAGATCCATTAACTTATACTAAAGTTAGAGTGCGAAAACCAATATGTCTTCAGACGATGACGACACCAACGTCATACCAATATACGACCGCAAAAAATTTTTGCGGTCGTATAAAAACAACATCACATGCAGTATTGCGAGTTGATAACATTTATTTCATCTACTTAGAAGGTAATTTTTGCTTCGGGTCGATTAATCAATAAGTGATGGATTTCCCTTAGAAGATATTTAAAGGTCCCAGTGAATAAACTACACAGAGAACAATAGCTATTGTATTTACTCAATTATACAAGTGAACTGACAAAAGATTAAATATGTTGACTAAGAGGAGATGACAATGATCAAATCCCATACCGCACAGTCAGCTATTAAAGGCCCCGAAATGACAATGTAAAACAATTCAAACGAGAAAACTAACGGCCTAATTTATGTACAAAAAATGAAGAAAAAACAAATATGTAACACATAAACAAACGATAACCGCTGAATTACAGGCTCCTGACTTGGGACAGGCACATACATACAGAATGATGCCAATTTTGATGAACTTGGAAGTCTTCAGTCCAAGTATTACACTTACCCAATAGCTAATGCTTTTGTTCTGGCATATTGACACTTTTCCGTGTTATGCTTGTCAGTGTAGTTACTTTAATACAGAATGTCCTGCTCTGGACAAGTTTCACATATGCATTTCTTGAAAATTGCTGCTGGTAGAAAGACTTTATTTAAATAAATGTGGATAGTGTCCACACGTGGACACAGATGATGCCCCCGCTTGCATATCATATAGTTATAAAGGGACATAATTGAAGAACGGTAAAAGTGACGCTACCCAAATTTGAACTTAATCTGAGTTTTGTGGTAATAAGCATTGTGTGCAAGTCTCATAACATTTGGTTGAGGCTAACTTAAGTAGAGAACAGAAACTAATCAAATGCTTCGCTGGGCGCAGCTTGATACGACCACAGAAGTCGAACCCTGAACAGTTGGGGCAAGTATGGACACAACATTCAAGCTTGATACAGCTCTGAATTTGGATTGTGATTAAATATTTGACACAGCATAGGTTTCTGACACAGAAAGAATGTGGTCTAAGAACTTGATTTTTTTTTATTTACCTATTATGGTCCAATGTCCATAATCAAAATACATGGTTAGATTCAGCATATCAACGAACCCCATATATTCAATTTTTGTTGAAATCAAACAAAGTTTTATTTTGGACCCCAACTTGGACAAACTTGAAAACTGGGCCCATAATCAAAAATCTAAACACATGTTTAGATTCAGCATATCAAAAAACCCCAAGAATTCAATTTTTGTTAAAATCAAACTAAGTTTAATTTTGGACCCTTTGGACCTTAATGTAGACCAATTTCAAAACTGGACCCAAGATTAAAAATATAAATACAAGGTTAGATTCGGCATATCAAATAAATAAATGTGGTCAAAGATTTAACAAATCTAATGCGCCATACTGTGCAATTAAAGATTACTTCTTGAAATTTTTTAATATTTGAAATTTGAAAAAAAAAATAATATTTAAAGAATAATTCTTTTTAATTTCTGAAATCTGAAATGAGAAAAAATTGACCCCCCACAATTTCTTTTTACCCCCCCCCCCCCCCTTTTTTCCCCCAAAAAAATTCTTTCCCTCAAGATATGGTCATAATCTCAATTCAAATTTCCAATGGAGTTTGCAACCATAATTACCCATTTAAATTTACCATAGTGCTAACTTAATCTATTTTATAACTGAATTTAAAATATAGTGTCAAATCTTTCATATGGATTTTTTTGTAAAAAAAAAAAGATGCAACATTTGCAGATATTTTTACTGGTCTTCCTTTATTAATATGCATTTCTTTAAACATAATTTAAAAGCAGTGTAAGGGAAGTTACCAAAACGTTGTATTTGGATTACCTCCCTTACACTGTTTTAAATTATCTTAATTGTTCATTAACCATTACTTTATACATAATTTAAATGCAGTGTATGGGAGATAATTTCAATTATGTATTTGATTTATCTCCCTTACACTGCTTTAAATTATGTTTTGTACTAAAGTATTTGTCCATTAACCAGGACAACCTTGTTTTTCCCCCTTTTTTGCCCCTAATTCCTAAACGGTTTGAGCCATAACCCCTCAAAGCAAATCCTAACCATCCCTTTGTGGTATGGAAACTTGTAGTATAATTTCAGAGAGATCCATACACCATTCCACAGTTATTGTCTGGAAACTAGAAAATGCTTATTTTTGGCCCCTTTTTGGCCCCTAATTCCTTAACTGTTGGTACCATAACCCCCAAAATCAATCCCCACCTTCCTTTTGTGGTATTGAACCTTATGGTAAAATTTCAAAGAGATCCATTCACTTAAACTAAAGTTAGAGTGCGAAAACCAATGTGTCTTAGGACGACGTCGACGAGCATTTTTTCTATTTGTAAACACGCATAACTCTAGAAAGGTTGTGTATAAGTTTTATAACATTTGGTTGAGACAAACTAAAGTAAGAGAACGGAAACGAAAAATTCAGCAATTTTTATGTTTATAAAGGGAAATAACTCAAAAATGGTAAAAGTGTTGCCACCAAATTTCGTACTTAATCTGTATTATGTAGTAATAAGCATTGTGTATAAGTTTCATAACATTTGGTTGAGGCAAACTAAAAGTATGAAAATGGAAACAAAAAATTTGTACTTGATCTTAGTTTTGTGGTAATGAATATTGTGTATAGGTTTTATAATGTTTGATTGGGGCAAACTTAAGTTACATGGAAACTAAAAATTTTGCAATCTTTCGATTTATAGATGGGCATAACTCAATAACGGTAAAAGTGACACTACCCAAATTCAACTTGATCTGTGTTTTATCAGTGGAAGTCAAAACTAAACATTGCATTGTATAAAGCATTGATTGTAGTTGATTCAACTATAATCATGAACAAAGGAAGATAACTCCAATTTTAAAAATTACTTGATATTTAGAAGAAAATAAAAATTTTGCAATTTTTCCATTTCTAAAGGGCATAACTCTAGAACAGTAAAAGTGACGCCACCAAAATTCAAACTTGATCTGTGTTTTGTGGTAATAAGCATTGTGTATAAGTTTCATAACATTTGGTTGAGGCAAACTAAAGTTAGAGAACTGAAACCAATTTTGGGACATACGTAGTATGTACGTATGTTCGATTGTACGTACAGACGGACAAGGATAAAACTTAATGCCCCCTCCGCTATGCCGGGGGCATAAAAAGAGGATAATAAAACTAATAAAAAACTTATTAACAAACTAAACGTAAAATAATAATGTTTTCCTAAGTAATACTTTAGCATTAATTAACTGACCAATGTGGCTGACTGCAGTAGACCTTAGTTTTTCAATGGAATCCAAAGCTAATGTATATCACTAGAGGCTCTAAAGAGCCTGTGTTGCTTACCATTATCCATTTTCAACAATGTCCACTCTCTGACATTGTAGATTAGAATATAATGCATGTCTATACCTAATCAAGACAAGCATTCTGAGAGTATTGCATGGCAATACATAGTCCCCTACCGGGTAAAAATTCATTATACTGGAACAAAATGCTAACTTGTTCTATAACTTGTCATGGTGTAAACAAAAAGAAAATATCAAGTCAATATCTTCAAGCATGACTAAAAACAGTGTGGAAAACTGAATATATGAGTGAATTTTTCAAGTCCAAGGACCATAACTCTGCACAAAATTATCAGACCGAAACAAAAATTTGAACATGATCTGTAACTTGTCATGATAAAACTATTTACCAATTGTCAATCAATATCTTCAAGCATGATGAAAAAAAGTGTGGAAAACCTATAACACTCTAACATTAGATATGACGTAATACAATGTATATATCTATTTTCAAATTACAATCAAATATAATTAATAGTTCCAAATATTTTTTCTTTCATTTGTCACAAACTAATATAGATTTGTAACTTACCTATAAAATGTCAACAACTTTTATCTACACAATGTAATGTAATGAAATATATACCTTAATAAAAATAGATTATTATCTAATTAAAGGATTTCACTTAATAAAAAAAAATATATATATATACATGAAGCATTCAGAAAATTAGTTTATACAAAATAACATATAAACCTGCCACAAAATTCCTCAAACAATTTACCAAAGAATGTCTTTTAAAAAATGAGTTATCTCCCTTTGTACAGATTATATGGTTTAACATAGTACTCTTAACATTAGTTATGGAGTTTTTTAATGGACCATAACTCTGGACTAAATCATCAGACCGGAACAAAATTCGAACTTGATCTATAACTTGTCATGATAAAACTATATACCAAATATCAAATCAATATCTTCAAGAACGAAGAAAAAAAGTGTGGAAAGCTGAGTTGCTGGACTGACGGATGGACAGACGGACGGACGGACAGACAGACAGACAGAGTGCAATCCTAAAGTCCCCTTCGACTTCATCGGTAGGGGACTAAAAAGTAACGTTGATTAATAAACCATGAAAATTATTTCTTATTGCTTCTTGCTTGAGAAACGGACAAAATCATGAAAACTTAAAAGGTTGACCAATAAACCATGAATATGAGGTCAAGATCCGATAAATACTGCCAGACAAACATGTACACCTTACAATTATTCCATACTCATAATCTTGTTTACCTAATGTTTATAGAATCGTAGAAACAGACCTCATCTTGAAAACTTAACAATGACCAATGAACAACTAAAGATAGGCAAAGGTCAAATGAATCCTGCAAGACAGGCATTTGGTCTCTTGTTGAGAGTTGTCTCATTGACAATCATACCACATCTTCTTATTTTTACATGAACATCTTACAACATTCCATTACACCAAATATAGTAAACTTATATTCTTGTATTATATTGCTTAAAGTATCTGAAACTGACCTAACCATAAAACTTAACTGACCAATGAACCATGAAAATAAGGTCAAGGAAAGATGAACCCTGTCAGATGGATATGTAAACCTTGGAAGGATCCCATTAACTCTATTAATGTATCCTTTAACTCATAATAAGAGAGAAATTCACATTGCAAAAAAATATCAGTTGCTAAACCATGAAAATGAGGTGCAAGATAATGGACACATGACATGGAAGCTTCTGGACTTAAGGTGTCAGAATTGTCTGTATACAAGGCATGAAGTATCCAGGTAGCTTACCATCTGATATACAACATTTATCCAAATAGTTTACATCCCCACTAGATTATCATCCCTGTGTCTTACAATCTGCAACAACTTTTGTAGCTGGCAAGACTAAAGGTAATAAAGAATAATGAAACATGGATAAGCCCTGCAGACAAACTTACACACTATACATCAAATATTACTTATAGAACTGGAGTAATAGACTGTACAGTTGCCGGTATTTGCTTACATCCACTTCATTTGAACTTTGGTGAATAGTTGTCTCGCTGGCAATCATACTACATCTCTTTATTTTTATATTAATTATGAAAACTTAAATTATATGAACCAGTTGGCCTGGCTGAAGGTAAGTAAATACAAAGAACACTTCTTATTTTATAGGTTTATTCTGTTTGAAATAGATATATTCCATAAAATGACAAGATGTGAAAAAAAACACAGCCAAAGAAAAATACTTGTGTGTTGAAGTCCATGATAAAAATTATAGTGCAACACTTGAAAAATTCTGACAACAATCTGTGGTTTCTTAATATCTGGATTTTTTAAATTGCAAATATACCTACCCTAACAATTTCCACAAAACACTGAAAGAGCCAAGAAATTTACAACTTTCTATACAAAAATAAAAATATGATGTAACTAGACACAAATACAACTTTAAAGTTGGTTATGATATAAAAATTTGGTTACATGCACAAAAATCAAGTTAATTCATTTTAAATCTTTGAATATAATATGTTAGTAAATTAAGTATAACCTTGTGAGCACAAACCAATTTTATAAGTTTCACAACCAAATTTTTATTTTAAAGATGGCATTTTTATTTATAAAAATATATAATTGATGAAAAAACCTATTATTCTTCAAAATTCTAAAATCTTACACTATCCAATGATTATGCAAAATATCAACACAAAATATGAAATGGTGATGATATAAAAAAAATTATCTGCAACAGCAGTAATGCTTATACAAACGCAGCTAACACAAAAGGTTTGAGGTATATCAACAAAATGGGATTTACAAACTCTCAGCACCGCCAACTGTGCATTGAACACACAATTAGATACAAATAAAACAGGGTATGGATCTATTTGATAATTTGTTAATCCACTTACGTTTGGATATACAATGATCATCGTTAAAATCTTGGAAACGGTTTGTAAAAGATATCTTTCACACAATATAAACATGAACTTAAATATTGCATTATAGTGAAGAAAACTGCTGGTTTTATAAATTCTGAACAAATAAAACAAATCTGGAAATTCTATACCTCCTAAACAAATTATCTGAACAAAGTAAGATGTTTTCTAATGTGTTAAAGGAATGAAGTTAATGCCCTATTTTGGAACAGCTGTTTTAATTAATATCATAACAAGAGTAGTAGGGAAAATAAAAGGGATGACATTTGAAATAAATTATTTTTAATATATTTATTGCTTCCAAATTTAAAATAAGATTGATTAATAAACATTTTTTTCCACAAATTTATTTTATGTAGTCTTTCATCATTTATAATTTTATATTTGTTGTCTTTTTAATAAAATAAAGATAGACAAATTTGAATATATTAATAACATTTTATCACAAACAAAAAAAACCATAACAAATATAAATAAAAACATAAAATTAAAGAAGCAACAAGTCATGGAACAATGGTTTTTCGGTAAATTAAAAAATGGGAAAATGTCATGCTTATGAATTTAGTTGTCATTTTTCAGGAATTAATATATTCTGGCTCCAGAAAGGCCAGATTGACAATGTAAGACCCTTAATTTCACAAGATCTTTTAATACCACCTCATCATCATTTCATAGTTCAAACTCTTCTAATACAACCTAATCATCATTTCACAGCAATCCAAACTATCTGAACTTCATGTAGTCTTTAGGAAATACGAAGTTTCAACTTGTAAGACCAATTCTTAGATTTCATTATTAAATGTACAAATAAGTGTCAAACCAATTCAAAAACATTTTGGCAAAGAATACATATATTAAGCTTTTTTTCAATTGGTGATTTCCTTTTTACCTCTACATGATACATTTATAACATTATCTAGAAAAGATGAAAATCATTTTGATTTTTCACACATGAAAAAACAGATGAAAGATTTTTTTTACTTCTTAATTTTTTTAGATCATTGTCATAACTCTTTCAAATGACTTCTGAATTCATAAGCATGACATTCTAATACAAAATAAAATATCATATTTTGGTCATTTTTTCTTAAAAACAAAAATCAGATAAAATTATATGACTAGTATAATATTTCTGTTTCAAACAGAATCGAAAAATTGTTATAATACGAAAATGATAGACCATTCTATCTAAGCCGAAAATATCGAAAGTTTATGTTACTACCATGACCCCTATAGCATTTACATACATACATGCTAAAACTAAGAACATAAAAAATTACACAAAGAAATTTAAAGGCTTAGGTATTAATTAAGAGTCAATGTTTGTTTCTGCTGAGTATGTTTCGAAACTAACGCAAGATGAATATGCTCGATGAACATAGAATCTACAAATAATTTTTTCAAACAGAAATTATGCTATAGACGAAATTAACTAAAATGTTAGCAGCACAAATACCGGTACATGACAAATATTTCACTAAATACACACTCAATGCAAATTTGACTAATTCACAAAAGGTATTGTGTTTTATTTGAACACAGACAGACAATTACAAAATGCTATAAGAATCATAGCAGTAATATATATAGAAATGTAGTGATACATGTAATACTGATATCTGAAATGGATATGTAACTTTTCGCTAACAAATATAATTATGTTTATTATCAAGAATTTGCTCCTTGATTTCGTAGAAACTGACATAATGACAGAAACCAGAGCATAAAACACAAGTAGGAAGACTAAAAGAAATAGAATATACTTGACATTTGTATGAAGGTCATCAAATATTGCAAACTGCATTTTTAATCATAAATTTCAAATCAATTACAAAATTACATTGCAAAGTTAAATCTGACAAAAATAGAATAATTTGATAAATTATTTGTCATTAAAGTTTTCTAAAAGAACAAGAACAAAATTTTTAAGCAAACATTATCCTAAAAAAACATGACAATCACTTTTAGACATGATTTTTCTCTCTACATGTGAAATACAGATATCTGTAAAAAAAAAAGTATTCCACTTCAATAAAACTTTCTTTATCAGAAGAAATTTCAACTTTATTTCTGGTCAGGTTCTATCAAATTTTAAAAATTGAATAAACACTAACAATATTTTTTTTTGCATATCTCTGTTCTTTGGTTTTAAAACCCGATTAAATAATAAGATGAAGTGTCCCAACAAACCAAAGATAAAAAAAATGCACAAATATAAATATCTTATATAAAATATATTCCATTTACACAATAATAAATATGGTTCAATTAAAAATCTCATTGCATATACTTAGGTAGTAATAATAATAATAATAATAATAATAAATATGTCCAGCACAAAACATTACAGAACAAGGTCACTTTAATAAAAAATAAAATTATTTTACAAAAAATCAGAAATTATTGCATCCATCTATTATTTCAAATCTTACATTATCTGCTTTTTCATGATTTTTGAAAGTTTTCAAATTACATTTCAGATTAATTTAAGGTGGTATCTAACACTACAGGGAGATAACTCTGTAAAAATCAGCTAAACGTTTTAATTACGTTGTATTGTTAAGGAAATATTAAGCTTCTCAATGATCAAAATTATTGTTTGTTGAACTGTTATATAACCAATGAAATTTTTCTGATAAAGTGGTTGATTCAAATTTTTTGAAATTTTTATATTTTTGTCAAAGGGTCAAAGTAAACATTTTGTCCAAATTTTATGAAAATTAAACGAGCCAAATTGATATTAGTCAAGGTGTTGGGTACCACCTTAAAGAACTTACATGTCGTCAGGTATATAAAGTTGCCTGTATGTTACAGTCCTTGGCATTATTTTTTAAGACCCGGTTAGGGCATACACTACAGCCCATGCTGATTTTTGTAATTTCTACCCCGTCTAATCTGAGCAGCCCATTAAAATGTTTACGCTAATAGTTATTTGAAATAATGGATAAACAAACACATTGCAATAATTTCAGAAATTTTTGTTACTACATGTATATTAAATTTGCAGTGTTGTGTAAAATCTGGAAAAATAGTTGAAACTGTTAGTATCATCAGATCTATAAGAAAACTTTACAGTACAGATAAAATTTAAATGAAATGGTACATTTTGTAGTGACCTTTTATAAGCACTATACTTTCAATATGGCAGTAAGTTATACATATTTAAGTCAAAATCAACTTGGCAAAATCATAAAGCATACCACTAGAAATGACACATTCCTCACTGGCTCAGACTGAAGTACTGTGCAAGAAAATAACTGGTAACTAATAATTTAGTCACAATACCTAACCAAAAACTTATCTACATCCACTGAAGCAATCACAAACTTATTCTAAATCCACACATGCTATCATAAACTCAATCTAAATCCACCAAAGCAATCACAAATTTATTCTAAATCCACAGAAGCAATTATTATTTGACAGTTCCCCGATTACATTCAACATTGATGCAGGAATCTTTCCAAAAAATGCAACATCTTTTTTCAAAATATAAATGGGCAGGCACCATCATACATGTTTGGTACCAAAATCAAATCATCAGATTTAGTAATACAAAATATTTAATATTACTTTGTAAGCATTTAATAACAGTGTTGTACTTTATCCTGCTCAAAATGTAATTTGCATGTACAGGAGATATTGCATAATTAGATCAATCCCTAAAACAAGGTGGATTTTGTGAAAGAACAGAGATTAATTTACACAATCATTAATACTAAAATACGTTGTTATATGATCTTGCACATTATGAACTTTAGACTTGCTAAAGTGGAAACCTGCAATTAGTATTGTGCTACTGCTACAACAATCATGAAAACATTACTCTATATCTGTTCTTTCACAAAACCATTATAAAAAGTCTTGACTATTGACTAAATATTGCATAAAATGAAGAACTCTTAAAATTCTTCATGAAACAGCTGAGTTGCTAGAACCTCTCCTGTTACAATAGTTTGACATCCAGCTTCTGATGTTTTTTTCTGAGTATTTTCTGATTTCCCCTCTTTTCCAACTTCACCATTTAATGTACCATTACTTTCCTTAGTTGTGCTTTCATCCTCACCATCTCTGGGACTGTCTCCTAGTACTGAACGGTTCATGTAATAACGTTCTGCTACCATGGATAAACTTGGAGATTCTCCCTCATCACTCAGATCTAACTCATCAACATCTCTAAGACCTGCCAATTCAGCATGTTTGAAATTCCAGACTGGAACAATTCCTGCTCCACTTGGTGCTGCATCCCCAAAAGCATAATTGACACCCCCAACACTGACAGGGGTTGATGCAATAGTACTGTCATTCAATTCGGGAATTATTTGCCGCATCTCTTCATCAATGTTTGTAAGGGGACTTGGCGGTTCTTTATATGGTATGCCATCCATTGGCAACTGTAATTGTGTTGCTACCTTTTCAATTAAGTCCTCGATGGATTCATGTTCTTTCCATACTTTCGTTGCACGCCATCTTGCACGACTCCCTTTAGGAGCTGGAATTGCATCAAAGCAACACATTTCTCCAACATGTAACAATTTGTTCAAATCATCAATGTGTTTCCCAAATATTGACCGATCAATGAATACATGTTCATGCCGGCCAAGATCAATGATACCCCAAAGTTTTGCAACATGATAAATACGGCCTTTCCTGCCAGTAACAGTTGGTTTTGGACTTGCTTGTGGTCTGCTGCCTGTGATGAAAACATTTAGACGTGCATTTTTTATTACAGAAACTGTCTCATCCTCTGCTACAACAAATATATTTGCATGTGAGAGAAGAAATTTTTCTAAATCTTGTTTTGTCCATCCAATTGTATTTCTTAAACTTTCAGGAGCTTGACTGAAGTGTCCAGTTAAACTGCTTAACTTCATATCCCCTTTCTTTTCTATTATGCCTTTTATAAACATGACAGCTTTGTACTGATTAGCTGTCATTTCTGTTGGTCCAGATTTTGCACTTCCTGGAGTAATTGCACTTTTTATGGCTGGTGATCTTGGTGACATCAGTGGGGATCGAGGTTCCAACATATCCAATGATTTAGGTCTTTTCTTTAATTTAGGTGTACTCTGTAATAATAATTGATCTCTTTCTTGGTTAAAACGAGAGGTTAAGGCACTGTCTTCAAGAAATGGCTCGGCATTAGGATTCACAGCACTGTATGTTATATTGTCTTTAAGGCCAACCATGTCACCTTTAATTTCAAAAATCAGTGGATGCCTAAGTATCCACTGTTTGAACTCATTCTGTGGGCCAACACATTCTCTGATATCTGGAGGTGCTTGTGATAAATGCCCAGCTAGACTTGCTGTTGCCATCCATTGTTCTCCTTTTTTTAGCATTTTGCTTCGAAAGTACTGAACTGCTTCAGTTTCAGTAGATACTTCTTGGGGATTTGATGATGCAGGGCTGCTTTCTCGAAAATTTGACTTTCCAAGATCGTTACTTCCGTCATTCAAACTAACCTGCAAAACAATATCAAAGTGATAAATCAATATTTGATCAAGAATACAATGTACAGTTAACTCCACTGAGTCAGTCAGGGGAATTATTGAAATAAGTGATTTATAAGTCACTCACATAAGTACTAATAAAAAGTAGCAAGTTAGAAATTCTATGATTTTGTAGTTTTACCAAAATTTTAAAAATACAAGTTTAGATTATATCTTATTATTAGTAAAATTGAAAAAAATGAACCTTTTGCTTCTTTAAAGTAGCAAGGTTGATGCCTTTAAGCTTTTAATTCTATATTTGTTGAAAAAATGCTAAAATAAAGGCTTTACATAATGAACTAATACTTTCTTAACAGACTTTTCCCAGCATTGGGAGTATTTTTTCTGTAAAATTCAAGGTTTCATCTTACAGATTATGTAATAAAATTTTACTGTTAGCAATCAAAATTTCACTGTTCAGGGGTGTTGAAATTAGTGGGGGTAATTGAAATAATAATACTTAAAGAAGTGATTTTTTGGAAGAAAATAGAGGTATGATACTTAAACAAGTGATTTTCATGCCATTATCCCAGATTCAGTACAAGGTCATCACCTGACATAACCAGTCATCCTATAAACACAGATGTTGGTTCTGATAATTTTAGCAACATAATTAGTCCCTGGATCATTAGTATTATATATTTAAAGCTACAATAAAATTAAATCACTTAGTCTAATGATTTATTTGTACTACTTAAATAGGTGATTAATAAAGAAAGACAACTCTTACTTCCAACATTTCTGGACAAAATGTTACTTGAATCAGATTTATGATCACTCATTTAAGTAATTCCCTGACTGTTAGTCACATACCACTAAATTGCATAGGTCCATCAATTGCATAACTTTCTCCTCCCCCACAGAGTACAGTTTGTAACTTTTGACTGAGAATATTTAATATCTTACATTTTCTTTAAGGTATTTTGATGCATATCATACATTTGTTTTCATATTTATTTTACTGAAACAACATGAAAAAGTTTGAATCATGTTTTGTGATTTGTTCAAATTTTAAATAGGGAAAATTCCACAGCCTTTCCTCATGCAATTTTAGATTAACATCACTGTTTCATTTCCATTGATCAAAGCCTTCAAAAACCTAAACAATTAGATTAAGAGTCATCAAAGTCTGATTTATACTGAGTAGGTACTTTTTTATTTGCTAAATAAAATTATCTCCTTTAGTATAATGTACATGGATAAGAAATCAGAAATATCATTGATATATTGACAAAAATTCATCATGATTGAGAAAAGAAAAGTTCTTTTTTTATTCCCCTAACATGTACATGTAAAGCAAATAGTTTTCTTGGTTTTCTAAATGACTTAGAGTCATTTAATAATGGTGTTATATACATGTACTGTTTGTTTCTGTATTTGTCCTGGTCTAGATTCTCCATCAGCAGAAAACAAGAAAAAAGACAATTGCTTCCAATTTTTCCTGCTACAGTATACACACTTCAAAAATGTACTCTCTCTTACTCTTTCTTTTGTATTTTTACTTTTTAGTGTTTGGTGGATAGCTGTCTCTTAGCAACCATACAACAGTTTTAAGTTAACAAGAATAGTTTGCAAGGTCTTGTCACTGAAGCAGCAACATAAGTAATTTCTAAACTTTCTGGTTAATTTAAGGATGTTCGCTTGTCATGTTTTGGAATTTTTGTCAGATTTTCGGAATCCTCTGTTTTTATCCATGTATTGCCATTAAAAAAATTTGCCCACTCACCCCTACTTTTCTTTTCATAATTTTATTACATATAGTTTAATAAGCCATATTTGAAAATCTTATAAAATTCTTGTTTTTTTTTCATAGTTTTTGCAACAAAAAAGCGGCCAATGTTAAAAGTATGCAAAATCTAGAGAGAATCATTTCCCGCCAAATTTTCAATGGCTTTTATCTCGAAAACAAGCACTTGGACCCTTCATTTTTTTCTGCTTTTTTAGTTCCTTTATTTATATACTATCATTTTAGAACAGTTTTTTAAAAATTTTGAAACAGAGTAGCGAGCATCCTTAAGGCAGCCTCAAACTCATTTAATTAATAACTGGATTAAGAGAAATTAACCAAAAAATAAATGGGGAATGTGTCCATTGGACACAGATAATGCCCCGCTTGCATATTTTATAAAGTTATTAAGGACATAACTGAAGAAAAGTAAAAGTGACGCTACCCAAATTTGTACTTAATCTGAGTTTTATGGTAATAAGTATTGTGTATAAGTCTCATAACATTTGGATGAGGCTAACTTAAGTAAGAGAACAGAAACGAAAAATTCAGCAATTTTTCCATTTGTAAACAGGCATAACTCTAGAACAGTAAAAGTGACATCACCAAAATTCAATTTTGATCTGTATTTTGTGGTAATTAGCATTGTGAATAAGTCTCATAACATTTGGTAGAGGCAAACTAAAGTTAGAGAACAGAAACGAAAAATTCAGCAATTTTTATGTTTATAAAGAAGAATAACTCAATAAAGGTACAAGTGTTGCCACCCAATTTCATACTTGATCTGTATTATGTGGTAAAAAGCCTTGTGTATACGTTTCATAACATTTGGTTGAGGCAAACTAAAAGTTAGAAAACGGAAACGAAAATTCTGCAATTTTTCCACTTGTAAAGGGGCATAACTCTAGAACGGTTATAGTGACGCCACCAAAATTCAAACTTGATCTGTGTTTTGTGGTAATAAGCATTGTGTATAAGTTTCATAACATTTGGTTGAGGCAACCTAAAGTTAGAGATCGGAAACCAACTTTGGGACGTACAGACGGACAAGGGTAAAACTTAATGCCCCCTCCGCTACGGCGGGGGCATAAAAACTATGGGAACTTGATATTGAAAGTTACTAGAAAATCTGCCCAATCAGGTGTAAAAGTTAACTCAATACTATGCCTTCCTGAACAATATTTTATCACTTACTAAATTTCCATTCACTGCAAATAAGGATGGATATTTTTGTAGGAATTTCTTTAAACCAGCTTCATTCCCACCTGCACATTGTCGCATGTCTGGTGTAAAGTTACGACTTCCAAAGCGCCCTGCTAACTGACTGATAGTATAGGGTGTTGCGCTATTCATCAAAATCTCCAAGAAATACAACATGGCTTTGTGTCCAGCATCGTCAGCCATGGTGATCTACTTAGTATCGAAAGGCGAAAATGAAGCTAGAAAACTTCTCTGTTACCTAAAATGGAATAAAAAGATTATATAGAATATAAATAATGTTTTATTCATGCTCATTTTCCTTTCTTTCTTATGTAAATGATGTAAGTGGTTGCTGTTCTTATCATCATGGGTTTTTTTTCCTAGGGTAATTTGCTGTGTTTGGTAAGACCTCTCAGGGTATTTGGTCCTCAATGCTCTTCAACTTCTTACTTTTTTTTGGCCTTTTTAACTTTAATTATTCTAGCATCACCTATGAACCTGTCGTAAACTTAACCGGACATCTGTAATTATACTCATAATTAAACTGTTAAGACACAGTATATACATGTAAATAGATCACTGTGTGTCATCAAGATATACCATGCAATAAAAACTTCCTCAGAAAAATGTTATTCCTTCAATCAAAAATAATATAATTCAAATAAAATAATTCTAATTTTTTAAATTCCCTGTCAGTACAGATTTTTAATACTGCATCGATTAAATGACCTGATTTGTAAAAACACATACAGTTTCTATAAAAGTCGTTTTAACAAGTTGCGTATTACAATTAGAATAGTGATTATAATGATGATCTGTTCTCAGTAAGAAATGAAAATATAATGAAACTGTTGTATATCCATTTCTAAATAATCAAATAACTAACTAATCCAACCATATGCAAAAGTAATCAGTTGTCTCAGCATGGAAAAAAATCTGTTTGAGCTGATAATTAACTGATAACTTACTAAATGAAAATATTGGCTTAATGATGGAATACTGTAAATTCAGAAATTATTGCGTTCATTTATTATTGCGATTTTTGTGGAAAGGACAAAAATGCGAAATTAATTATTGCGATTGCAGGAAGATCTACATACAGTTATTTATATCAGATATCAGAATGCGAGTTCTTATTATTGCGATACTCCCTCAATCGCATTAATCGCATTAATAAAAACCTCGCAATAATTTCTGAATTTACAGTACTACATATTCAAGGTTATATTACTTTTGATGCTTAAAACAATCAAAATATATTTGTATTACAAAATCAATACCTATTATAAAATTTTATGATTAATTAGAACTAGAATGGCACCCTTATCATGCTTATGACTGATAAAGTAACTTTACATAGGTCTTAAAATGTGTTGCTTTTGTTCCGAATGCATAATTAATAGTGTCAACATAGTATCATAAGTATGGGGGAAAACATTTATAATATTGTTGATTTTTTTAAAACTAAATGTACAAAATGTAGAATTTTTTTCATTTTTTGCCAATAAAATCTTGCTTTTATTGCAAAACCTTCCAAATCTGGTTGACTGATCATAATATTGGTGCACGTGTGTTCCTTTGTCATGTGCTTTTGTGTTAGCTTAACTCATACATTTATTTTGTATGCATGTCTGTAGCAAATTCCTAAAACTGAAATGTCAGGTACAAATTTCAACCTTTTGAGAAGACAGGAAATGGCCTTGATTGCTTATAGTTTGTTGTCATAATGACAGTGTTACACAAATAAGAATACTTGTGTTCCATACCCATGATACCAGATGCACGCTAAGAAATAACAAGTATACTAGTTTATTGCACATTAAGGGTTTAGCATCTAAAAAAAAATTTTAGTCACTGTAACCTTGAACTTTGAAATATTGACCTCAAAAATCAAAAGGAGGTCTTCCTCTCATTAAATATCATTATGTAACTAAAATATTGTTGCAGTCTGACATAAAGTAGCATTCAGAAAAAAAATAATTGATAGATGGGTTTGAACTCTATACTTCAAAGCATGGGGTATATTTGAAAGGCAGAAATAATGTAACTTGTTATGTTTGACATGCCACATGGTAAAGCACCTTCTTAATTAAATTTGCCCTCAATGGATTTTACTTGTCTATAAATCATAAAATGGTGTAAATAAAGAAAATCAACTGGCCTAGCTTTGGTTTCTCTTGCGGCTTAACCCATGGTTTATTTATTTCAGGTAGAATAAAATGCTTCGCTGGGGTGCAGCTTGATACAACCGCAGAGGTCGAACCCTGAACAGTTGGGGCAAGTATGGACACAACATTCAAGCTTGATACAGCTCTGAATTTGGATTGTTATTAAATATTTGACACAGCATAGGTTTCTGACACAGAAAGAATGTGGTCTAAGAACTTGAATTTTTTTTTAATTTACCTATTATGGTCCAATGTCCAAAATCAAAATACATGGTTAGATTCAGCATATCAAAGAACCCCATATATTCAATTTTCGTTAAAATCAAACAAAGTTTAATTTTGGACCCCAACTTGGACCAACTTGAAAACTGGGCCCATAATCAAAAATCTAAACACATGTTTAGATTCAGCATATCAAAGAACCCTAAGAATTCAATTTTTGCTAAAATCAAACTAAGATTAATTTTGGACCCTTTGGACCTTAATGTAGACCAATTTAAAAATCGGACTTAAAATTAAAAATCTAAATACACGGCTAGATTTGGAATATCAAAGAACCCCAAGAATTCAATTTTTGATGAAATCAAACAAAGTTTAATTTTGGACCCTTTTGACCTCAATATGAACCAATTTGATAGCGGGGCCCACAAATAAAAAATCTAAATTCATGGTTAGATTCAGCATATCAAAGAACCCCATATATTCAATTTTTGTTGAAATCAAAAAAAGTTTAATTTTGGACCCCAACTTGGACCAACTTGAAAACTGGGCCCATAATCAAAAATCTAAACACATGTTTAGATTCAGCATATCAAAGAACTCTAAGAATTCAATTTTTGTTAAAATCAAACTAAGTTTAATTTTGGACCCTTTGGACCTCAATGAAGACCAATTTAAAAAAAACGGGACCCAAATTAAAAATCTAAAAATACGGTTAGATTTGGCATAGTAAAGAACCCCAATAATTCAATATCTGATGAAATCAAACAAAGTTTAATTTTGGACCCTTTTGACCTCAATATGAACCAATTTGATAGCGGGGCCTACAAATAAAAAATCTAAATACATGGTTAGATTCAGCATATCAATGAACCTCTTGTTGAAATCAAACAAAGTTTAATTTTGGACCCCAATTTGGACCAACTTGAAAACTGGGCCCATAATCAAACATCTAAATACATGTTTAGATTCAGCATATCAAAGAACCCCATATATTCAATTTTTGTTGAAATCAAACAAAGTTTAAATACTGGACCCTATCTTGGACCAACTTGAAAACTGGGCCCATAATCAAAAATCTAAACACATGTTTAGATTCAGCATATCAAAGAACCCTAAGAATTCAATTTTTGCTAAAATCAAACTAAGTTTAATTTTGGACCCTTTGGAACTTAATGTAGACCAATTTAAATAAACTGCTTCGCTGAGCGCAGCTAGATACGCCCGCAGAGGTCCAACCCTGAACAGTTGGGGCAAAAATGGACACAATATTCAAGCTTGATACAGGTCTGAATTTGGATTGTAATTAAATATTTGACATATTATAGGTTTCTGAATAAATGTAGTCAAAGAACTTGAAATTGGTTATATGAATTGAATTTATATTCAATTATAGATTTCTTGCTGTTGTGCAATACTTAGTAAATCTGTTGTCAGACTATAAACAAATAAAGTTCAATTAATTCTCAATGTCATATTAGAAATTTATGAAAATAAAAAGGGAGCTTACATCAATAGATATAAACAGTTCACCAAAGTTTCATGAGAATTGGTGACAGAATTTTTGAGTTATTGTCCGAAAACTGGAAAATCACCCCTTTTTTTAATGAATAAAACCCCCATTACTCAGAAATGTAAAATGTAAAATTTATAAAATTCTAAAGGGAGCTTACATCAATACATACAAACAATTCACCAAAGTTTCATAAGAATTGCTGAAAGCATTTTTGAGTTTTTGTCCGAAAACTGGAAAATCCCCCCTTTTTTATGAATAAAACCCTGTAACTCCGAAACGTAAAATCTAAAATTTATAAAAATCGAAAGGGAGCTCATGTCAATAGATATAAACAATTCACCACAATTTCTTGCAAGTTGGTGAAAGCATTCTTGACTTATTGTCCGAAAACTGGAAAATCCCCCTTTTTTTAATGAATAAAACCCCATAACTCAGAAACGTAAAATCTAAAATTTATAAAGAACGAAAGGGAGCTCACGTCAATAGATATAAACAATTCATGCAAATTGGTTAAAGCTTTTTTGAGTTAATGTCCGACATGTTGACGACGGACAGACGGACGGACAGACGGACGGACAGATGGACGGACGGACAACGGTATACCATAATACGTCCCGTAAATGGGCGTATAAAAACAGGACCCAAAATTAAAAATCTAAATACACGGTTAGATTTGGAATATCAAAGAACCCCAATAATTCAATTTCAGATGAAATCAAACAAAGTTTAATTTTGGACCCTTTTGACCTCAATATGAACCAATTTGATAACGGGGTCCACAAATAAAAAATCTAAATACATGGTTAGATTCAGCATATCAAAGAACCCCATATATTCAATTTTTGCTAAAATCAAACAAAGTTTAATTTTGGACCCTTTGGACCTTCATATGGATTTTTTTGTAAAAAACAAAAATGCAACATTTGCAGATATTTTTTCTGGTCTTCCTTTATAAATATGCATTTCTTTAAACATAATTTTAAAGCAGTGTAAGGGAAGTAACCAAAGCGTTGTATTTGGATTACCTCCCTTACACTGTTTTAAATTATCTTTATTGTTCATTAACCATTACTTTATACATAATTTAAAAGCAGTGTAAGGGAGATAATTTCAATGATGTATTTGATTTATCTCCCTTACACTGCTTCAAATTATGTTTTGTACTAAAGTATTTGTCCATTAACCAGGACAACCTTGTTTTTCCCCCTTTTTTGCCCCTAATTCCTAAACATTTTGAGCCATAACCCCCCAAAGCAAATCCTAACCATCCCTTTGTGGTATGGAAACTTGTAGTATAATTTCAGAGAGATCCATACACCGTTCCACAGTTATTGTCTGGAAACTAGAAAATGCTTATTTTTGGCCCCTTTTTGGCCCCTAATTCCTTAACTGTTGGTACCATAACCCCCAAAATCAATCCCAACCTTCCTTTTGTGGTATTTAACCTTATGGTCAAATTTCAAAAAGATCCATTCACTTAAACTAAAGTTAGAGTGCGAAAACCAATGTGTCTTTGGACGACGACGACGACGACGACGCCAACGTCATACCAATATACGACCACAAAATTTTTTTGCGGTCGTATAAAAAGATGACTTTCCCTTTCATGCATGTTCCCATATATTTCCAGGGGATAAGAAATCTACTAGCCCAACGCCTGGGACTAGAGCATTTACACCTCGGGCAATCAAAACTTGTAACCCAATATGCCTGACGGACTAGTAACAAAAAATTCTTGGCGTTTCCAAAATACAGAGTGGAAAATCCTTCATCACTATTCTATCCTAGCCAATCAAATTCAATTACGTCATCCGGGATTCCAAGAATTTGAACTGATTTTGTGCATGTTTTAATAAAATGCTTTGCTGGGCGCAGCTTGATACGACCGCAGAGGTCGAACCCTGAACAGTTGGGGCAAGTATGGACACAACATTCAAGCTTGATACAGCTCTGAATTAGGATTGTGATTAAATATTTGACACAGCATAGGTTTCTGACACAGAAAGAATGTGGTCTAAGAACTTCAATTTTTTTAATTTACCTATTATGGTCCAATGTCCAAAATCAAAATACATGGTTAGATTCAGCATATCAAAGAACCCCATATATTCAATTTTTGTTGAAATCAAACAAAGTTTAATTTTGGACCCCAACTTGAACAAACTTGGAAACTGGTCCCATAATCAAAAATCTAAACACATGTTTAGATTCAGCATATCAAAGTACCCCAAGAATTCAATTTTTGTTAAAATCAAACTAAGTTTAATTTTGGACCCTTTGGACCTTAATGTAGACCAATTAAAAAAAACAGGACCCAAAACTAAAAATCTAAAAACACGGTTAGATTTGACATATCAAAGAACCCCAATAATTCAATTTTTGATGGAATCAAACAAAGTTTAATTTTGGACCCTTTTGACCTCAATATGAACCAATTTGATAGAGGGTCCACAAATAAAAAATCTAAATACATGGTAAGATTCAGCATATCAAAGAACCCCATATATTCAATTTTTGTTGAAATCAAACAAAGTTTAATTTTGGACCCCAATTTGGACCAACTTGAAAACTTGGCCAAAAATCTAAAATCTAAATACATGTTTAGATACAGCATATCAAAGAACCCCATATATTCAATTTTTGTTGAAATCAAACAAAGTTTTATTTGGGCCCCAATTCGGACCAACTTGAAAACTGGGCCAAAAATCAAAAATCTAAATACATGTTTAGATTCAGCATATCAAAGAACCCCATATATTCAATTTTTGTTAAAATCAAACAAAGTTTAATTTTGGACCCTTTGGACCTTAATGTAGACCAATTTGAAAACTGGACCCAAAATTAAAAATCTAAATACACGGTAAGATTCGGCATAACAAATAAATAAATGGGGTCAAAGATTTTACAAATCTAATGCGCCATACTGGTCTTCCTTTATAAATATGCATTTCTTTAAACATAATTTAAAAGCAGTGTAAGGGAAGTAACCAAAACGTTGTATTTGGATTACCTCCCTTACACTGTTTTAAATTATCTTAATTGTTCATTAACCATTACTTTATACATAATTTAAAAGCAGTGTAAGGGAGATAATTTCAATGATGTATTTGATTTATCTCCCTTACACTGCTTTAAGTTATGTTTTGTACTAAAGTATTTGTCCATTAATGAGGACAACCTTGTTTTTCCCCCTTTTTTGCCCCTAATTCTTAAACGGTTTGAGCAATAACCCCCCAAAGCAAATCCTAACCATCCCTTTGTGGTATGGAAACTTGTAGTATAATTTCAGAGAGATACATACACCGTTCCACAGTTATTGTCTGGAATCTAGAAAATGCTTATTTTTGGCCCCTAATTCCTTAACTGTTGGTACCATAACCTCCAAAATCAATCCCCACCTTCCTTTTGTGGTATTGAACCTTATGGTAAAATTTCATAGAGATCCATTCACTTAAACTAAAGTTAGAGTGCGAAAACTAATGCGTCTTCGGACGACGCCGGACGACGACGACGCCAACGTCATACCAATATACGACTTCAAAAATTTTTTTGCGGTCGTATAAAAATAGAACAAATGACTCTGGGTTGACCAGTATCATGTATTGATCGCTGTACTTTCATTTGCGATTTGTCTGTACTTGCTGAGACTTTCAATTATTAACGGTACTGGGGGTATGATGCATTGACGTGATTCGACAGAACCATGTTGTTGAAACTAATAAACGTGTGAGCATGCGCGCAGGTGTGAGATTTAATTTTGCATCCGAATTATTCAAAAATGCCAACATTGTCATGGAAACCGGTATCTAAACGTTCATTTCATATTTTTTAAAGAAGAAATAACGTAGAAAGAACTATATAAACTGAATCATGCTTTGACAGCGTACACGGATTTTTTTGTGTCCATCTTTGGTCAGTGTTTTACCATTGACAAGTTAACACCCAGAAATAGGAACAAAAGAAAGTACAGTTCTGACAGCGTGATATTGCATTAATAAAGAGTCAAATCAGATTTAAGTACACTAATTTTTAACATTTTGTATGATACACAGTCGATTTAACAGTTTACGTCAGAACATCAAATTTATATCAAAAGACTTCTAAAGTTTAGTATAGTTTTATTTACTTTCAATGTCAATTATTCAGGCATTGTGATGATGCCAACATTTTAACAATGATTGCCTTTGTGACTAAGTCTTACAGGATTGAAATTTGAATCAGAAGAAAATGTCCAGCTGACTCATATATTTGTTGGAAGTCAGGGCTATCAGGTCTGATTTGCTGGGCTAGCATTTCTATCAACAGGACTAGTAAATCCTGCTACCAACAGAGATGCAAACAGTTTTTTTTTCTGTCAGACATTGGGGCCTACAGGGTAGCAAGTTTTGTCAGACCCATCAATTTTTTGCTAGACCTACATTTTTTTATATCAGCTTTTTATACAATAAGAGAACGAAGATAGGATGTCTTTACAGTGACAGCTGCTTTAGTGGATTGTTTTTAGAAAATATCTTAAATTCAATTTTCTTTTTATTTAATAATTACTACAATACATTTTTAATTTTTTTTATTGTGTACCACTGAACTGCAGGCTAGGGCCATTCTCCATTTTTTTTGACAGTTCTCTAAGATTTTTAATTGATTACAACTTTCTCAGGAAAGTGAGGACTGAAAAGTCAATTCAGTTTTAAATTTCCCTCTTTAAAGTTCCCAGTTACAACTCTCATCACAGGGATACATGTACTTACAAAAAATCAATCAGATTGATATAAGCTGTGTGCAGCTTGTTTCCAGATCTTACTTTTTGTTATCCTTGTTTATTTTGATATATTTGTAAATTGCATGAATAAATATGTTTAAATTTCAAAAAGCAACATTTGAAAATTTTATATTTTTTTTACCATTATGTTGGAACACAAAATTTTGTTTTAATGGAAGACTACTTTTCATATAATAAATGTCACATTTTAATTGTTCAGATACATTAACTTTTAATTTGGTGGATTACTCATCAATTGAGGTGCTCCATTATTGGAAGAAGATTCGCAATACAGTTACAATTACAGAAAGAATGAAAACTGCCGTTTCTCTCCCCAATCTCATGTATCCCCATTGTTTACTGCGAAAGTTGACCTACAAAGCATTGATGTTTGAATCATATAAAGCAAACATACTAACTAACTTTAATTAATAAATTTTCAACAAGGCAAATTTCAATTCCCCACTAATAGGTTAGCACCAAAAATGCTAAATTTACTAAAATCCTAGAGAACTGTCTGCCGGTCATTAGGTCTTGCACAAAAGCCCAATTTGCCGGACCTGCTCATTTTCTGCCCCCTCGGGCCGACATGTCCGACGATTAGTTGCATCTCTGTACCAATAAGTCCTGGGCTAGCGAGCTGAAACATCAAGTTTTTTTACCCTGATTTCAGGTAGAATAGATGACTTTCACATACATGTGATGGACTGTGAAACTCAGATCAGGAGATTGGGAAATTTTGGTCAGGAGATTAGGACTCAGATCAGGAGGTTTTTTATCGACATAAATTTTGTTGTAAATGTAACCGTGTGATGTAGAAATTGTCTTTTAAAGTGTTTTTTCTTCAACTTTCCATCCGAATGTAATATGTATATAGTACCCTTGTACTTGTAAATATATCTTTATTCAATCTAACATTCTTCTTCTTTTTTTAGAATATTCTTTAATTTCTTTTTTTTAAATCTTTTTTTATCTTTATTCAATAAAACAATCATTGCAAATAGAACATTCTTTCATGCTAAAAAACATATTTTACAAACTGTTTATATATGGAAGTTTTTAACGACCTTGACTGGCTATACAGCCCTTGCGCGGTCGGTCAAACTGTTTACTAATGTCATATTTATTATATAGATTTCATTTAAGCCTTGAAAAGAAGTTTAGAACCCTCAAACTGTTTCCAAATTATTATTTTTTATTTGTCCTAAGACATTTAAAATCATTTAATTACCATCCTTATATGATTATTTGTTCAATTTATATTTCAATTATATTCTTTTAACAATGTACATTATTTAAAGGAAAGTAACTTAAAACAGGATAAAACAAGGGAAGTAACCCAAAATTATTTCAATTATTTTTAAATACACAAAGTTTTTATTACACAACGGCAGTTAGCCTGAGGTAAAAATCGTTGATTACCAGTATGTTTGACACCCAAGCTGGCAAGTGAAGCCATATAATTATGCATGTTCTTTGATTTACACTGGGAACAGTGTGTCAATATATATGATCCTGATTTACAGGTAAAATTTAACTTCAGGTAATGTCAGTTACACCGGATATGATTGGGACTCTCAGGTTTTTACCTCTTCTATAATAAACATCTTAATAAGAAATGATCAAAATGGCGGTTGAAAGTTTTCATTCATGAAATATTTCATACACAGGATTTTTTTCTCTTCAACGGGAGGACGGGAGGAGACCCCTGAAAACGGGATTATTGTACTCCCGTCGGGAGGTTCACATGTACAGTATGCTCTCACTTTCCTGCATGTTCCCATATATTTCCGATGTCACAATTCTTATGCTATCAGTTCACAATAAGATCTGATTGCTCAATAAAGTAGTATCTATAGATTGGCTGTAACTCATTCATAAAAAAAACAACTTGAAATTGGTCTAATTATTGTGACATCCATGACTGCACATGCTCTCAGACGAATTATAGTTATCTCGTACCATTGTAAACTCGTACCAATGTCAACTCGTACCACTAAAAATAAAATGCTTCGCTGGGCGCAGCTTGATACGACCGCAGAGGTCGAACCCTGAACAGTTGGGGCAAGTATGGACACAACATTCAAGCTTGATACAGCTCTGAATTTGGATTGTGATTAAATATTTGACACAGCATAGGTTTCTGACACAGAAAGAATGTGGTCTAAGAACTTGAATTTTTTTAATTTACCTATTATGGTCCAATGTCCAAAATCAAAATACATGGTTAGATTCAACATATCAAAGAACCCCATATATTCAATTTTTATTGAAATCAAACAAAGTTTAATTTTGGACCCCAACTTGGACCAACTTGAAAACTGGGCCCATAATCAAAAATCTAAACACATGTTTAGATTCAGCATATCAAAGAACCCCAAAAATTCAATTTTTATTAAAATCAAACTAAGTTTAATTTTGGACCCTTTGGACCTTAATGTAGACCAATTTAAAAAACCGGACCCAAAATTAAAAATCTAAATACACGGTTAGATTTGGCATATCAAAGAACCCCAATAATTCAATTTTTGATGAAATCAAACAAAGTTTAATTTTGGACCCTTTTGACCTCAATATAAACCAATTTGATAGCGGGCCCACAAATAAAAAATCTAAATACATGGTAAGATTCAGCATATCAAAGAACCCCATATATTCAATTTTTGTTGAAATCAAACAAAGTTTAATTTTGGACCCCAATTTGGACCAACTTGAAAACTGGCCCAAAAATCTAAAATCTAAATACATGTTTAGATTCAGCATATCAAAGAACCCCATATATTCAATTTTTATTGAAATCAAACAAAGTTTAATTTTGGACCCCAACTTGGACCAACTTGAAAACTGGGCCCATAATCAAAAATCTAAACACATGTTTAGATTCAGCATATCAAAGAACCCCAAAAATTCAATTTTTGTTAAAATCAAACTAAGTTTAATTTTGGACCCTTTGGACCTTAATGTAGACCAATTTAAACAAGAGTGCACACGCTGAAATGTCTCGCCTTCTTTACTAATCATTGATATTATGTTGATAGTCCTAAATATAAAGCTTTATTACAACTGTCACATAAACTTAACATTAACCAAGTAAACTAAACATTGACCAATGAACCATGAAAATAAGGTCAAGGTCAGATGAACCATGCTAGGCAGGCATGTACAGCTAACAATTCTTCCATACAACAAATATAGTTGACCTATTGCTTATAGTTTAAGAAAAACAGACAAAAACACAAAAACTTAGCACTGAGCAATGAACCTTGAAAATGAGGTCAAGGTCAAATAAAACCTGCGTGACTGACATATAGATCATAAAATATTTCCATACACCAAATATAGTTGAACTATTGCATATAGTATTAGAAAAAAAGACAAAAACTCAAAAACTTAACTTTGACCACTGAACCATGAAAATGAGGTCAAGGTCAGATGACACCTGCCAGCTAGACATGTACACCTTACAATCTTTCCATACACCAAATATAGTTGAACTATTGCATATAGTATTAGAAAAAAAGACAAAAACTCAAAAACTTAACTTTGACCACTGAACCATGAAAATGAGGTCAAGGTCAGATGACACCTGCCAGCTAGACATGTACACCTTACAATCATTCCATACACCAAATATAGAAGACCTATTGCATACAGTATAAGAAAAACAGACCAAAACACAAAAACTTAACTATAACCACTGAACCATGAAAATGAGGTCAAGGTCAGATGACACCTGCCAGCTAGACATGTACACCTTACAATCATTCCATACACCAAATATAGAAGACCTATTGCATACAGTATAAGAAAAACAGACCAAAACACAAAAACTTAACTATAACCACTGAACCATGAAAATGAGGTCAAGGTCAGATGACACCTGCCAGTTGGACATGTACACCTTACAGTCCTTCCATACACCGAATATACTAGACCTATTGCTTATAGTATCTGAGATATGGACTTGACCACCAAAACTTAACCTTGTTCACTGATCCATGAAATGAGGTCGAGGTCAAGTGAAAACTGTCTGACGGGCATGAGGACCTTGCAAGGTACGCACATACCAAATATAGTTATCCTATTACTTATAATAAGAGAGAATTTAACATTACAAAAAATCTAAACTTTTTTTTCAAGTAGTCACTGAACCATGAAAATGAGGTCAAGGACATTGGACATGTGACTGACGGAAACTGCGTAACATGAGGCATCCATATACAAAGTATGAAGCATCCAGGTCTTCCATCTTCTAAAATATAAAGCTTTTAAGAAGTTAGCTAACGCCGCCGCCGCCGCCGGATCGCTATCCCTATGTCGAGCTTTCTGCGACAAAAGTCGCAGGCTCGACAAAAACAGGACCCAAAATTAAAAATCTAAATACACGGTTAGATTTGGCATATCAAAGAACCCCAATAATTCAATTTTTGATGAAATCAAACAAAGTTTAATTTTGGACCCTTTTGACCTCAATATGAACCAATTTGATAGCGGGGTCCACAAATAAAAAATCTAAGTACATGGTTAGATTCAGCATATCAAAGAACCCAATATATTCAATTTTTGTTGAAATCAAACAAAGTTTTATTTGGGCCCCAATTTGGACCAACTTGAAAACTGGGCCAAAAATCAAAAATCTAAATACATGTTTAGATTCAGCATATCAAAGAACCCCATATATTCATTTTTTGTTAAAATCAAACAAAGTTTAATTTTGGACCCTTTGGACCTTAATGTAGACCAATTTGAAAACTGGACCCAAAATTAAAAATCTAAATACACGGTTAGATTCGGCATAACAATTCGGTCATAATCTCAATTCAAATTTCCAATGGAGTTTGCAACCATAATTACCCATTTAAATTTACCATAGTGCTAACTTAATCTATTTTATAATAGAATTTAAAATATAGTGTCAAATCGTTCATATGGATTTTTTTGTGAAAAAAAAAGATGCAACATTTGCAGATATTTTTACTGTTCTTCCTTTATAAATATGCATTTCTTTAAACATAATTTAAAAGCAGTGTAAGGGAAGTAACCAAAACGTTGTATTTGGATTACCTCCCTTACACTGTTTTAAATTATCTTAATGGTTCATTAACCATTACTTTATACATAATTTAAAAGCAGTGTAAGGGAGATAATTCCAATGATGTATTTGATTTATCTCCCTTACACTGCTTTAAATTATGTTTTGTACTAAAGTATTTGTCCATTAACCAGGACAACCTTGTTTTTCCCCCTTTTTTGCCCCTAATTCTTAAACGGTTTGAGCCATAACCCCCCAAAGTAAATCCTAACCATCCCTTTGTGGTATGGAAACTTGTAGTATAATTTCAGAGAGATCCATACACCATTCCACAGTTATTGTCTGGAAACTAGAAAATGCTTATTTTTGGCCCCTAATTCCTTAACTGTTGGTACCATAACCCCCAAAATCAATCCCCACCTTCCTTTTGTGGTATTGAACCTTATGGTAAAATTTCATAGAGATCCATTCACTTAAACTAAAGATAGAGTGTGAAAACTAATGCGTCTTCGGACGACGACGACGACGCCAACGTCATACCAATATACGACCACAAAAATTTTTTTGCGGTCGTATAAAAAACTCGTACCAATGCAAACTCGTAACCACTGCTAACTCGTACCACGGTAAATTCATACCATTGTAAACTCGTACCAACTTATTTAAATGCATTCAAATGGTGTTTAATGATGAATATATACTTTAATTTCACTCAATACCTCTTAAGTCTGTAAAATGTATATAATTTGAAATTACAATGACCAATTTGTAGCTAATTTTCCTTGTCTAATTGGATAAAGAAAACCGTGGCAGATCCCTTGAATAGACTCTTTTTTAAACTTTTACTGACAACTGTTTGATTTAATTTTTAATCATTCCAAATCAGTAACATTGAATAGATTTGGGTATTTTTCTATTGTTTCTAAAAGGAATTTTATTTAATGAAAGAATTTATTTATTGTGTTTTAAAGGTTTAAAATTGTTTATGACCAACAGTTAGAAAGTATGAAATTTATTTTTATACAATATTCAGCACATTTAAGCAATTCCAATGGGAACCAATTGTGCCCCTCTTCTTGCCGACTTGTTTCTTTATTATTATGAGGCTGACTTCATACAGGAGATTCTTAGGAAGAGAGATAAGAAGTTAGCAATATCCTTTAACTCTACGTTCCGCTATATAGATGATGTTCTCTCACTAAATAATACAAAATTTGGTGACTATGTTGAACGAATCTATCCCATCGAACTAGAGATAAAGGATACTACAGATACAGTTAAGTCTGCCTCATATCTTGACTTACATCTAGAAATTGACAATGAGGGTCGGTTGAAAACAAAACTTTACGACAAAAGAGATGATTTCGGCTTCCCAATTGTGAACTTTCCATTTCTATGTAGCAACATTCCAGCAGCGCCTGCATACGGAGTATATATCTCCCAATTGATACGATATTCCCGGGCTTGTGTTTCCTATCATGATTTCCTTGATAGAGGATTGCTGCTCACAAGGAAGCTATTAAACCAAGAGTTCCAAATGGTGAAGTTGAAGTCATCCCTTCGTAATTTTATGGACGCCATCACGAGTTGGTTGACCGTTATGGAATAACTGTTTCACAGATGATATCGGATATGTTCCTTATGTCGTAACTACAATACCTTTCCCTTTTCACGAATGTGACTTACCGAATTAGACTATTTACCGGATTTGTAATAACATAAGCAACTCGACGGGTGCCACATGTGGAGCAGGATCTGCTTACCCTTCCGGAGCACCTGAGATCACCCCCAGTTTTTGGTGGGGTTCGTGTTGCTTAGTCTTTAGTTTTCTATGTTGTGTCATCTGTACTATTATTTGTCTGTTTGTCTTTTTATTTTTGGCCATGATGTTGTCAGTTTGTTTTCGATCTATGAGTTTGACTGTCCCTCTGGTATCTTTCGTCCCTCTTTTAAGCAGAATATGACCATGATAATATGATTAAACAAGTTGATTAGTTAATAATCAACCAATAATCACACAATCAAAGGAATTTAATATATTTATTAGCAGGGTAATTAAGAAATTACATTCGTATTTTTGTTTAAGTTTTCATTCAAATCTGGTATAAAATTCAAAGATATTTTAATTTTTTGTATAAAGCTTAAAAAAAAATAATCATAAAACATTCGTATTTTTGTATAAGTTTTCAGTAAAATCTAGTATAAAATTCAAGTAATTCAATTTTTTTTATTTAGTTTACCAAATAAAAAATCATAAAACATTCGTATTCTTGATGGTACGAGTTTGTAGTGGTACGAGTTCTGATTGGTTCGACTTCCCAGTGGTACGAGTTAACTTTTTTGGTACGAGTTTACGTGGTACGAGTTTACAATGGTATGAGTTAACTTGCTTCCCTCTCAGACTCTGTGACAGTGTTACAAAAATACATAGGAATATTAAAGTAATAAAGGAACAGAGTTCCAATGTCCTGTATTTCTATGTCTCCTGCAACATGTCATGTTGAGCATACAGTATGAAGCTTTTCCGTATTTAAATAAAATGCTCCGCTGGGGCGCAGCTTGATACGACCGCAGAGGTCGAACCCTGAACAGTTGGGGCAAGTATGGACACAACATTCAAGCTTGATACAGCACTGAATTTGGATTGTAATTAAATATTTGACACAGCATAGGTTTCTGACACAGAATGAAAGTGGTCTTAGAACTTAAAATTTTTTAATTTACCTATTCATACATGTGATGGACTGTGAAACTCAGATCAGGAGGTTTTTAATCGACATAAATTTTGTTGTAAATGTAACCGTGTGCTGTATAAATGGTCTTTGAAAGTGTGTTTTCTTCAACTTTCCATCCAATTTATTATGTTTATAGTACCCTTGTACCTATAAAGTTTCTCCATCTTTATATACTACATGTTCAATCTAACATTGTTTTTTTTTCAGTATGTTCTTTAAATTTTTTACTTCATATTCTATAAAACAATCATTGCAACCAGAACATTTGTTTAACTATCTGCAAATAATTTTTATTTTTTTTTTTTATCTTTATAATTTTTATTTGCATACTCAGAAAATCATTCTAACTGTATAACAAGGGTCATAGTAATTATATAAATTTCAATTTAAGCCTTGAAAGGAAGTATAGAATCCTCAAATAATTTTCAAAATATTATTTTTTTATTTGTCCTAAGACATTTAAAATCATTTAAGTACCATCCTTTTATGATTATTTGTTCAATTTATATTTTATTTATATTCTTTTAAAAATTTTCATTATTAAAAGGAAAGTAACTTAAAACAGGATAAATCAAGGGAAGTAACCCAATAAATACACAGTTTTTGTTACACAACGGCAGTTAGCCTGAGGTAAAAATCGTTGATTACCAGTATGTTTGACACCCAAGCTGACAAGTGAAGCCATATAATTATGCATGTTAATTGATTTACAGGTAAAATATAACTTCAGGTAATGTCAGTTACACCAGATGCCTGAGATGATATGTTGGGCAGAAATTTTTCATTCATGAAAAATTTCATACACGGGATTTTTTCCTCTTCAACGGGAGGTCAGGAGGAGACCCCTGAAAACGGGATTATTGTACTCCCGTCGAGAGGTTCACATGTATGCTATTCAAACCATATCATTACAGACTACACGAAATACGTCGGACCGTCGGACAAATCCGGTGAATAATGGATCGGTCTGGTAAAATTTTGTTGAATTCCGGTCCGAATGTCCGGTGTTATATTTTTCGTGGATTTTTTTAAAAACCCTACATTTTTCCCAATTTTGGGGGCAAAATTCCCAAACGATCTCAAAATTCATTCTCATCTTTATTATTCATGACAGCGATGTTTATTTTGTTCAACCGCTAGCTTTATGCCGAAAATCGCATACAAGTAATGTGTAAATCCGAGTAAAAACATATATCCTGACTGACAAAAACAACAATGGCTGCCATCAACCGGAAATATAAACAATACCGGATCAGATTCCGGGAACGGATAAGGACAATTTCCGGGTTTGCCGATCAAATACAATAGAAACATAAAAAAAATCCAAGCAGGTTCACAAAATACAGCTATGAAATATAAACACTAGAATTGAAAACCAAAAGATATATGAAAATGAAAGAAGATACAGGAAATATTTTATACAGAAACTCAAAATTTTTAGTTCACAAATAATTTTCATGTCAAAATCCAATAAAATGTGACATTACTTTTCTTTATCACTAAAATGCATTCAAGCAATTGTGCACAACTTTCATCAAAATACATGTATACACTCTTTGTCACATGATTTTGTTTTTGTGCATTTTGGAGAGGAGTAGGGCACAATAAGTCATAAGATTGTTGTATTTTGTCGGATAATATACAATTAGATGTAAAAAAAATTGGTCAGGTAAAATTTCATTCGGTCTGGTAAAACTAGGTTGTTTACCAGACCCAATGTCCTGTAAAAATAAAATTCATTCGTGTAGTCTGTCATTATTATTTGCTTTTATATATAAATCAGAAATAACCAATTTAAAATGGAAAATTTTAAAGAAAAAAAAAGGAAAAAAAAATCCCCCCCCCCCAAATTTTTTGAACCCCCTTATGATTCATCACCCCCAAACTCAATCCCAGCTTTTCCTTTGTGGTATGGTACCTTGCAGTACAATTTCATAAAGATCCATACACTTACACACAAGTTATTGTCCTGAAACTAGAAAAATGCTTGTATTTTTGCCCTTTTATGGCCCCTAATTACTAAAATTTTGAGGGAATTACCCTCAAAATCAATCCCAGCCTTCCCTTTGTGATATGGTACCTTGCAGTACAATTTCAGAGAGATCCATACACTTGAACACAAGTTATTGTCTGGAAACTAGAAAAATGCTTATTTTTTGCCCCTTTTTGGCCCCTTATTCCTAAACTTTTTGGGCAATTACCCCCAAACTCAAAACCAGCTTTCCCTTTGTGATATGGAACTTTGTAGTACAATTTCATAAAGATCCATACACTTACAAACAAGTTATTGTCATGAAACTAGAAAAATGCTTGTTTTTTCCCCCTTTTCGGCCCCTAATTACTAAAATTTGGAGGAAATTACCCCCAAAATCAATCCCAGTATTCCCTTTGTGATATGGAACCTTGTGATACAATGTCAGAGAGATCCATACGCTTACACACAAGTTATTGTCATGCAACTAGAAAAATGCTTGTTTTTTGCCCCTTTTTGGCCCCTAATTCCTACCATTTGGAGGCAAATACCCCCAAAATCAATCCCAGCATTCCCTTTGTGATATGGAACCTTGTGGTACAATGTCAGAGATACACTTACACACAAGTTATGTCTGGAAGTTTCAAAAATGCTTATTTTTGGCCCCTTATTCCTTAACTGTTAGTACCATAACCCCAAAATCAATCCCCACCTTCCATTTGTGGTATTGAACCTTATGGTAAAATTTCATTGAGATCCATTCACTTAAACTAAAGTTAGAGTGCGAAAACTAATGTGTCTTCGGACGACGACGCCGACGACAACGTCATACCAATATACGACCACAAAAATTTTTTTGCGGTCGTATAAAAACTGGTTCGGTCACCTCAACTACATGCCCAAATAATTTAATTTTGGATGTAACGCGTCTTCCGATTGGCTGACATTGTTTTGTTTATCAGCTCATAGACATAATTTTGTCATGTGACCTTGATGTCATCAACGTTTTTTCATGATTTACTGCGGTTTAAAATGGAAATAAGAATTAAATTATAAGAAATGACTGTAATATTTTTTCTGTCTATTCGAAATAGATACGCGGATTATTCAGTGTGCACCACATTTTTGATGTTATTTCTTCATAGACAGAAAAAATATTACAGTCATTCCTTAAATAATTTAAACTATAAGAGGCATCCAAATTCTTAAACTTAAAGTGGAGAAAACTCGGCTAACTTTGTGCAGTCGGATAAGCAATGAGTTCCGAGCTATTTTACTGATTTGACTGCCTACTGAGGCTCGGAATTCTAAATCTTCAAAGGGATCGTCTTCTTTTATATCCAGTTTTCCGTCAACATTGATGATTAGTGTCATAGTGACTGTAAGATCATTAACGTTACGTAGAGCAGGGAAAGGGTGTGTCGATATACGCCAATTTCTAGACAACAAGCATCAAAATTATAAAGTGTCACATTTCCAGAATGGATCCTGATTTTATTTGAGTAGTTTTATGTGTAACTAGATGAGGATAGTTGTTGAGTTACCTTCAGATGTTAAATATAAGACGTGAAGTTTTCTTCGAAAGTGACCATCTTGGAAAGTTCTTGTGTTTATAAAAATTACAGATTTCCGTTTATGAAACGAAGTTAAATGAGGAGTCTGCAGCTTAAACCTCCAGATTGATATATTCATGTCAGAAATGTTTCTATTGTATCTATTTATTTAAAGTTCATAACTACACAAGCACAATCTATTTATTTAAAGTTCATAACTACACAAGCACAATAGTATAGTTCATCAAACTTCTGTTTTTCTATAAAAAAAGCCAAATCTTTAAGAAACATAAGTACGTGCCCAATCAAACCAAAAGATTACCGAGGAATCCGACACAAATTCTGTGTAAGAAAAGAAAAATGACCAGCGAAAATTGTAAAATTTGTATTTATCTTATTTTCTTCAACTTTCATGCGATTTGCCTAGCCTGGCCTCAGTGACTTAATTGGTTATATTAAGTTTTGTTACTTTCTGCTGTTTCTGAACTCAGACCTATGTATAATGTGTAATTTAAAATACAATTGTAATTATACCACTACATTATCTGATTTATCACACATTTAAAAATTATCAAGAGCGCTATTATAAAATCCATAATTTCCCAAAATTAAAATGACTTCTATTCTATCCTGACGAGTTAATACAATCATTTTTTCCTTGACTATCAAATATTCTTTCATATATATAACGACCTCTCTCAATTCTGAGACTATGCATGGTTACTTAGTCTAAATATACACAATGTGAGTCTTTTTTGTTGGTTTTTGATATTAACAAAATTTTTAATCTCTTAACTTTTATTTAGTCTGAAATTAAAATAGGTTTTTAATTTGCTGTGCTCATCGTGAGACATAGAATCTTTTATGCTTTTCCAATGCTTAATAAAATCTAATTTGAGGCATTTTTTTAGTAACCTCTTAAATATTTTCACTTTATTTTTGGCGAAATAGCGAGACCAAAATTTAATTTCTCACTTAATTGTATAATACCAGGAATTGGTTGTAACTTTCTCTGCTGTGACAATAGCTTTGTAGGTGAGTTTACAAGGCCGCGTGCCAATACATACACATGTGAGTAACAATATCAATGTAAAGAGGGAATCGTCCTAGTTAAGATAAAACACCAATATTTGTACAATGTTTTGTTACACCAAGAATGTATTTACACAATTTGATAGTTAGTTTCTCTCCCAATCTTTGTATATATCATGTAAGGAAATATCTTTCCCTTTTTGGCTCAGATTTATCAGTCCCCCATAAATAACCATAACTCCTGAACAGTACCATATTTGCTGGTAGCGAAGATGGAACGGTACTGAAAAGTTAAAATCGTCAATATTGAACTTGACCTCCATTCTGTCATTAGTATTAACATAATAAAATTTGAAAAAAAACTTTGGTTGAACGGTTCATAATTTATTGCAATGAAACTGTCGGCAGCCGCCCGCCGTAGTAACTGATTTTTTTTTCTGGAAAAAAACCAGCTAAAAGTCCGTTCATTATGTCGGACTACGGGACTAGCACAACGCAAGGTTGATATTAATCCCTAGCTAAGATGTTCTCGTCCTGACTAGAAATGAATTTGCCACTGCACGTTAAGCAGCCATATATTATCATCATTTTTATAGGGATCAAAGAAAGGTTTTAAAAATACGATTCAAGATTCACTCTAAAAAGATACATAGGCTTGAAAAGTCACAGGGAAAAATCAGAGAATTGTCCCATAAAATTGGACAGTAGCACGTTCTACATTAAAAAATACAGATACCCCCTTTTTATTCCACCAGATTCAGGAACTTTTATGCAACCGTGCCTTAATATTTTCCGTAAGTGGAGAAAAATACAAAGTAAAGTGTAAAAAAAAAGTTAGCAGACCTTGCTAATTAGTGCATATTGTCATTTGTAGAGGTCATTATGAGATTAATAGACTCAAAGAAATCTATATGATTACCATAATTTACCGAGGCTTTAAGGTAGAGTAAATGTTTGTACCTTCACTCCATACAAAATCACATGGATTTATACAAAAGACTCTCTGTTTTGTTACATTATAGGTAAGCGAATGTGGATAGCAGTCAAGATTATCATGCATTAAAAAATGTACACTGTAAGAGATTTTTTTAATGAAAATGAAACAAAGTCATACTCTAAATAACAATCAAAACGAGAATGTCACCTAGCTCGCAGTATCTAAACAAACTTGGGTATTGTATGAGATGTAATGTAACCATGATACTCAGAGCAAAATATTATAAAACTTTCTGTATCCCGTGATAGACAATACTGAGCAGATTACGTGTAATGCCTCGACTTGGTGGGTCAAAGAAAACTATCTTATCGAGAAAAAAATAAGCAAAATCAAAAAAACTTATTTTGATTTAAGTGTAGATTCGAGTTTAGATCTAGGTAAATCCGAGGCAAAATTATATGTTTGTTATTTCATCCATCAACTACATCAAGTTATTTATTCCAAAAAAAAATGGACTCTAGCAGTTAAAGGAGCATTAGCTACAATTTAGACAAACATTTAAAAACGATTCTGTTTGTTTCAAGTATTAATAAAAGCAGACTTTTTCGGCCTAAATTTGTCAAAATAAGCTCAAAAACATCGTTGATGTATTATTGACTTGCAAGTCAATGATTTAACAGTTTAAGCCCCGAGTTAGAGATGGGTTATGCATGTACTAGGCGTGTTCAGTTATTCATAGTAGGAAAAGAATGACATCATTGAAAGTGAATGAATTTGACAGCTTATGCCCCTTTAAAATATCCACTTTGACAATTTCCAGCTGAGCCAGGAAAGGTCATCCTATAAATCAACATAGATATACAGATACTGAATTAGGTGCTTATACGACAGGGGATTCTATTTTGAAATTGATAAACAGAGTGGAGGAGAACAATTGGTATGCCGATTGTCTGCATGTTGAAATGTCAATAAACATGAGAATCCATCATCTTGTCAGCTCCAGTGAACCATTTGTACGAATCAGAGTTTTTTTTTTTACAAAGTATGGTTTCTCACTTCATAAACAAAAGATATTTTTATCTTATGGCCTTTCTGTTTTATGAAACAAAAGCGGACTTAATATTTCAATCTGTCATCATTGGATTTAGATGATGACCAATTTTCATAATTTCATTGTTTAGACAGAGCATAGATATCTATGTCATCTATGGCTATAAGATCTATGGGAAGAGAGAGGAACTTATATCTTTTATCATGAATCTGATGTATATGGACTTGCACATTTTTTTTTCTATATTTGGTTAAATTTCAAGTCATCAATTCAACACTGAGTTGTTTTGATTGATTGCTGTTAAAGGAGCATTATCTACGAGATATAGAAAAAAATATGATTTTTTTTTGGTTCAATCATTAATTATTGACTGAAGTGAAAAGGTGGAATAATAATTCGGTTTTTGCAGCCAGTTTGGTTCAATTTTGTCAAAATAAGCTAAGAAACATCGCTGATGAATTATCAATCTAATTAAAATTAAATCTCCGCACTTGCTCCTCGTTGTTTATATGTCGCGCGTGGGAGATCTAACAACAGCCGCTTGAGGGTCATGTCTAGGGTCAAATTTGGTGAACTTTGACCGACCAATCAGCGTGCAGAAAATCAATTTCGATTAACCAATCAGCGACGGGCTTGTATACCATTATCGGATCGTTAAAAAACATGGATGCGCCCAGTTGGGACAACGTTTTTGACAAAAGTTTTGCCAAAATTTGGTATAAATGATATAAAGAAGGAGCAAAAGGAAATTTTAGAGTGTTAAGTTAACAAGAAGAAGTGCGTGGCTGTACTACCGACTGGTTTTGGCAAGACACTGCCGTTTCAACTGTACCTTCCAGTTGTCCGGGAGGTTATTGAAAACAGTTCTGACTGAAAAGTTTTAGTCTGTTGTCCCTTAGTAGCTCTGATGCAGGACCAGGTGGAAAAACTCTCGCACATTGGAAATATATCTGCTGCATACAAAGGTTAGTATAACTTTAAGCATGCAGTGGTAGTAAGGCTTCAATAAATGGAATAGTCTATACTATAGTATTTAATGCCAATAAACACCTAATTTATATTATAATTATTATGTTGGCAGTGTTGTATAATAAAGATGTTTATAACACATGAGAAATCAGTTAGGGGGTGACATGTTATCCCCCTGTACAGTGGCGGATCCAGAACTTTTTGTAAGGGGGGCCCACTGACTGACCTAAGAGGGGGCCCGCTCCAGTCATGCTTCAGTGATTCCCTATATAATCAACTAAATTTTTCCAACAAAAGGGGGGCCCAGGCCCCCCTGGATCCGCCTATGCTGTTTGAGCTACTTATATAATTAATGCAATGCCTCTATCTTACAAAAATGTATTAAGACATTATTCCCACACCTTATGGTGTCTAGATGCAGGGCCCTCTTTTCCATAGTCCTGGATCCGCATCTGACCAGGCAAAGATGTACATGTATGCCTTATCAAATAAAATAAAATTTATTTGCAGGAACATACATTTAAACTTCAGTATATCAACACATACACATGACTAACAGTAACAAAGCAGTAATATGAAACTTAGATATACATGAGCAAAGTTAAAAAAAAAACTGCAGAAGCAGTTGATCATAGCCATGGTAGCACATAAATTTGTCTCATTTCACCGAGAACAGATTGTATCGGTCATATTGCCAGTATTTTACAGTCGTTTTGGCCATAATGCTAGTTCTTCATACTTTGTATAAAGATATATACTACATGTTGTATTAATGAAGCACCAGAGTCCAAGGGAAATGTTGTTAATTACATGTACTAATAATCTATCTCAAAACAAATATACATGCATATAAGATTAAGAAGATGTCGTACATGTACAAGACTTGAAGTAAAATTGCCAACTCAACTCTCCACCAGACAACAAATGACAAAGTTTACAACTATAGGTCACCATCTGACCTTCAACAATGAGCAAAATCATACAGCATAATCAGCTTTACATGGCTCAGAAACGTGCGGGAAACTTAATTTTTAAATTAGATTGTTATTTGTCATGTTTGTGTTAAACAATGAAAAAATAA